TTCCAATGAAACATTAACTGTGTCCATCACATGTGAACGAACGTATTTTGTTATGATGCAAAGTGTATCCCATTGCTGTGATACGTTTGCTTCCGTTGTCTCCACCATGGGAAGCCAGATTTCCACACGAGTTTTGTGTTTATCAGGATAGCCTCAAACGCTTAAACCAATTATGGAATCAATGCTCAAACAGTCCTCTTCATGGTTACCAAGGAACCGTTTCTTGCCTTCGGGGAAACGTTGAACCCTTCTTTGTTACAGTTATCTTGTAGGGAAGGCATGACACCAATCAGCATCTTCCATCTAACTCGGCCAAGTGAGGTTTGCTGGTATTTCCCATTTGAGATCAACGAGTGTAGAGTTTTAGCTGCCTTCTTGGTTTCGATAAAGTTGATGTGGTGTCCGATTTTCACACCGAGGCAGATCTTAGAGAATTTGGTGTTCCAGTAAGTCGGTAACTTTGTCTCTTGATCATCAATTCCAGTTAAGCACGCTTCACTGCTGTATTATGCTTGTTACTCCAGAGCTCGGAATTGCAATATAATATGTCCTAATGAAGTGAGGAGAAAAAGGAAGACTTGATCGTGAAAGTTTGTGGAAATAAAGTCAGCAAATTATACTACATAACTTTGTGGTCGGCTGTATTGATGAGGGTCAAACGTGTATCAGGGAGATTAGTTGACACCATATGCCTGGTTGATATATTTGATGACAAGTTCTCCGATAATAAACTGTACACCAATAACAACTTGGGAAGTGGAAAAACGGATTTTTTTTAAAAAGTTTTTCTCCTCGATTTTCACGAAGAAATTGTAATTTTCGCGTTTAAACATGTATTTAAAAGTACATGACATTCATGCGTTTCGGTCGCACGTAATCAAATCGCCTAATCTTAGCACCTGAAAAATCAAATGCAACATGTACACACACACACACACACACACACACACACACACAATATAAATCAAACTCAAACCATTACCCTTTTCACTGTATGTTTGGTTAGTCAACATCAAAAGTGAAACAATAGAAATGAAACCTGCACTCTAAAACCATCAGTTGCCTCGTTAAGTTGACATGTGCCCTTTGCCTTGAGATATCTGTTTTCTTTTACGGTTCCATGTTGTTCCTAGATCGACAGCTCGTACATGTAAGCTTCATTTCTAATATTTATTTCTTTTCAAAACTAGTCGTACCAGTTTCGAAGTTGTACATCTGTTGTTTTAGCTAGTGCATCTGTTCTTTAGTCTAAGTCATGGTTTCGATCATGTTTTGTTTTTGAAATGATTTCCAAAATCGTTCAAAACTACATCGAGACCGCAACTTGATTTAATTGATTTTCATTATTTCCAATTCGCCTACCCGAAAGCAAACGCACAGTGTTTTCAAAGCAACCCATGAAACCGACGGAAGTGTGCAACTGTGACATATTGAGAGATAGATTGAAATAACTGCCATGAAAATGTAGATTTACATGAGTTATTTTTGTCGTCAGATGCTAAACAAACCTTTTTCTTTGTGTTCATTAATGCACTATTCCATCGCTTTGTCAAAGAAATTTACATCTCTACTCACGTCAAAAAATATGCACATTTCACCGAGCGTATATTCAAAATATGTCTCCGGTTTAATTGAGCGTGCATACTTGGTCTGCTGGCTTAACCCTTTAACTCCCAAAATCTCATTACTGTCTGCCAAACGATTCTCATTATGTTAGTTTGGAGAATTTGGTATCAGATCATTTAGCAATCTGATAATTGATATTTTAGTTATTCTCATCACTAGTCTGCATGATATTGTTTAGATATAGTGAGGAGAAATCCTGTCTTGGTCACTCACGGGAGTTAAAGGGTTAAACGGAAAAGAAATGAAACCTAAAAAGCCTCTTCTAAATCCTTATCCAACGTTGGCAAAGAGGTTACCGAGAGCATGAAGTTGTAGAGACTTCTAACTCTGACAAACGGTGAGTGGGGTACATTCGCACTGAAAATTTAAATGACCAATAGTAAAAAATTTTGACTGGCTAACGTTCGAATGTTTAATTAGGTGTATTTCAATATACAATGTTTTAAAAAATGACCATCATTCTCCCCATACAACATATGCTACATTTAACAAACTCGAATAAATCTTGACTCGGTTGTTTCTCGCGTCCATGTACGTGTGTCTTTAAGGGAGCAACTTGAGAAGTTTCTGGTGGTAATTATGTTAGCTATAAATAATTTTCTCTATCGTGATTATTTCGAATACGCTTGGAGTTGATTAATTAAGACAAAGGCACTGAGAAGGATGGAACTTGATTGGTCCTTTTGCCTACTGAATTTTTCTCGGTTGTTCCGTCTAAAGTTTTTTTTTTTTTTAAATTTTTTTTTTTTTAACTTATAATACCCTGTATAAGTAAGCAATTCCTATCAGTTTCTAACACGTAGCAAGGTTTCCAATCCTATGCAATCTGAGACCGAGCGTTGACCCTAGACTCTCTAACGCTCCATTCATCTGTAAACACCACTAGGGATAGTTACAGGAAAGTTAAACCATACTTTTACGAGGTTCATGTCTGAGCACGGTCGTAATTAAATGCACGACTTGGTAAGCCAGGCCATTAATTATCTTACTTTCACATGGTTGAATGTTTCTTCGCGATTTTGCATTACATTTGGTTGGTTTCGAGAGTCATGATCATTAAATCTACAGAAATTTGGTGGCCAGAGCTTTCCTAAACACATTTATTTTGTATATTCTCTTTTGAAAGTGATATTTACCACGATGACAAACCAGACCTATTTAAGGTAATTTGGCTGCTATTGGACTAGAGAGTTTGTTTCTGGTCAGCCTTTATGACGCAGTAAATAGAAGTTCTGTTGAACAGACTGAGCTAGTTTCGTATCCACTGTCACAGCGGTCACTTACGCCATTCCCCTTGAGTGACTGCGTAATACAGGCTCGACTGTATGCTTCTACAGTCATGGAGAAAACAATAAATCTTTACCCTGAGCCAAATTTTCCCTGAGTTGTAAAAGTTTAATCCTTAATTTTCTAAAATGAACAATTACGTTTTGCAACAGTTCCAGATTGCTTTTGGTCGTTGGGCTTAGAGTGTTGGCATTGAAACGTCAAGGATGACTAGTCTACAACCTCCTGCCCCGATTTAAAGAAAAGCTCAAACTGTGACGAATATATGATTTTACGTTCTATCAAACAATACACGATGTCAATTACGAGACTCCATGATCTCGGAGTACGTGTTTCTCAGTTTAAAATAACGGGGAGTTTCTTTGAATTCTGGATAGATGGTGCCTATTATAAATAACAAAACCACTGCATATTTGGGCTCAGGGCGGATTAAAAATCTTAGCGAGAGATACGTACAATTGCTTGAGTTCATTCAAGCTTCCAGCTCGTTCTTCGCTATTTTAAGGACGATCAGGAAAATAAATTTTCACTTTCTGACCGCCGCGTCTTAAAATTTGAACGAGTCTTTAGATTCAGATGACAAACTTAGCTGGCACACTTTAGGCTGTACACATTAGCCGATATTTGAGCCACTTATTTTCACTTTCATTGCGGAGTCGCGCTCGACTGGAGCATTAGACCTTATTCTGTGCAAATGTAGTGTTATATTAAGCAGTCTTCATTGTTTTAAAGAGTATCGTTAACTTTTTTCCCACTTTTTAACTCACATCTTTTCGCAATTTTCCCTTAACGTATAGAAATAACAAAACAAACAATAATAGTAATAATTATAATAACAATAATAAAAAGAAGGTATTTAATGCGTTAAACGCTCCTAGCACGCGAAGGTCAGGAATAATACTGCCTTTGGGAATAGTATGGAACAATTAATGCACGAACACGTTTTCCAAATGCTTCAGAATCTTTTCCTCGTAATGAGCAATCCAACGAAACCTTTTCTAATGTATCATGGCATTTCTAGTTCTAGGCGATATAGCCTCGCTAAGGTAATTCTAAAGATTCATTCTGTTTGAAGAGGATAGGAGCCCTCGTCCTAAATTTATCGTAATGGCGCACTAGCTCGGAGTTAAATGGTGTATCCATTGAAAGGCTTTTCCCTTATTTACGCCTGTGCTTTTAAAAACCGGTAGGTCTAAACTCCATAGACGACGGGTGCAAATTTTAAGGACGTGTACCTTAACAAGAAAAAGGCCTTTCACATGCCACAAACATCGCGCCCATATATTGTAAACAGCAGCCGCTGATCTCGCACACCGAAAGTGATCTAAAAGCACCAGAGCTATAGAGTATCAATTCTAATGCATGCTTCCAAGTTTAGTTTATGTTGACCTACCAGCCTAAATAAGGGGAAAAAAGTTAATAACATTTAAGCCTAAAAAGTTATTGCAGACCTCCTACCTCATATCCTTACATAGTGGGAACTAATGGTTTTTCGGATATTTCAAGATGCAACTTTGCCTGTTATAGATAACGTGATTTGAAATTTGAGCGGTCCTATAGTTAGCTTGGTTTGGGTGTAGACAAGGTTTCATATTAAGGAGCACAAGAAACTCAACAAAGCTTTCAGCTGGATTGACATTTATGCGAATGCGACTAAGAGCTGCTGTCTTAAATCTCGCACCAAAACGATCTTTAAATGTTGTGCGCGGAGATCGATACATAAACTGCTGACATGGTTAGGAAAATGCAAGTAAGATGAGAAAAGGAAACAGGGAGCTTGAGTAACAAGTTATTATAACTGATAATGACCTTGTCCATCATGTTATCAAAAGCACTTGGCGGAACAATGGACTGCTCAAGGTGATTTCGTACATGCTTTGTGCAAAAGGGGCAGTTCTATGGCCACATATGCCACTCATCGACAAGATTAATCGTTCATTTGCTTGTCTAGTCGTGACTGTCATTATATTTTCTTTAAGTGATTTCTATTGGTCTATTTAAAATAAATTATTACGTCATCTGTGCTGAAACGGGAGCACAAAAATTCTTAATTTGGTCAACTGGTGTGAAAGTGTTCTGTGTGTGACATTGGGTGTGAAACGAACCAACTGGAACATGCGATGATGAGTTCTGGAAAGACCATTCTCTTTTCCATTTTCTACGTCGTAACAAACAGTGAGTTTCCAATCTTACTAATTACTAGTCAGGTTACTCGTGACTTGATCAAATGGACTATTCTACGTGAGCGGACTCTCTAACAAACGGTATGAAGTTATCAAAATCTCCATTCATCAAGACAAACCCTAAATGTCGACCTCGCCTGATCCATTAAGAGTGCTTTATTTTGCTTCTCATGCAGTCGGAGTTATATCTGTCATCGGATCATTTCATCAGTCATTGTAGATTATGCTTGCTCGCTATAAGTGCCGCAGAAAACCCGCACTTCTTCGAAATCCCTACAAGACTGCAATTGTTTTTCAACAATAAGTGGCACTGCGAGATCTAATTACAAACCAATCTGAAAATAGCATTCTTTGGGAATATTTTGTACTCCCTGAAATAAACTATCGTTGAAATCATTGCTACATGTTCAAAACAGGGTCAGGGTAAACCAGGTTAAATGAGCAGATATTGTATTTTATATGCATTAATGATGCAGTTTTGAGCAGCTGCAACATTATTACTCATGTATGATGCTTAGTCAGGGTAAAAATTACCTTTAGAACGTGAAATTCGGATAATTTGAATTGAATATTAATCTAACACACTCCGGAATTAATACTCAGTCAGCTTCATACATTCAAAATTTGGCTAGAGGCCATAGCAAGTGGTTATTTGAACCCCTGCATTTATTTACAGATTGCTTTCCTCGTCTCCCCTTTGAATATATACTACTTGATTAGATTTCGAGAAAAAAACTCTATAAACCATTCGACGTCTCTATAAATCATTACAATAGAGAATAACAATGCGTCTCTCATACTTATAGACACGTTAACGACAACGAGTCCGTTGGAAGCTTTGAAGTGAAAAATTTGCTGAACGTTTCATGGCAACTGTGCGCGGGGTCGCGTTAAGGCATAGTGTTGTTACTTTCCGTAGTGCAGACTTTCTTAAACATCTAGATCTCACCATAGACGAAAGCTCCCCATAATTTAATATGCTTTAAGATCTACTCAATTCAAATTATTGTTGTTATGCATGCGGTTTCTGAAATTTATTCAGGGTGGACAATGACATGGACTTGGCATGGATGACTGCTCCATAACTTCCGTTCTGCGCTGCTGTTTCTCTCTTGTAGAACGCAATGTTTCCTTTTGGAACAAAGGGGAACAAAATAACATGTTTAAATGATTGAGAAGCTTTAGAATTTCACTCGTAAAGCCCACGTTAGATGAATACTCATCAAACGACTTATCTCAGCGGTTGAGTCATTGCTTGAGTGGACATGTTGCTTCATATTGTTTGCAACAATCAGCTCAATTATTGTCTTCTGAATATATGAAAAAGCAATGTAGAAACTTTGTGAGCTCTTTTTGAGGCACATAGCGTACCTTTACTTATGAAAAAAATATATTTTTCCAGCCGTTTTAAACTGAAACCTTTGAGTTTGAATTTCCTTGTTTCATATTTATGGAGTGTCCAAAAAGAATATTTGAAGCTATAGATTCCTTACTCCGAGTTTTCGGTTAACCATTTAACTCTTAGATCAATTCGTAATTCTCCTTACTGTAAACCATACAAGTCTTGTAATGTTAGTTCAGCGAATTTAGTATTGGATCAACCAATTATCCCCAAAGTGATATTTTTCCTTATTCTCATTACTTATCTGGTTGATGTTGTATTGATATTGTAAGTATATATTCTTGTTTGGTCACTCAAGGGTGTTAAAGAGTTAACGTTAAATTGCTTGCTTTTGGCTATTATAAAATATATGTTCGAGTGATGGTGCTTTGTTTTGCTTTACTGTCATTGAAGAGCTAAATTTTAATGGAAACAAGGATGGATCGCAAAAGTCAGATAAACCTTTGAGAGACAAAAAATAGGCTTTGACAACTAATTCTCTGCATCGTTTACAGCCATTCCTTGCGGCCAGATTACAAAGAGCAGATGCATTTCTGTAATTACAAGTTCAGTTATATCTATTATTCAGAACCATCTTAAAACTGCAAGTAGGATGTTCTAAAATTGGGGCTCAACTTTAAAATCCCCTTGCAATGTGACTGTAATAAAATCGGAGGCAGTAAGGACCAACAATCTGAAAAAATTATACCAATAAAAATCGACGTTGAAGGTAACGTGTACCTGGGACGCATCTTTCCTGAGCGTAAAGTTCTTTTACTTTAATGTCTGCGTTTTAAATTTCGATGACGCAAATGACGCAAAGTTTATCAAGGTAACTGATTTGTTTGAATTTCTTCTTTGTAGTTTTGATATCTTGTACCCTGCTGACTAGCGCTGAACACAGTAAGTAAACAGATCTCGTTCAACAACTGCCTGTGCATCTTGGAAAGTATTATTTTCAGAATTTTCTGAATGGAAGCTACATATTTGTTTGCTTTTTATTTTGTTGTTGTTTTGTTTTATGTTTTATTATCTTTTTGAAGGAAACCTTTCCATTGCATTAGGCTTGCTGATAGAGCCTGGATCAATTACATATTGATCTTTCCCGTTGCTCATATCATATCTTAAACCATAAATTTAGTTGTATATATTAGATCTATATTCTAAGAAATATTTATCAAAACTGGACTGGGGCTTTTTCCATTTTTCGATCCCTATAACTTCGTGATTTAGATAAAATCAACAATTCAGTTGCTGTATCAATGCATAAGAAGTAGCCCTGGGAAAATCAAGGCATGTGAGTTTCTATGATAATCTGAACACTTGTTATTTATTAAGACACGTTTTTAAAAGTCACAGAAGCGAGAAATGATAGTCTATCAAAAATGTTTCATTTTTTCCCTAGCTTGCGAGGTCAGTTTAAACCAATCCACTGGACTGATAGATGTGACACAAGCAGATTATAAGAATCTATACTGCGATTGGAAAATTGGAAATTTTGGAATAACGGACGCGGTTGCACTTTTTCTATTCGACCAAACTGCCATTGTTTCTTGCAGGTAAATAATACGAGTTTTCAATAATAATATATAGATTTAGCCAAGCCTAGAAGCGGAGCTCTTGTTAGTTTATTTTCCAGCCCTTCACTATACTGAATAAAAACTGCAAAAAATCTCTTCAGCGCTGGCTGTAGAAGAGTTTCTTCAAGGGGATTGAGAGAACAGTTCGGGGGGGGGAATAGTGCCGAAGTCTGGAACCTGGGGACGATGTTCTCTCAACTTACAAAGCGATTAACACGCATACTACTCAGCGGTATCTTCAAACAGCTCATGGCCTTCGTCGTTGTTCCCGATGTTTTGAGCAAATTTTCGAAGATAGGTAATATTTCTTCTTCAGAAAAAGTGTATGCTGTCAGCATCAGTTGAAATTACATTCTATTATGCGTGACTTATAATTTCGGTTTGGGAAAACGAGTCAAAATAGAAAGAAACGACGGTAAACTACTTTGCGTTAAGACATCACTAGTCGATTGAAGTTTATACACATGAGCACAGTGAGTCAGTAAAACAATACGCCAGAATCGTATGGGCTTCTCTTAGATCTTCTCTTGAAGTTGCCCGGTATGACTGCTTACCCCATCGTTTTTCCCCAACGTTTCAACCTCCTCTGTTTAGCGTAGAAAACTAAAACAAAAGTGATTTGCAGCTCGTGTTTGAACCTGTAATTTTTGTTAACTTTTTCGCTTTTGGCTATTCTTGTTTCATGATTATCCTCTGGCTGGAAATATACGACGTCTTTTTGAGATTTTTTTTTCTGTTATTTAATTCCGTTACTTCTACTGCAACTGCATATAATGTGGGTGTCTTTAAGAAAATTTGAGATAATACCTGGATTTCATTTTTACATCACAGAAATTAATTTCAAACATCAATTAAGTTTTCTCTTTAGTTTAAAAGTTGAGTTGATGTTGTTATTAGCTATATTAAATAGGTTGAAAAGTTTTTGATGGTATTTTCTCACGTTTGCAAAGAATTGAATTTACTGGAAGGTGGAGTTATTGCAACACGTTAACATGAAACTCAACAATCAATTTTATTGATATGTAAAATGTTTTCTACTGGCAAGTCTTTGTAGTATATTTCAACTCAACCATCTTCCACAACTTGTAAACACTATTACAAAATAATTAGTTGGGGAAATGAAAAACTTGTGGCGTATACACTATGTTTGGAATGCTATGTCCATAATAAGCTAACTGGATTGATGAGGGTGTGTGTGGGAATAGGCTCTCTTGCTCTTATCTTCTAAACTTAATTCCCTGTCATTATCGAAGCTGGAAAAGAAATGTTTATTTTCTGGTGAATATTTTTGTCCGACATACTTTTTCTATGTCGAAATTTAACATCATCACAATGACCGAACCTACTGAGCTTTAAGCTTTTAACAGACAAAAGGATGGTTGAAAAGTTACTGTAAACATTTCTTTGTGTTTCTGTGTTGTTCTAACTTGAGACGAACTCAAAGTTCGGCAAAATTTACTTGATAGCGACCATGAAATATACATGGTGTGCCTACTTGTCGCCACCGTTTACTGGTATAAATTACTAAAATTTGTGAAGAAACCTAACATAACACTCTTACCTTGTTTATTTATGATTTATAAGCTGTCTCGACTATGATATTACGCCTAGGTATGACTTTTTGATAGGAGCCCAGGTTTTGCGCTGCGTTTTCCCCTCCCCCACTCATATCATTAGCCAGGCACGCAATAATTGATAGGGATCAAAATCAGGGATCTGGTACGTACCTTTCACGGTGTCTCTAACTTTAGTGCACTACCTGAGACCTAGCTGGTACGTTTTAAGGTGTTTTTAGTTGAGTCAAATACCTGAAATAAGCATTACTAGGACGATTTTAATGATCTGACTTTAGCCTCTAGAGCACATGGATCAAGAAGTTTCTATTTTTGGGATTTTTCAATTTTTTGCATTTGAATTGGTACTTTTTAGGGGTAGACATCGATTGTTACCACCACCACACAGATAAGACTCAGGTACTATTTATAATTTTATAAGGGTCGTTTTCGAAATTCCCGGCGTGCATCCCCGCCCTCTTATGTTATATAATTGTGGTGTCCCTCGTGGGGTGATGACACGTGCAGCACACTTGAAATTGAGCAAAGGCAAATTTTAATGTGGTTTTTGGTGAAGAGAAACAAGTTCTTTCAGTGTGTAGTAGCTTGAGCGGATGGGTCCTTTTTCACCTTGTGCATAATTACGCGCCCCGCCAGACTGCGGGAGGCCATCAAAGTGTTCAGACATTAGTATAGAAAACTCCGCCTCTGTCTCGATTTTTGGTAGCCTATTGACCAATTCCTAATCGATACTTAGGTCTGACGGGAAGCTTAATTTTGCCCACGGTGGTAAGAAGCCTACTTATTGGAGCTAGGCTTTATGAATTTTCCAGACATCTTGAGTACTATCTGTGATACACGCTTCCCAATTCCCCTATCGGCTTTTGGAATCGACTTAACCCTAAATTTACAATGGCCGGACACCTCTTTAGACACTCAACATCTCCCAACATTGTAAAATCAACGATATCTGTTAGAGTCTCGAGGATGCCGGTGCCCGGCTAAATGAGATCAACTGACAGCTCGAAATGACCCGTTGGATGTTTCTTTTGACCGAGGGAAAAGCGCAAGCATTTAGTTCAATGTTTGGAGGAAGGTCGTTTTTGAACCTTTTCCGCGATAATCGAACACCGTTAGATTCTGTAAGAGACAAACTTGTGACACTAATTTATTTTGTAAAAGTTCAATGCCAGATTGTTAAGACGACATTGTACAGTGCGAGTTTGTTATTTCAGATCCTTCAACAGGTAATAATCGTTAAAACTAGAAGATACGATTGAGTTCGATGCAATAGTCTCTACTTCTGTTAAGACGTTGACATTAATGTTGATTTGCATCAGAAAATAAGCTGAGAGTGCCAATAGTTCAGAGTAGAACCATTTTTACTTATCATAGGCTTTACGAACGACTTGTAGAAGGAGTAGTTACTTCGTTCTTGTCAAGAAACTGTTTAATGTTATTTAATTAGAAAATCAGATGAGTCACTCATAACGGTTATTTTTGTGACTGGACGCAATAGTGTCCACTATAGTTATGACGTTTCGTATTAGTGTTGATTCGCATCAGAGGAAGCAAAGATTTATTGTTACAACTCCAATAGTTCGAATGCAGTAGTTTGTTCGTATCTAATTCTTGCGTATACTGTACGACTCGCGATATTAATTTTCGGCAGAATTGGAACGAAATGGCTGTTTTTCTTTACCTTTATTGAGGAATGTTGTGTTGTGATTGAAGAGAACATCGACAAAAACTTGCAAATAGAATTAGTTACCAAATATGGTACAAACGATGCTTAAAAGGAAAGTTTGGTAGAGGGGTCGAAATCCGCTGTGACACTAGGAAAGGAGTCATTGATGGATCTGGACATTTTAGTTTTCTGAAAATTGATTCCTGGAAGGTTTTTCTAGATATCATGGAAAGAGCTTGGTATTTCGGAGATTGAATCATCTTTGAATTTATATGTGTCGGGCCTGTTATGAAACTGATACAATTAGATGGAGAAGATATATAAACTGGAACTCAAATCTGGCTAGAATGTGGTAGAGCATAATGTATAATGTGATCATCGAAACAGCTAATAAAATCATAGATAAACAAGGTGAGTGTTATGTTGGATTTTTTTTACAAATTGTAGTGATTTATGCCAGAAAACGGTGACGTCTAGTAGGCACACAATGTATATTTCACAGTCGCTCGCTGGTAAATTTTGCCGGACTTTGAGTTCGTCTCAAGATAGAACAACACAATTACACTAGAAATTTACAGTAACTTTTTAAATATCCTTTTGTCTGTTAAAAGCTCGAGGCTCAGTAGGTTCTGTCATATCGGTCATTGTGAAAACTGTCTTTGTTTTGATGCTACTATTCGACATAGGAAAAGTATGTCGGACAAAAATATTCACCAAAAAATAAATATTTCTTTGCCAGCTTCAATAATGACAGGGGATTAAGTTTAGAAGATAAAACAAAGGATTATGTTGACAGAAATACCGGAGGTCAAGTATATTCGTTACATGAGGTCACAACTCGGGTAATATTCACGGTGAAAATTTGCATATTTGAGCGTTCGAATGAAAAAAATCATTTCTCGAAAACTGAAATATTTTTTACAAAAAAAAACAACACAATTATTAGGACATATTGGGCTTCAAAATATGAAAGTAGGAGTGAAAGGAAGTTTGGGGTTGCCACTGTTTGTCTGATACATGCTGACGTTGGCTCTTAATTACTGATAAAATTCCGAGAGTGTGATTCAATTATTCAAAAGAGAATATCAAAGCGGGTTACGGAAATGGTTCATGAATTGTAAACTGCTTATGTGTTGACAAAACTTTCCTTAATTATGGTGCCGATACGAATTTATCGATCATAATCGCTCATGAAATTCCGAGATTGTACCTCAATAAATTCAACAGAAAATATCCAGGAAGGTTACTGGGACGGAATCTTAAATTCGAAAACTGTAAACAACAATTATATACGCTAACCATGTGCTTACCAGCGTGCTTGGGAGGTCAAATTACCAGAACTCCGTTGAATTACACGATCACAGCTTGGACGCTTCTTGCAAAATGTGATGACTATCGGTCTCAGGGATTGATTCTTCAGTTTCCAGCATTAGCAAAAAATTATCGTATCGCAAGCATCTTCATCATAGCCTGAGCAGTAAGTCCGCCTCGAGCTGTTTAGCGAAGAGAAAGTGGCTCCATGTTTTGTAAGAGAATTTAAACCATCTCCTGAAGTTCGAACGAATCTAATAGACAGCATGAAAACATAGCGCTGAAAAGTAAGACAACTCATCCCGCTGTTGCACTACCTCCATTTTAGCCGTGAGTTTGTTTGCACAACATATTTACGGTCCGTAATTTATTCTCAGATGTTTGACGGTTTCTCACATGACAATATTGTCAAAATCGAGTTACGCGTCAGACTTAACGTAAACACGAACATCGCTGACTCAGTCTCGTTCAATTTCAATTTTGGAAAAGGCCATTACTTCTTTCTTAGGGGTAAAACAACACATCATCGACAAAGCGGGATGTTTTAAAAATCAATATAGTAAATCTTGCGATAGTTAACTGAGAGAGAAAAAAGTAGAAACTTGCGCTCGCTGTCGCCATCAGGCAAAGCAAAATCCGTAAGATAACTTCTTTTCCCTTAGCACCACAACCGTATTAAACATTCCAAATGATAAGACAAGAAACAACCTGAAGAATAAGAGCATGATGAGATGTTTTCGAGCAATGAAACCGGCGCGAGGGTTTTCAGGCGATAAATGCCAAAGTCAATTATTTTACCGAAAAGTAATCAAAAATTTAAAAAAAACTGAAGCTGGTATGAAACGACGATTGGTTGAAAAAAAGGTTTGCATTTTTCTGGGCCTCAGCGTAAGAGAAAACCCAGATAAGGCACGATCGACTTACCTCCTCTTCTTCCGATCCTTTGTAGTTCGGCTCTCTGTGTTTATGACCTCTTTTCTGTCTGTTTTCAGGAGCGTCTTTGTATCGCGTTGCTCTTAGCTAGATATTCGCTCTTTTACTTATGCCTTTCCTTGTTCTCTTTCGCGTTCCTTTCGCTGTATTCTGCCTATTTTGGCGTCCTTTCTAACTTTCTTCCGCGATTTTCTCGACTCGCTTTACGCCGTTTACTTGTTGCTTTCTTTGTTCGCTCTGTCTCTTTCGATCCAGCCTATTTTCACTCAAAAGCCTCTCTCCACGAACTTGAATTATAAAAATTTCCTCCGGTTGACAAAGCTTCAGCTCTGCCGGTATTTTTGCCTTGCGAGTTGACGGAAAATTGAAAAATACTGAGAGTTACTGTTTAACCACATCCTCACCAGTTTGATTTCCCGCTCAAAACGCGGGTTTCAAATTATTTACTTGCGCGCCTTCACTTCTACTAGCTCACTTGAATCCCTCGCGTAATATCTAACCGTGCGCCCGCGGTACGCTGCACCAAGGCTCGGCACTGGACTATGCGCTCTTCATTTTCATCTGCTGGCGTCTCCAAGCGCACACTAGTGGGGTATCCAAGTTACGCAAGCAATAGCGCTGCACATTACATTCTTCCTCGGCCTTCCATTACATAATGGCTGAGATAGTGCCCGCGGTGCAGTTGGTCACGCATGCTAAAAGTAGCACCTGGTACGGATGCCCGTACGGTCATAAGTCGAAATTTTTTCGGCTTGATGGGTTACTACTATTTCGTGTACTTATGGGGCTACGCTGCTCACGCTGCGAGGTCTGCTATCAATGCTTTATGGCGAATCTTTTCACAAATAAGAACGTGTCCTCATAAGAAACATTAATTTGTACGCTGTCAAGTGTTATAAATTCATATAATCAAATGAAAACAGTTGTAAATGCACTTTTGACAGCTGCAAAGAGCGTTTTAAAGTCTTTATAGCACATAAACAGACGCCTCTTAATTAAGAAATTACGTAGGGCATTTATAGGTATAGTATAGCTCTCCTGTTGTGTGCCAGTTTCCGATATAGCACTATTGTGCAGTTACCACCATCATAAAAGTTACTAAGCTATTTACAGCATGCTAAAAAAGATCGAAGACTGATGCCTCGTAATTTGTTTGTTCACATCGTGTGAGCCAAGCATCTTAACATAGATATCCGGAAAAAAAAAATAAACGTGAGGTGTTCAGTCTCTCTCAGTTTTCACAGGATCACGAGATATCTAGAGTAAAAAACATAGGGAGCTAACCATCATTCATATACCAACCGAAGTTTTTTTCCAAACGTATTCTTGAGCTATAAGTGTATCTGTAGTTCGAGATATCTGATAACCACTGCTGTCATAATCAAAATTTGTTACTTTCCAGAGAGAAACGAGCATCGTGTTTATTTTTTTCCGCTTTAGTACAGGAAGCGCGTTTTAACTTTTGTGTTTTCTGCCATTTATTGCAGCGAGTATGTGAAGATTTTCAGTGGCGATGGAACCCTCGAATATCACAAGGAGGGTTGTTGTCCCAACGATCCAGGATCCTTTGTTGAAATTCCTTTTATGCAATCCGAAAACATCGAAGTCAATATTTTATTGACTGAACTACAAAGCCGCATAACATCCCACTTTGTGATATTAAAACATGGCCTCCATTCAGGTACGGAAAAATGTTACCTGTCATTGCGCTTTAAATTTGCACAGTCTCCTTACTTTTTACATTCTTTTTAAACATCTCTCTAAAGGTTTGATTTTTCTGCCTCTACTGTGCATTTCACCGCTTGATGTTACATTTTACGAACGGAATTCTTCATTGATGCCTAGGAATGAAAAAGCACCTCTGAATTTTTACTCTTTTAGCTACTTATACTCCTGGCTGGCTAGCGTCAGTAGACAATATCACAAGCTCAAGTATTTTAATTCAGTGGAATAACCTAACCAGCTTTATAAATCGAGAACTACTTCACTACATTGTCTTTCTCTCATCCTCCGATGGAAGCGCTCCATACTATGCTAATGTAGATGGAAGTAGACTAGATATAGAAATTTATGGACTGGACCATTCACAAAGGTATCATATGGAAGTGTTTGGAGTGGACGCACTTGGCTATTGTTACAAGACTCTAGAATTGAACGCTACCACGAAAAAAGGTAAGGCAATACGGTACGAGCTTAGGTCTTTTTTCGTTATTCGTCTGGGTGGCCATAGAAAGTTGCCCGGCCAAATATACCATTAAAATGTAAACTAAAAATTGAACTTGATGTTTTGTTTTCCAAAGACCTTGCGACGAAGGACTTTAAGCTGTACACATATTGACTTGTTGACATCCCATCGAAAATCGACTTACAAACTTTTGGGTAGCAGCAACTATATTATTAAATTGTGTCAATTAAATCCCCTAGCCCAGGTTATTCGAAGGGTGGATAACGCTATCCACTGAATAAATCGCCTTCCGGTGGATAGCAAAGAATTTTTCGTTAACAGTAGTCGCTAGAGAGTGATTTATCCGTTGGACAGCGTTATCCACCCTTTGAACAACCGGGCCCTGATGGTGATTTTCTTATCGAGACCTACGCTGTGCCACACTACGCCAAGAACAATGTATAAACATCACTTAAAGATTCGGCGATAAGATCGGATACGAAGTGACGATTTTGCTCTATCCGAAAATTGGTCATAATCATAATAGTAATTCAAGACTTCAAAGCTAAGTACACATGCTTAGAAATTTATCAGGATGGTGAAGAAATCTCGGTCCACGCCGCAAGGACTCGAGCCAGAAGCGATCGTGTGGTCAGATACTCTATCAAATGAATGATAGAAAAGGCCATGAAAAAGATTAAATTATCAATTATATTGATAAGAGATAATAATTTATATATATATATATATAGCCGGAAAATGATAAAAATATTCAAACAGCTTTATTCTGAGACCTTGCTGAATTGTTGCTTGTTTCTTTTTCAGTGTCATGCGGATATCGACCAAGTGGCATGCGTATTGTTGGTGGGTCAGTCGCCCCAATCAATAGCTGGCCCTGGCAGGCGATGCTGCGGGACAGTTATGGTTGGCAGTTTTGCGGTGGTAGTTTGATACATCCGTTCTGGGTTGTCACGGCCGCTCACTGCGTACATGGAAAATCCGCGTCGTCGGTGAAAGTCCTGTGAGGAGAAAATTTTTCTTCACGCTTAACTGTCTTTTAAAAATTAAGCCTTTAGCAGTTGATATTCCTAATAACTTGGCAACAAGTGTTGAAAATACATTCAATCCTGCACGCTGGAAGTTAATTGAAAAGCTGGAAATTTTACTGTTGAACAACAAAGATTCATGAATAGAACCTGATAAGCTGAACCTCGGGCGAACTTTTCAGATAGGATTAACTTTTCAATGGCGCAAACAAACCTTGATGTGCAGCAAGGTGACTTAAACCGAGGGCCCCTAGATTTGAAATCTAACACCACCTACAAAACTGCATCACACGCGGCCTCGCCGTTTCCCCTTGACGGTTAATTGACGCTCAATATGTTTTTAAAAGATTTTTATTGCATACTAAAATCTGCGATTTTTTCTTACGGTACAATTAATAACATGTATTGTGTTTTGATTGGATTCCAGATTGGGGGCACATTACAAATCTTATGGCAATGTCAGCACAGAGCAGAATTTTGATGTTATAAAAATAATTGAACATGAAAGCTACAATAGCCCATACCGCTGGAGCAACGATATAGCTCTATTACGGTTATCAAAACCGGCTAAGCTTGGAAAAGGAGTTGGGCTTGTTTGCCCTCCGGATACGAGTTTTCAGCTTCCTTTCGATAGTCCTAACAAGAAGTGCTGGATAACTGGTTGGGGAAGACTTTCGTACAATGGAACCTATCCCAACGAGTTGATGCAAGTTGATTTACCTTTGGTATCAAAAAAGCGCTGTATTACGTCATACCCAGGTAAAATCGATGACTCTATGATATGCGTTGGCCAAGATGAAGGTGGAATAGGAGGTTGTTTTGGCGACAGCGGTGGACCACTTGTGTGTGAGTTCAGTGGTAAATGGTATCTGGAGGGAGCTACTAGTTGGGGGAGCAAACGCTGCGCAGACCCACTGAAATACACTGTATATGCCAACATTCGCCATTTAAAGTCGTGGATAACAGGCAAGATGTCCTCTTTCCCTGTTACGGCGTTTTACCTATCATGTAATTTTGACAAAAGTCTGTGTTCGGGCTGGGAGCAGTCTTACTCAGATGCTTTCGACTGGACACGACATCGGGGTTCAACTCCATCTCTGTCTACAGGACCATCCTATGACCACACCAGTGGATCAGGTATGTACTTGCTATCATATACGAGTCGATGGGCTGACTCTCTAAGTTTATCCTGACCCAGAAACCTTAGCATTAAGAGACTATTTATTCACGTAATTCACATTCACAAGATATTTGTTAAGATTATCCGACTGTATACCGTTGCTATGCAGATAAACCATTTTGAAAAGTTTCTTAAACTTTTAAGATAAATTGGTTTTATCGACTTAGATGATAACGCAAGTTGACCAACATACATAGCTGATGTTTGAAGCCTTAGTCATACTTACCTACTTACTCGCTCACTCTCGTACACTAAGCCATCTTTCCGTCACATTGGCTATTCGATATAAACAAACTCGGGTTAATTTTGCCGATGAATTTTGCAGAAACTTGAATAGAGACATCAATGTAATTTTTACATATATATGTATTTCTTTGTTATTTAGGATATTATATGTACATCGAGGCATCGTCCCCTCGAGTTATAGGTGATAAAGCAAAGCTTGAACTCTCCTTATGCGGAAATGGAGATAGGGCTTGTCTTACATTCTACTATCACATGTACGGAAACACTACGGGGACCCTAAATGTCTTCAGTGGAAGTAAGGTTGTATTCAGTGCCTCAGGAAACAAAGGCAACTATTGGCAGAAAGCCCAACGAACCATTTATTTGGACAAAGTTGTAAGTCACTTAAGCATATCATTGTTTTTTTTTCAACACCCTTATAATACCAGGTGTAAATAACTCTTATCTGAAATGACTGCTTATCGCAATGCAATGTAGGCAGGGTGGTTTGTGTGAAAATTTAAGTTCTTTGCTTACAGCGTTAATAATTCCATGAGGTGAAGGATTATTGACAAAGTGGGATAAGAGTTAAGTGTCCAGTTATACACCTCTAAATTCGATTTATTATAGAACGTCCTTTATTCAAATTTTGTCTTAGGTCACTTTTGAGGGGATAGTAGGATCATCTTTTAAGGGAGACATTGCCATTGATGACGTTTCGATTAAGAGCGGACGCTGTCTTACATCACCAGGTGCGTAGCATGAACATTTTAATAGACGCTACGTGTGATTCTCTCTTTTCCTTTCACAATCTTGAAAACTGCAGCTGGGCTAAGTCACTCAAAATCAATTCTCAACAAACACCCACAAAGTTTTCATAACGAGCTCACTCTTAATAGCCTCTCATCTTTGCCGGCCTTTTTACGCACTTCACTTTTCGAAATTTCCTCATTAATATTAATACCACTCTCAAAAAAATAAGACTTAATTTATCTCAGTTCAAATTCATAGTTCTCTTCCGAGCTCGGAGAAACCCCCTACGAGATCATAGGAGACGGTGATCAAACTTGTTGAATAACTATACGCAAGAAAATCAGGATTAGTCTTATTTTATCTTATTGAATATTTCAGCAACCACGACGTGTAATTTTGACAGTAGACTGTGCTATGGTTGGTTGCAGTCTTACTCCGATGTCTTTGACTGGACACGAAATAGGGGAGCAACGACATCTTCGAACACTGGCCCAAACTACGATCACACCACAGGCTTTGGTAAGACTCCTTAGAACTAACATCTACGATTACATTTCAATTTCTTTGGTTAACGATATCTTAAAATGCCATGGACACAGCGAAATCAAGCGCCTTTTTTTCTCCTTTGAGAAACGCATGGAATTTAAAGTGAGTCTTTTTGGTCTCATAATTGGCTGTCATTCTGTCACTTTCAAAGAAATGACAAAATACGTGTGTGACGGGATGTTGTGTCTGCTCTACATAAGACCATTCGAAGAAAATGGAACGGGTGTTTTATCGCCCGCGAGAAAGCTTTGAACAACGCGAGTCGTCTGAGACCTGACACTAATAATGAGAGCCTGCAAGAATAATATTACTTTTTCATTCAGCGCGTTCGCTTAGTTGGCAGTTCCTGTCATTATGACAAAGACCAGCGACTTTGCCTAGTAATCCAAGCGTTGATATGCAAAAATCTATCGACTAAAACAAATTTGCTTAAAACAGCATTATTGACAAATTTGTTCAATTTCATATCAAACATACTTAAGTTCACCCAACTTGAAATTGAAAAAGAACCATGCTTTTTTTTTTTTTTTTTTTTTCCGAATACGTGATAAGTGATTTATAATTCCACTAGGATTCCATTATTTAGTTCAATAGCATCTTGTTTTGACATACACTTCACGGCATCATCAAAGATTCCCACCGATCTTATAAAGTGTGCGAATGACGAAAACAATATAATCAATATAAACAATATATCTTTTTGAAATCTCTGCTGACAGCCAAGTGACCTGTTCCACTAAAAAGGTCCTCTTTTAGAAAAGTTTGGCAAATCAAAGTTTAAATCGTTCATTGCGGAAATTTTGTTGCTCCACTCTCTGTTTGTATTTTTGGCCAGCTCTACGGTCCACTACAACAACACATTTTACGCGTTCTGTTGCACTTGAATGGATAAACGGCTTGTCATAACTTACATACATTTCAGTTGATTATATATGTTGACAATTTTCATTTTCTCAGGCTACTATATGTACATCGAAGCGACCAAGAAAAATGCTGGTGACAACGCCAAGTTAGAGCTTTATTTAAACGGAAACGGAGAAGTCTCTTGCCTTAGGTTCTATTATCACATGTATGGAGATACTATTGGGGCACTCAATGTCTACAGTGAAAATCATTTAATATTCAACTCTATTGGAAATCATGGAAACCTTTGGATAAAGGCAGAAAGGACATTTCATTCAGACACAACAGTAAGTCTTGTTGGAAGAAGTAATCTCGGAAAACGGAAACATATTTTTATAATAAGATCGCGAGTATTATAACAATATTGACCCCAATAGTTATGGACAAGTATATGATTTTCATCGAAAAAATCCAATGAACAGAAAACACGCACCCACCAAAATTCATCGACAATAATTTTCGAGAAAAAGTTTCCTTTTTTTTTTGACAATATTAATTGTGTTCAATCAATATTTAAATCCATCTCCACTAAAAATTTGGCAACTTTTGGGGTGTTATCTTTCTCTCCACCCTCTACATCTAAATAAATTCATTAAGAAAATCCATCTTTGCTTCTGCAGTTGACATTTGAAGGAATAGTAGGATATTCCTTCACTGGTGACATAGCCATTGATGACGTCACCGTATCCAGTGGGAGCTGCTCAAGGCAAACTCCACCTCCAACATGGCATCCAGCTCTGACAACTCTTAAGCCTTCTTTAACACCTAACAGTTCCAACAATGTGACCACCCAAAAGCCGTCCATGCCAGGTACTTGCCGAGATAGAAAACATAGACCTAGTCTTCAAGACTTAAGTTCATTATTTTATGTGGGAAGAGTCAAAAATGTGTCAACTGCACTCTTATCTATATGTCAAATATTTCCCTTTGTCTTTCTGTCAAAAATTCAATTTTTGACACATTTAAGGTATTTACCATTGTGCTTTTGTCATCAGGATTTTTTTTTATTAAACAAAACGCATTTTATACACTACTAAGCAATAGAACATACAAATATCAAATACGTTGAGAGAGCTAATGTTGAACCTCAATAAGAAGTAGAGCATGCTATATTTTATTTTCAGCACAATGTTTTGTCTTTTCTCTTTACGATTCTAGATGATTCTCCAACAACCAAGGGGAATTTTACGTCGACCCACGTGGTGACTTACAATCCGACTGCTATTCCTCGCACTCCATCGTCAAAGGAAATACAAGAAGCAGTAATGTTACAAATGACAAATTTTGATATGAAGAAGGTGATCTTTAGTTATTATGTATTTATTTGGCGAAGACGAAGAAAAAAGTCCTACACGTTTATTATACCATATATCACTAAACACAGAAACAATTTTCACTGTACATGTAGTTTGAGTTGAATCAACCGACGCGAATTCCTTTTGTCGCAGCATTCATGAAATTATTCCCTTTCCTGTTTTTTATCTGTCCATCGCAGTGGAAGGAGATGGAAGCAGACTTTAAACGACAAGTTGCAAGTGCAGCTAATAAATATTGTGCAGATGGAGGAGCATCCTGTCAAACAAGGTAAACCAATCATCAATCTTAAAAAAGCAGTTAGCAAACTAAATGAAGAACAAAGCAAACGTAATGCAAAGGGACGAACGGTGAGATGGATAATTATACTCATCAGATGGCCTAAGCCGATGGCTGCTTTAAAGTCCGCTCTAATTGACTATGAGCAGAGTGAATACGGCATTAAGCCCTAATAGCACCCACGGCTCCACTATCGACTACGCATATAAGGAAGAACGAGATAGGATAACTAAGGACCGAAGTAATAATAATAATTATTATATACTTGTGGAAGGTCACATATACTGCTTGATCCATTTCAGCCTTCGTCGGAGACGATCATCTGATAGCATGAAATTCTCAGACGATATGGTTCAGATTGTCCCTGGTTACCCAAGGCTGTCACCGGACGATCCAAGCATAACGTTGTTGGCTTTCTACCTACAACTTCCTGGAGGTGTCGGAGATAATTTGGTCAGCGAAGATGTCCTGAAAAACCTCGTGAAAAGCGATATAAAATCTATTGAAGAGTCGATGGGTGTTAGCATCACAACTGTTCAGTCAATGCCATCCACTAAGAATGAAGTAGATCAAGAAGATGAGACAGATGACGAAGGATCAATCTCAACCTCGGTTATTGTGGGTGTTACCCTTGGATCCCTGTCCTTGCTGGGGATTCTCATCGCTGTCAACTTCTTTATCAAATCTTATAGGTACAAGAGTCTCTTTTAAAGTTCAAAGAGGAGCAGATGAATAATCATATCGCTATGTCATAGAGGTTTCTCAAATAAAGCGATTTTGCCTCGACTCCAAAGCGACTGTAGGCCCCTCAACGAGCTGAGAAAGGGGTTGTGGGAAAAGGAGAGATTAGGAGAAAGGAACAGGTCATCAATTTTTATCTGTATAAAAATATGAAGATTATGACAAAAAAAAAATAAGCCAGAAGTTGAAATAGCAATTTAGCTGGGCTGAGTTGGCTTTCGGTTCTCTCGAAATTCTTTCACTCTCACAGACATTATAAATAGGTATCATGTGATAATTATCACCTTCATAGGAGTTTCATTTGATTTCCACCATAGGTTTGGCCCCAAATGCCGTGCCCTGTCCACCGACAAGGTCAATCAAGGAATTGATTTAGATCAAGAAGCTGTTAATAAGAATGCAGATAAGCATGGTGTGACTTCCAGCAAACCAAGTGGTACGACAATAGCTGGGGTGTCAGTTGAGGAAACATCACTTGACGAGGAATACCATGAGGAGAAGCTGCCCAGGCCCGGTGAAGAGATGCCGCCAAACGAAAATATGAACTGCTGATCTGTATGAAAAGGAAGGTGGCCCTTGTTCCTAGGGAAAAAACAGTTATTTTTTTAAAACTTCTTCTCTTACGACTTTTCGCGTTCATGATTGTCCTCTGGTCGGAAATACACGGAGTCGTTTTAAGATTCTTTTCTGTTGTATAATTCGGTAACCTCTGCTGTAATTTCATGCAAAGTAAGTTCCCTTTAAGCCGACTGTCCATGATCTTGGCAACTCTAGCCACTAAAACACGAAATTTGGGTAAAATGTTTCTTGCGTTTGATTTAAAGGGAAGCAATCTAGAACTAGAATATTATAATTAAAACTTGATGATGTAAAGAGACCGAGGATTCGACCATGAAGATATTCGTAGATACCTTGAAATAATACCTGGATTTCATTTTTACATTGAAGAAATCAATTCCAACACAATGAAGTATTCGATTTAGTTTTAAGTTGAGTTGATGTTGTTCTTGGCTATATTAAAGAGGTTCAGAAAAGTTTTAGATGGTATTTACTCAAGTTTGCAGATAAATGTATTTACTGGAAGGTGGAGTTATGGCAACATGTTAACATGAAACACAACAATAAATTTATTGTTCTGTAAAAAGGTTTTCATATGACCATACACTGGCAAGTCTTTGTACTATATCAACCCAACCTTTTAAATTTTTGCAACTTGTAAACACCATCACGAAATAATTAGTCAAGGAAATGGAAAGTTTGTTACATATACACCATGTCTGAAGTTCCATGCCCAGAATAAGCTAACAGGGTTGAAGAGGGTGTATGTTGATTTATTATCTGCTATGTAACGGGGGAGTTTCCTTCACTTTTGTAAGTTCTTAAGAACTACAGGCCTTTTGCTAATATTCCGTTCCTTAGTAAAGTGATTGAAAAGGTTGTCGAAACACAAATAATTTGATGCCAACAACGCAGTCTGCATACAGGAAACACCACTCTACGGAAATGACCTTGCTACGTGTGACAAACGACATTTTTAGAACGGTTGACCGTCGCCAAGATGTTGTATTAGTACTACTCGATTTATCAGCGGCCTTTGACACTATTGATCATACGATCTTGGTGGAATGACTCAAGTCTTAGTTTGCTTTCTCAAAACTGACTCTGTGCTGGTTCAGATCTTACCTTGAAACCGTCGGCAATCAATAGTTATCAGAGATCAAGTGTCCACTCCTTGTGCTCTGCGTTAAGGTGTCCCACAGGGGTCTATACTTGAACCATTACTTTTCACCCTTTGTATCGCCCCTCTTCAACACGTAATTGATCGCCATAGCCCTCCAAAGTTGTATAGAGGATGTAATACGATGGAACACGCAAAACGTGCTAAGAAGTAATGCTGAAAAGACGGAGTTTATACCATTTACGGCGAATGGCTCTGAAATCAGACCAACCAAGACATTATAATCCGGAAATTCCTTCAGAGAGCGTTTAGCTCGGAGAATTTATTAAGTAGGCTTTGCGTTCTTCAACTTTTTTGTTCAACAGCAAATTGCTTTCAAAAAATCAATTTTACTCAAATTTTTGTTTTCTCTAGTTTTGAGTTTAGTGCTGCAAACCGAGACTGAATAATTAGGCATGATCGGTTTAATCGTTTTTCCATCGCTGTTTTTTTTTTGTTTTTTTTTTTACTTTCAGTGTCGAGGTTTTGCTTTTGTTCAGCTTGTTAAAGGTTTTTTTTTTTTGGTTTTTTTTGTTTTTGCTGTTGCAGGCAACCCATTCAAAAATGTCGCGTTTGGCTTTCCCTGCCGGCTGCATCGAGGTTGATATGCAGTTGCATCGAAGAAGGCTAACCACATTTGATTATAGTCCTTCTTAGTTTTAGTCAGAAGCAAGGATCGGTATCTTTGTACAGAATTGTAGTGACCCGTTTTAGTTAATACATTTGACTTGCATCATTTTTCTGTCGTCATTTTAGTAGAATTCCCGTTGGTACGTTAGCGAGGTAAAGTGCTCTTCGCTATCCCTCGTTAGTCTGGCAAAAATATTTAAGGTGAAGTTGTGTTTTCTTTCGGTACATTTACCAATATTTGAGTAAAATAAAACTTCATCGTATGTCACTTTGTTTTAGCATTTCCATCTTATAATCAGGTGGACCATGCCTCTTTCCATCACCTTCATTGTGGAAACGTGTAACATTTCAAAGTAGCACTTTGTAGAAAGAAAAAAGTTTATTCAACGAGGAGACTTAAATGGACACTTTTAAGACTTTTCTCGAGAATATTTGAGCGTTTGTATTCTTTGTCTAGCATCGGTCGACAGCAGTAGTCATTACAGAAAAGATATAATGCTCGTAATCTCACCCGTATTTCGTACGAACTGTTGCGTAAAACCCCGCGAGAATTTTATTTAGGACATCCAGTTTATAATTTCAAACCCGTTTTTTAGTCAGTTGTTATACCTTTGTGGGGAGTTATTATTGTATCATGGGTATGATAAGATAAATTTTCCCCGCTAACATTGCTCGTGCGATATTATTTGGCACAGAACTTACTTACTGACTGGGTTTTATCAAACTTTTAACTGTCATGGTAGTCTACAAAAAAAAATTACGAACTAGCCACGGTAAAGCTTCTTTCAGTTAATTGATTAGCTGAATTAGCACAAAATAATCAAATTCAAACTTGTGAAGCCGTTTGTTCTAGGTATCAAAAGTAATTCCGCGCTGAATGTACATAACACATATAGAGGGTAGAACAAACCCATTCCAGCACAAGTCTCAGACAAGCTTTTCCCCTTGTAGTTATATATTTCTGTCTAGCTGCACAGCATGGCTTCGTTATTAACGAACTCTTTTCCTGGCATAGCTTATCAAAGTTTTGGTATTGGGAAATATTGGGTTGATTAAAATTTAAAAATCGATTATAAGTTAAAGTAGAGTCCTCTCATTTCACGTAAATAGCGGAGACAGATGTATCTTCTTTTTTTTTACGTTCTAATATGAACTAAATTTATTATATATCAATTCGTCATTTTTTTCTGTTTACTTTTATCACTTCTTAGATTTGGTTTCTATCATTGGAATAACAAAGAATGATATTTCTTTCTCTGCAAGAGATTTTTTCTTTTATTAGTTTTATTAGTGAGGCTAAGCACTACGGCTCTTCTCTGGCATTGTTACGAATGAGTTGACCCATCGAGGCTGAAAAATAACATTTTAAAAAATTGATGAAATTGTGAATCTTTCAAAATTTTAATCCTTCAAAAGCTTTCTTGATAACTAATAATGTGTTGCTGGAGCCTTTAGCAAATTTTACCCTATATCTTTAATAATACTAAGGAATAGCTGAAAATGTAAGTTCAAAGTTGGGAAAACACAGAAATTTGGGTAGCGTTGAGTCCAGGTTGTTATGCTTTACTCCCAGTAGGAAGGTAAATAAGAAGAACACAGAAGTATGCGATACAAATAGTTTCAGATTAGGAACAGTTTAACCCCGGGATCAAAAGACGATTATATTTGTTAATCTGAAGACTGATGCCATGCATTTTGGAACCACCCCAGACTTTCTAATGCAAAATCTTTTAATATATACATATTTATGGCAAAACAACTCACAGGGTTCACGATTTTACTTACTTAGGCGTGGTATTTGATGGTCATCTTAATTTGAACAGTCACGTAAAGCAAATGATTTTAGGGAGGGTAAGTGCATAAGCATGTTAGTCCGTCTTCCCTCGGTTACTTGACGACTCAAAGTGCCAATACTGTTTACATCTGGTTAATTAAACCAATTCTAGGTTACAAAGATAAACTGTGGGGTTTCTGCGGTTATGAAAAGAGTTAGGTATTGAAGACTTTGCAGAAGAAGGCAGGTGGAACTGTTACTAGAACAATTCGAAGCAGCCTTGCCGCGGAGATTTTTAGGTGGCCTGCGATTGGAGAAAGACGCCAGGAGCATATTTTTCAGCTTGTAAAGAAATGCGTTTTTCGCAATATTTTAAGATTTATTTAACTTTTAACAATAATATTCACACACGTGACCTGTCAAAACGGACGTAACATAGAGATATTTTTATCACCAGTGATGTATTGCTTTCAAGAATTTTTCTAGACAACGATATGTTATGTAAACATTAAATTAACGCGTACAATTTGAATTTTATGTTCATGCAAACATTGATATAATGAAATGTTTCGCTCGGGGATCCTATCAATAACAGGTTGTATGCAACATCTGAAAGGACCATCCTGGCCTTGAATTTAAATAAAGAAGTCTATCGTCTTTCTGTGTTGTGTCTGTTACATAAATAAAACATTCTACTGAATTTATTCAAATTATACTCAGTCCGCTTAAAAAAGTCGCGCGAAAACATCACTTTATTTTCAGTTACCATGGTAACTGATCAAAATACTCATCGAAAGCTATGATACCCTCTTGTTAAACGAAAAAGAAAGTAGTTTTTCAAGCCAAAGTTATCGAAGGTCTCTCTGAGAATCGTCTAAGAACACGTTATTCACGAATAAGAAAATAGATCGTGGGGCGTATTCAGTCAAATTGTAAAAAAAAAAAAAACTTTCGCGGATGTGTCAAACAACAACAGAGGTATGCGCAAGGGTTTTGTTTCTCCTTGTTTTCAACTGAATCATGACCAATCACAGCTATTCATGCATTCTGCATGAAAGTGTTCAACAGCTGATTTGTGACCCCGAAAAGCTTGGTCTACTCATTTCCCTGGTTGTAAATTGTATTGTTTTTGGACGTGATACACATTTCTGCAATCTGCAAGCATGGATCTACGGGCTGGAACAACAAAGGATTATTTGTCGATTCACTTTTGAGGTACTTCATGGTTACACTGCTGCAGGGCATTCCATTGATCCGGAGAAGTCGTTCGAAACTTTTGATGAAGAGCTACATTTCTTGATTTCTTTCGTCGTTGGCGTTTTTTGAGTACAAAATTTTTCTGTTGCAAAGTCTATTAATGAAAAATGTCTTAAATAGTACGAAGAAGCAGTTCTCCTTATCTCATATCAAAGGTAAATATAGAAGTGTTGAGTTTTATTTGAGAAAACATTCATCTCTACAAGTGCATTGAATATAAAATTTGTGTGGGTGTGTAACACTTATGTTAAATAATAAATTACGCTGTAAATATAAAATTAAAACCAACTGAGGTTCAACTTTTTCTACTGCTACCGTCTTTATTATGTGGCAATTTGATACAAATTTTATGATTAGTTAATAGGCGGATACCTTGAATGAAATATGAATTAAGGGGTGTCCACTTGATACAAATTCCATTGTGTTTACAATGTGTTTTTCATTTGATTTTATTCGTTTCTATGTTTGTTTTTGTTTTTGTCTTTGTTTTGTTTTTGTTATTGTTGTTGTTTTTTTAATAACGTATGGTGCTTTTTGTCGTGCTATGATATTCTTTTGTACACCAAGCAACACCTTGTTGTACACTATCAAGATAGGAATGAGGTAACAATAGCAGCTCCCATGAACTCTTGAGACGAGGTCTCACTGAACGAAAATGTATCCAGTTGTTATAATATTTTTGGGTCCATTGTCTGCAATATATTCTGCTACATCACCACACGTGTTAAAGTAATCAGGATCTCCACCTGTGCCAAACCCAATTCTGGAATCGGGTAGGGCACAGTCGTTTTCGTTGTTGCCAATAATACCGATTCTTGCTTTGGAAAAGGATTTATAGGAGCTTACGGGTGATACATTAAACCCTTCCCTGTTGCAGTTGTATTGCAAAGAGCCTTGTGTACCAAGCAGCGATTTCCACGTTTCACGGCCTAATGAGGTGGGTCGATACTGATCATCGGCGATTAGTGAGTGGAGAGAGTCTGCCGAGCGGTTTATGGCAATGAACCTTGCAAAGTCTTCGCCAGGGATCCTCATACCGAGACAGATCTTGGAGAAAGCTGTGTTCCAATATGTCGGTAACTTAGTCTCTTCTGAGTCAAATCCTGTCTCTCCACCGGCAAGATTGTATGGTTCTTTGTTCGTCCAGAGAGCAGAATTGTAGTGAAACGTTTGCTTAAGAATTAGAAAATTGATGATAGAAATAGTTATCAAATCGCAAACATATACCACATTCACTTGAAGAATCGGATTAAGAACGCACACAAGACTTCACAAGTATTTTTTGGCTCTAAAGGAAAGCTTGCAAGCTAGTTATTAGGGTGTGGTAATAGTGGAGGAGTACTTGAAGTTCTTAAAAGGGTGTTCACGAGCATGAAAAAGAGTTAAGTTCCATATTTTATATTTGAAAAATTACCTTCTTTTTAGACATTTGAAGTATTTTTAATGTAGGTGGTATTTCTTGCGAATGATGCTGATATAGAGCAGGTCTCTCATCTTTTTTATTCTGTATGTTTTTCTGGATTTTTTTTAGTGCAATAAATTATTGTGTTTTGATGAATCGTGATGTTTTGACAAACAATTAGTTCCAATTCTCGTGGTCCTAAGGTAAAAGTTTGAGGAAAATGCTCTCAAGGGACTCCTAAGTTGTTTCAAGTTCGTGAAAAGTTTGAGTGATACAGGGTAAGGTTTATTGAGGGAAAATTCGATTAAATTATGACGGACATCCAGGAAAAGCCAACTACGCTCTCACTTATTGGGAGTTCCAAGTTGGCAAAGGTTTGATTAACGATTATAATCGACAACCGATGTAGAGGGCCTTATAAATCTCGATAGTGCCAATTTTGATAAGAACCTTTGATCCGTTCATCTTCATGACCAGTGTCCAGCCACCTCCCCCACATGATCCCAAGCTGGTGTCGTTCAGGACACAGAATACGTTAACCTGTGCGGTCCCGAAGGTTAACAAGAAGGCTTTGTTCTCTCTGGACCTGAGATCATCAAATGTTATATATAAGCAGATTATCGTATCATAAACCCTCATTTTACGTCATCATTACCAAAAAGGCATCGTCAATATTGAGGATTTCTGATTTTGTTATAAGTTCCTCCACAGATGTTGCCAACTGAATACCTGCCCTTTTTGATAACCAGTCATAGTACAGAGTTCGCATCATATTGCCCAATTGAGGGAACCAGCCATACTCAAAACTTTTTCACAAACAACAGTTATTTTTGCTTCGCAGGGAAGTTTGTTTCGACAACTTGAACAGAAATTTCCATATTTCTGATCGAAATTATCCTGGCGTCAAGGACTTAGCCATTTTTAAGTGGAGAATAATAAGTTCGAAGAAAAAGACCCAATTCGGAGACTCTGAAAACTACATATGCATAATCGGAAACATGACACAATCTGTTCATGTCAACTGATCACTTTTCTTTTGCAACCTTCGCAAATGCCATGCAGTCCTCGGGAATCTTCCAGTTAATTGTTTTCAGTATTAGGTTAAAATGGATTGTGGGGAGCAGGTCAATAAGTCATTTTGAGCGATCAAGTATGAAATTTATCATTTGGCTACCTGATCACACAAAGGAATTGCAAAATGAATTCAGAACTTCTTTGGTTAACCTTTTAGAGAACGGGATTCTCATCATTTTCCTCATGTTATTCACAGTCGATCTTTATTTTCGGTGGTTCAATAATGAATTGTTTTAGTGACGTAAATCTGGTGAGAAGAAATAACCTCCCCGTTACCGACTCCGGCTTACCGAGTGCACTTTTACAACTGTCCTTTATGAGTAACACGAAGCAGAACCTGGCAAAGCAAAATTTTTAGTGCAGGAAATAAAGAATCAGAAAATAGTCTAAAAAATGATGCTAAAAAAGTTTAATTGACACAAGGTACTTACAAAGTCCGCGCGTAAATCTCCTTGGCTGATGAAAAACGTTCAGCTGAAATAAAGAGACTTGATGATCATCTCAGGCTCAATGACAATTGTCGAAACATAGAGTTTTACTCAAAGTAAGACCACAAAGGAGAAATGTGATTGCTTTTTTGCTTTTTTCCGAAACCTAACCGAATTTGGCTAATACTGCCCTAATGTTAAATCATGTTTTCTACCGCCCTAGGCCCTTTTTCATGTACTAATATGGCTCTGGTATATCATTTGTCTTATCTGTAGGTTATTTAACCTCTTTGACAATGCAACCCTGAAGTGACAAGTACCTCTTGGTTACTTTTACATACATAAATTATATGATAGCAAGCTGAACAGTGAGAAACCTCGGCAGTTCTTGCCGTTTCCTTGATATCCAGGTTTACAAATGCATTCATAAGAGCCTTCGATGTTTTTGCAGTCCGCATGAACATCACAACCATGTGTTCCAGTAGAGCATTCGTCCACATCTGAAGGAGAAATCCAGTGATCCTTAGATACGCAAACCTTGTCTGGGTAAGCTCCCAGTTTTTTAGGATCTTCCTAAACATATCTTTCTTTGATGGACGGCACTAAGGACATTACGCGGGTTCCCTGGGAGGTCACTGGAGACATGTTTCGCTAACTGCTGGCCGGTGAATCGTATATTTAAGATAATTTTTTTCGATCTTCATAATTCATTTCAATTAAGTGGACATTTGTCCAATTTTTTGTCTTATTAACCTTTTTTACTGTCAAGCTAATGAGAATTGTAATATTGTTAAAATCTAACTATGTCCATCATTAGAAATACGAGTTAAAAAGCAAGTATTGTAAAGCTCTTCTCACTGAATGAATGGAATGATCCGTCTGATATAAATCAGCTGGCCAATTAATCAATCTGATAATTTTAATCTCGAAGGTCCCGAAGTAGTGAACATGACAGCAATCTGATATTATTTCTCACACAGAGTATCACTATCCCTCAATTTCCTGCCTAGGCAACTACCACCATAGTTGCAACGACAGACAAATGTCTTCTCTTCACTGACCCAGGAATATTAAGTTTTTTTTTTATCGGGGAAGGGAAAATTCTTAACACGTTTCGGCTGGCTGTGGTTATGGCTAAATTTCTCACCTGTTTTGCAATTTAGGCCAGCGAATCCCTGGAGACACAAACAGCGATATCCTCTCTCTGAAAAACCGGTTTGGCAGGTAGCATTCAAATGACAAGGATTGCTGGAGCAGCTATTCTGTAAGAGAGTTGGTAAACAATTAAACGACTAAAGGAAACGACCAAAAACAGACACGAAAATAAAAGAAAAGAAAAGGAAAAGGAAAACAATAGACAATTTTTTGACGCCTTCTCTTAGGCTATATTTAACAGACAACTGCATCTAGAACTTTTCCTCTGGAGAACTTTTCGAAAAATGAAGTTGATATTTGATATATTTACCACTTGTAGCGTAAATTGAAATATAAGCCTCAAGGACAACAAGACCTCATGAATTCGCCTGGGCTATTTAGGCGGAGAATGCTCTCCACTATACTAATGCATAATTTCTTTCCGTCCGATATTTCAGAGATCTCGCGTAAACGTGCACTAAAAGTTGTGGTTGGTTGATTTCAGTTCATCCAATAAGTTCCTTCCTACATTTAGTAGCTTTCCGTGAAAAGAATGATCGACAATGATTGGTTGAGAAATGTTTGGAGCATCGAAGGATATGATACTATGAGTATGGATCATACCTCGGCTGCGTAGTACTCATAATCCATGTCTTTCTTCAGGTCTCTTTCGTGTCCTTCGTGTGTAGCATTATTTAGTTCGCATTTCTGCTTTCCAGTTTCACTTATCGTCATGAAATTATAGCTGAAACAGTTATCCTCCAAAAAGCATAGCACATCGCAAAATTCTTGGCCCTTAACATAGGCGATACGCATGGTGTGGTTGATTAAGCGTTTACCTTTAAACGTTCTGGTCGCTGTAAACTTTAAACTGCGACATGACGCTGAAAAAATAAGACGAAGTTTGAAGATGACAATCTCTTTTTAGTTGTGGGTTATTACGGGTTCGATATCACGCTGACTGCAAAGTGCATGTGTAAGTTAGACGGAATCAAAAAAACGTCGCTCGCTACTTAAATTATACCAAAAAGTAACTAGTAGTATCTTGGCTAGAAAAAGACAAAAAAACAACAGCAAAAAAAAAAAAAGAAAAAAAAGAAAGGCAAGAAACGGGTATTACTGGTGATCTGCACCACAGTTTCGAAACAAAGTTTCCGTTGGATCATTCAATCATACAATTAACTATGAATTCATGAGTTCGCTTATCTTACATGTTTGAACATTAACCAAAAATAATCAAATTCAAACCTGCAGAGTCTATTGCTTTGGGAATCAAAGATAACCAGAGGAATAAAAAACAAGAGCGCTGGGCAGACATGACAAATATAGAGGGTATAAAAAAAATCAAGTTTCAAAACAAGTCTCTCCTGGGCTTTTCCCTTTTCATTTCACAGCCTGTTTAACTGAAAACAACTGACTTGAAAATTACTTCTTTATTCTCCTTTTCAATAAGGCTGCACAGTAAGACTCTTTTGGTAATTATTTTTTTCCAAACATGTTTTTTCAGAGTGCTTGGTTACTAAAACAAATTTAAATACCTCATCATGGTCTGATTCTGTTTCCCTGAATACATTAGCTTGATTGAATTTTAACTCAATTGTAATTCGAGGAATATGCGATACAGGGGTCCACTTCACTTTAATAAAAAAATATGGAGATAGAGATGTCTTCCTTTCCCCTGTCTCTTCCAGTTTCATGGTAAGAAATCAACCTTCTTTTATTTTCAATCAATTTGTCAATTTTTTCCTGTTAACTTTGAATTGTTGCTCAGGTTCACTAATTTAGGTTTGAAATGACAAGAGTGATATTTCTTTCCCTGCAAGAGATTACTTTTCTTTGATAGAAGACGCAAAGTACTAAACCATTTCCCTCATATTGTTTAACAAATAATTTTGAAGGTCATCAAAACATTTTCCTTGAAATACAACAATGTAATATTTCGCAATTAACGTGTTACTAGAGCCTGCAAACACCATATAATCTTTAAAAATCTTATGGAATTATTTTGATTTTAAAGATGAAAAAAAACAAAACAGATAATTTGTGGTTAGCTTAGTGTCCATGTGACCGCCTTAATTCCAGTCAAGAGAGGAGAGTAGAGATAAATTGATATAAACATTTTTAGATTAAGAACACAGGTTCGACCAGACAATCACAATGTTCCCAGCAGTTGGCGAGCATGAGGGTGGTGTAACATCGCCCCGATTGTTTCAGGATTGTTTGGGAGGAAAGTGAGAACTGAAACGATGGTAACAACGAAGACGATCCACGTTTCTCCGAATGATTACTGACTTAACGAGACTTACAGCATACATTGTATAGTTAACTTTTATGAGAAAAAAAGGTCTCAGGCCCTGAAAACATATATCTTCAGCGCTGGGTAGCCATGACTAGTATATATGACAAAAGAAACCCGTATTCAGTAATGTAAACATGACAGAAAACAGTTATTTTTAAAATCAATCGCTTTTTTCTCCCTTTTAATCAGACTGTACAGAGGGGATTCCTCACTCTTAACTATATCCTAAGAATTTTGCAACGAAGTGTTTGGTTCAGGTGAGGCAAAGATCCGATCCAAAATTTTCGTTCCTCTTTTTTTTAAAATTTATTTTGTATTATGACTGTAAAAACTGAGCAAACAAGCCAACTGGAGCTGTTTAAGGGAATATTCATTTCTTCACCGCATAGTACATACATGCTTTTCATATATTAACAGTCATTATTCACCACTTGGAAGGAACATATTGGCCAGCTCCCAGTTAGCCTGTTAGCTCATTTGGCACCGGTATCGCAGAGGTCATGAGTTCAAATCCCTACGGGCGTGAATTTTTTTCGGGTCTTATTTCAACTACTAGCTAGTAGTGTTCATAGCTGCGAGGATAGCTTATATTCGTTCTTCTGTATTACTAGACATAATGGAAGGACTCTTCTTCTTTGATACTTCAAGTTGTGTCTATAGCTGCATGTTCATTCAATTTTCGCGGTTTTAAACGGCCAATTTGTGGAATCGAAACCGCTATACTTATCACCTTACGACATCTCTTCATTGTGAAATGTGATGAAGTGAAGAAGAATTTGAAGTGCCGATGGTAATCAGTAACAAAATGATCCTCACACGTGAGCTGTCCACCAGATATCAGCTAGTTCAAACTAGGCTGAGGAGCCACAAATTGGGGACCCAACGATTTTTTGCAGCTTTTTTGTTTCGGATTTTTGTTTTCACGTTTTTTTATCTGTAATATCCGAGCTGTAGATTCACCTATGGCAATGATTTCGTTTTTTACATTGTCCTTTCCTCTCTGTCATCCTTTTTGGCTGCGGCTGCGCAGCATTGTTTCGAAATGCAAGCGAGCGTGCGGCAGCAAAGCAAAGAAAGGCCTCTGCATGTGCAATTATTTGCGTTAAAATAAAAACTCACAAAAAAAACTCATTCAGTGTACTCTCCTACAATTAAAGGATAATTTTGAGAATTCTCCCTCCTCTACGCTAATTATGACCTACCAATGATGGAATTTAAGTATACTAAATTAGAGAACAAAATTCAATGTTTTCTCTTGATACTACAAACCCTCAGACCTATCCCCATTGTGCTCGTAACTTCCGAGCAACTTCTAACGTTTGGAGCAAATTTCTGGCAACTTCGAGCAATTTTTGCCTCTCTGAACAACTTTTGAGCAAAATATGTGTTTATAGCACATATCAATCATGAAGAAGTCAACAATTTCATTGAAAGCTAACACACAACCCGTCACTTGACAACGTTTTGAAAGCTCATTGCGATCTGTTTCTCATATTAGAACGGATAATTGACTAAAATGACGTTCGGCAAGACGTCAAGTGAAGCTTATATCTTGTTCCCTTTGACTTAAGTATCCTTAGGTTTTAAGCAGTTTTTCTAGACCGATGTTTAGGACTTATTGCGAATAACGAAAAATAAAGCTTTTAATTAACGTTTATGTAGAAATATCTAGAAATTTAGGTAGAAACTTTCAAAATTTAGTCAGCAAGTTTTTAGATTTTCACTTTTTGGCATTCCAGCGAACAACTTTTACGGGCACAATCGAGATAGTCCATCAAACCCAGGCGGTACAGCCTCTAAAGTTGCCTTTCACCGAATTTTTATACGTATGTGACACTTTTTAGTTCTTAAAATAATTAGTTATTAGTTAACAAGTATGCTCTCGGTTTTTATTCCCATTTATTGTAGCCGGTGCATTAAGAGATCTTTTTGGGGGAGCTCAGTTAGATGGAGACAAGGAAATGAACCGCGGAGCTGCTACCCGCGGCAGTTTTTCACACCGCTTAAAATTAAGTGTTTACCTGCTATCTACCTGTGTTTGGAATACTCTAACGTTCTGGTTCCATTTTGAAGCACCGCTGCTGAACTGTGGAACGTCGATGAATACCTAAGAAGATAAGAAAAGATAAAAATTGCAAGTAAATGAAACCAAAAAGATTCTAAATAATGCTTTCAAGAAGATCGCGATTTTACTGAATAAACATGTATCCCATGGCTTTGATAAGACTTTGACTGTTTTCTGGGTCGTGTACCAAAACCACCACATTACCGCATGAGTTAGAATCCTCTGGACTCCCACCATACCAAACCCAATTTTGGAATCACAAGATATGCAATCGTGCTCGTTGTTGCTAATGATGCTAATTTTTGCTTTTGCCCCATTTTCAGGATACTCAACAGAGCCGCTAATTACGTTGAACCCTTCAAAGTGATTTCCATCTTTCACGGCCCAGCGTAGTGACGCGATACACATTAGCGATCAGTGGCCGATTGGTTTATGGCGAAAAAACTCAAGGTTTGAACACTAGGAATATTCATATTAAGACAAATCTTGGAGAAGGGTGTGTTCCAGTATGTTGGCAGCTTTGTTTTTTGATCAAATCCGGTTTTCCCATTTGCAGGCCGTTGTGTTTCTTTGTTTCTCCAAAGTTCGGAGTCATAGTGAAACGTTTGCTACGGCGTAAGAGGGTAAGAATGAAACCTGATATCGCAGATGAAGGAAAAATTGAAATACAGTCGTCTCAGACGACGGTTGTTGCAGAAAGCAAAATACAAATAAAAAATTGAAACTGCCCGCATTATAAAGAAAAGCTCAATTTCATTGAAGTCAATGTTAGGTGCAAACCCCTACCCTTGCAGTTTACAGAAATTTCCTCAACCAAAAACGAATAACAACCTTGACTGAAAAATTAACGTCCCCGTGTTGTAGACACTTAGTTAGTCTGTTTCTTGGAGCTTTTTTGCCCCTTTGTAAGTGGTGAAATGAGTTTTGCACATGTTATTGAATCCTCTATCACTGAGTACTTTCAGTATTTTTCTCTATCCCTGGTCGACGTGAGTTAGTGAATAGGGATGTTCTGCTGTGATGTGTTTGTAAATGCTTACAAGCTCGTTTTTATTCTGAAAAAATTAACCTTATCTTGGCACTGATAATAATCACCTCTTCTCCATTAATTTTCATAGCCAGTGTCCAGCTGCCTCCTCTTTACTGATACAGAGCGCATTCTTCCAAGACACAGAAGACGTTTTCAGATCCGACTCGCAATAAGATTGTCCAGTAATTTACTTTTGGAGCGAGCTTTCTTGCCACAATCCATAGGAATGTACAACTGTAACTGCAACGGAATACGGAAATAATTTGAATGAATAACAGCCGGAGCTTAGGTTATAAATCGATGGAAAACTTTGATAAAATTAAATTCATTTCGTGTACTCGAAACTTTCTTTTTGTATAAAAATGCCTGAGAAATCGTTGCTTCAAGACTCGCTCTCTATCTAAACCTTAAAAAGTATCTTTGATTTTCTCAATTCCCTGCTATAGAAGAAAAAACGTAACGCAAACCGTAACTTTTCAGTATTAGCTGACCTATATTGTGAGATGAAGCTCTTTAATAATTAAGAGGAGCTGAATTTCTTATCTTACGACATTAAATGGGTAAATTTAAAAGTAACCTGTTGAAGACCGTGAGAGCGATAAAATAATGTACGTTCTAGGCGCATCACACATGGCAAGAGAAAGTAGAACGCTTTCCTAATCCAAGTGTTTTCACTTCCTACTCCTCTGTGTGAATTACTTAAAGCACACCACGATGACTCTTCATGAGGACAAAGCAACATTCAATACAATGTGGTCGTTAAGTATATTTTCATATTCTCATTCTCTTGTATTCATATCACGCTGAGTATCAGAACTTTTAGCACCTCTTTTATGATTTTACCCGTTTAAGACTGCAGTTACGGCAGTCGAGAGCTCTGCTTTTCCTTTTAGCTCAACAAGCGTTTTTACATCTTGAAGACCCTTGAAAGATCCCTACTGGCTGCGAACTCGATCTTTAAGGCTACAACGTTTTAGAATCGCACGGCGGTCTTTTGTTTACACATTTCAGTAGCTTCAGTCCGAATACTTTATTAGTTTTGTTTTTCATTTTTTTCTTTGGCTATTTTGATGGAAAGAGGGAGGAAGAAGGGGACATTATCGACTTAAAAAGCCTATATTGCTTAGAATGTTTTTTTTTTTGTTTTTTTTTTTGTGGACAACGAATAAGATGCAACCTCTTTGACATGCATGTCATCAAATAATTCAAAGTTCTCCGATGCAAGGACCAAGGTTACAGTGTGATCTAAGGCTGTTAAATTTATTCATGGTAATAATTTATCTAACAAGATGAAAAATTGATGATAGCATTATTTGGTCAACTATTTTAAGTCCAAATTCCTTGAAATTATTAGATTCTAAAATGACGAGGGGTCCTAAATCTTTATCCGGTTAAGAGAGAGCGGGCGTATATTTTGTAAGGCGTAATGTTAATGATAGTGCACTGCCAATCAAAATAAACACATGAACCGCCGTGGGAGTTAATCGCTTTTTTTCAATGTGTTTCAACATTTCCACCTCAATGAAACGATAAGACTTTTCCTCAGAGTTTTCACGCATTCATCGTTCTTTATAGCATCTCAGTCGTCATCGATGCAAAAAGCACCACTTCTATTCTAATGGGGCATATCATCACTTTTTATCTTGTAAATGAATAACATGTCTCCTCATGAATCTATCTATAATTGTATGCGTTGTTCTCAAAAATTGATAATCCTAAAAACCACTCACCTCCGACTGAGTTAAGATAATTACACTTTATTGTTTATTAGCCGGAGAAGATCGATCTCCTTAGTCAGACTGATTTGTTCCACAGAATGTCATTGAGGACCCTACAGCTGTTCCTTGATTTTGTGTTCTAACGTAACTGAGAAGATAAGAACGAGAAAACCTTTTTCTTGTCATCTTTAATTACAATCGCTAACATTATCGTCATAGCCTCTTTAATTATTTTGTTGTTATTATCATAAAAATTACTACCATAATTGGAACAAAACGTCATTCAACGATTCTTAAGAGTTGTTGTTTCTTCCTACAACGCAAAACACAAAACAAAACAAAACAAAAACGAAAAATTGTAGGTGATATAGACTCAGAGTTGATGAAGAAGTTTGTTGAGGTTTTTAATGAAGTGTTTTAAGTACCGAGCGGGTAAAAAAAGCGATTATAGGATCAAATGGATTCAAGCAAGACCGGCTAAAACCTTCGAACAAAAACAAACCGTGTACTTTATGTGACGCCTCAATAAAAATTTGAGGTTTTTACCCTATTTCGTTTTTTAATGTTGGCCATAGAAAAAGGTTTTCTCCAAATGTTTTGTTTTGCTCTGTTTTTGTTTGTGTGTTTTTTACTGGTAAGATCTAAAAAAGGATTTGTAGTGTCGTCCTCCAGTTTGCTTCCTCGCTCCAAAATGACCAGATCGTGTCGTCATCATTTACAAAACTGTCTTATCTTCGAGTAACATCCATTCCGTCTTTCTCCGCTTTTTAATGCATTCCCCTAAATGCAATAATTTGATCAAATTATCTTGTTTGTGTTGTTCTCTCCTTTGCTAGAGATTCATAAGTAAAAAATTATCATACTTAATACTATCAACAGACATATAAATGCTTGCACGTGCTGCTAGACTTATTTTTAAAAATACCCAGCTACTTAAATGGTCTTAAATTTGCCCAGTAAAAGTTTAGTTATTTACTTGGCCTCATGCATTGTATAACGGAGAACAGCATATTAGGCTCAAAAGTGTTAATAAATGATTCTATGAAAATGTTTAAAGCTCTTGATAACTATGTCCATAGAAAAGCACATAAGTATGGCTATATTTCATTGAATAAAAATGTATCCCATGGCTTTAATATGCTTGTCACCACTATCTGGGGCGATGACTGCCTCGTTACCGCACGTATTCGATGAATCATGGTCGCCGGTCGTGCCAAACCCGATTCTAGAATCACAAGTACCGCAATCGGCCTCGTTGTTACCAACGATGCCAATCCTTGCTTTTGCGTGGCTTTGACTGATACAAATTACATTGAACCCTTCCTTTCTACAGCCTAGCTGAAGAGAGCCTTGGGAACCAAGGAGCGATTTTCACTTAGCGGCGCCCAATGATGTGGAACGGAATTGTTGGTCAGCGATCGAAGAGTACAAGGAGTCAGCCGATTGGTTTACAGGGATGAAATGCACAGTTTGTTCACCAGGGATCTTCATGCCGAGACAAATCTTTGAGAAGGGTGTCTCCCAATAAGTGGGTAATTTCGTCTCTTGTTCGTCAAATCCTGTCTCACCTCCCACGATATTGAAAGCAGTTTTGTCGCTCCATAAAGGGGAGCCATATTGAAATATTTGCTACAAAATTAAAGCAAGTGAATAAAATAATTAGGATTGGGACAAATGATTTGGATCCTTTCTTCATCAAATCAAACGTAATCGAAGGATTTCATTCAGAAATAAACGAAACTTTTTCAGTCTCTCTAATCTTATTCCCCTAGTTGACATCCTAAAGTTAAGTTCTATTTGTCTCAGACCATGCATCCGTATCGATTTTTCGGCTGTAAATCTTAACTGTTTTCTGCAAACATTATGGGGCATGCAGCTATTGTATCACCAACAAAAATAAATAATTAAAACAACCTGTGCTCCGTTAATCTTCATAACCAGCGTCCAGCCACCTCCTCCGCAAGGTCCCAAACTTGTTTCGTTCAGAACACAGTGGGCGAGAATACTTTGATTTCCGACTTTCAAAAAGTAAGCTTTGTTCTCTATAAACCTAAAAAATTGGCCATAGTTTGCCCTCGGTATTGAACTAACTCTTTTTGTCTTCATATACAGAAAAGCGAATTTTATCAACGATGCTCCGCTAGTCACGGCCCTTTCTTCTCTAAGTCTCCCACTTCAGTGCTGATGATTAATGATGTCCAGGCATTCTGCGCGATCGCTAGTCGTAAATGAAAGGATGGTAGAGCGACAGCCTTCATCTAATTCGCTCACTCATCACTTTCTTAGAGTATTTTCCGACGTCAAATAAAGCATGTATGTATGTATGTATGTAGGTACGTACGTACGTGTGTATGTATGTATGTACCGCCCAGTGCACCGAATGGCTTCAATTGGACTCGATAGGGATACCCAGTTTAATTTAACTCTATCTATGATCTTAAGCCGCTGTCATCTTCTCTTTCTCTTGGTCCAGTTACAGAAAGTATTGGCACAAAATTCAAGTTATCGAAATTCTCAAAAAGAACCGTTACTATTGAAATTTTCCAAGGTATTTAGAGCTGTTACAGCGCCAAAATATAACAAAACTCAATAAAGAACCCAAAATAAGAAAAACTAAAACATGAGCGACGTAAAACGTATTAACTTCTCTAACGCTAAAAAAAACACAAACCGCAATAGAATTCTGTGAGTAGAGCTAAACTGCTTAGTCAGATGTTTCAAAATAAAAATGCACATTGACTTGAATTCAAGAAAATGATCGGTGAAAACGGGCCAGGGGGACAGAGTGCAATAGTTTCCGAGAAATAGAAAGTTTGGGGGTTGGAGTTGCTCCTATCCTGCCTTTAGGTATGCAGTGAACGAGTGACAGAGATAACACGTTTCCCGTTTCCCATGTACCAGTTTGCATATTTAGTTGTAATAAAAAAACTTGAGATTACATTTAATAAAACAAAAAAGGAAGAGAAGAAACGGTTATGTTCATATCTTAACCGAGGCCATGATGCGTGATTTTTGTTGACAATTTAATTCTAGTCGTAAAGGAAGGGTGATTTGACGCAGAAAACTCAATTTGTTTGCAATTTCAGTGGTGAACACAAAAATAGGCTTTATTCATTAATGTACATCATTTCTTCGATTTATAGGAATTCAAATCCTCCAAAAGATGTGACCGGTTTCCAACTCTATCTCTCTTCTCTTCCGAGTCCGATCAGCTTTCCAATGAAGAGGTTTAGCAAAAACTAAAGTTGTAGGAGGACCACTGCTAACAGGAGGGTCGGTAGATTACATATGTGCATGAGTGGAAATTTTATGCTGGCCACATCAAATCCATCTAACTTTTTTTAAGTTGAATCAATGTTCTACTAATATGGACATTGGTGAATGCATTGAGGAACCCAATGTTCCCTACTAGAAAGCCGCAACAAGAAAACCTGAGATGCGCTGAAGTGTAAACTCTTTTTACTACATCAACAAAGATTCACTGAAATCAAATGCATAAATCTGCTGAATAAAGCAAAGTAATAACCGAATCACAAAGGATAAGAAAGCTAAACAAAAACCGATCGATACTTACAAGTTTTTTGTGCCTTGTTCCACTAATAACAAATGAAATCTTGTTCGACAATCTTAGTAGAAGCTAAAGCTTAAACTCAAAACAGACCATCTCGAAAACTTGATATCTTATCGTGACTGCAAAAACATGTAACCAGCAGTACAGGTCGCAAATAACTCACTGAAATGTCTACTTGACTGTCCGCATTCTAATCAGGTTTTAGACATTACAATTGTATTTCCTCACATTTAACTATAATGAATAAAAGAAGCTGTTTTATTTATGTTATATTTGTTTTATCTATTCATTTATTTAACTGAATTGTTTTATTCATTGCAACACACATTTGAAACTTACTAAACACCACACTTTCACAATTTAGTGAAACTACTTTAGCGGGAAATGCAACCTCACGTCACTAAAAACAATACTTCCCTGTCTAAAGGATTAGAGACTAGACATCGAAAGTGCCTCGTCTTGCCTTTTATTAGTTGTGACCCTGGTATTGAGTTGAGTTAGAAGGAAAACCCCAGAAACGCACAGACGGGGTGGTCGGGGATGGCTTTACACCGTGACATTTATTCAATAGAGCTGAAACGTAGTTCTTACGGTGTTCGTTTCCTAAAAAGCCAGGAAACTGGCATTACGGTTTTAAAAGCCCTTCGCCTCATGCTTCGCTAAATTTGCTCGCAAATCTTCTACATCTGAAGACTAACTAAAATGCCAAAGTCGTTTCAATTTGGCATTTGTCCTCCTATTGGATTCTTTTGAACGAGGGAGAACTGGAGACTGAAAATGAATGACCAAGTGAGCAACAGTGCTGTGCGATTCTCCGACATACAATACTACCTGTCTATCGTTTCCTTCTGTATTAGTAAAGCATGAAGGGCTACCTCTCATAGGCCATCTGTAAAGAATAATGTCACATTGCTGATGAATTTTATTGAACCAAAATATATCCCATTGTTTTGAGATGTTTGTCTCCATTATCTCCTCCATACCTGACTTCGTTCCCACACGTGTTAGAATTGTCGTGTGCTCCACCAGCTCCGAATCCAATTCTTGAGTCACAGTCTCTGCAATCGTCCTCATTGTTACCAAGGATACCAATTCTAGTTCTGGAAAGTCCAAAGTTTGTGCCAAACACATTAAAGCCGTCTTTGTTACAATTATGCTGTAAAGATGCCTGTGAGCCTACAAGTTTCTTCCACTTGTCACGGCCCAGCATAATATTGCGATACTGACCGTCAGCGACAAGTGCATGGAGAGAGTTCGATGGCCTATCGATGGAAATGAAATTCAGTTGCGTGTTAATCTTCATACCGAGACAGATCTTGGAAAATGGGGTGCTCCAGTAGGTGGGTAGCTTGGTTTCAAGAGTATCAAACCCAGTTGTGCCGTCGTGGGCATTGAAGCTTTCGTTATTACTCCACAACTGGCTATCATAGTGAAACGTCATCTGCCGAGAAAATATAGCCTCGCGTGAGATTGTCGTTCGGAACATGTTATTCCTGAACTAGGTGAAAAACAAAACTGAATTCAACCTATCAATCATGCATCAACTTACTCAAATATTTCAATCTTTCTAAATACAGACGTGAAAGGTAATACTCAAAGGGTCATGGTATTGTCTAAATTTCAGGAAGCTCTTGTCAGAATAATTAGTCGCATTGAAGAAGTTTCGTTTCGCATTTATCGCGCAATCTAATTATCTGACTTCCGATGGTGATACCTGTTACGTTGAACACTTCTAGCATCATTTCAATTGTTTGGAGTAAAAATTTTCATGTAGACTAGAATTTGAAGAAAGCTTGAAAGCACATCTTTTTCCGACAGCACTAACAACAATAGCAGTTTAGCAACGCTGAGTTGCATCGAATAATTTAAAGTCTGTTTTACGCAATTCCTTAATTGGGCACGATGTAATGAAACACTATTTCTTCTAATGAGCTCTAGGACAGTATGTGTGCAGATAAACGGTAGATTAAGTATATGACAGTATGCACGGAGGAATGGAGGTTTGACCAGTACATCACAACCATGTGGAAGCTCATTTTGCCCGCTTGAGTCCGTAAGTATCCGTCTTACAAGAAATAGTATATATCATGAATCTAAATGCATGCAATATGTTTAAATCTTTTTACTTTGAAATATCTAGCATAATCAACAAACATATACCAGTCTAACAACTATCTAGGAGGGAAGTAAAGCTTAAATCAAAACCATGGATATCTAAAGCTCTACGAAAGTCTATTCAAATTAAAAATGATTATTATAAGAAATACCTCAAGACAAAATCTACCTATTACCATACAAAATTTAAGCTTTACAGGAACAAATTAAACCATCTTCTAAAAACAAGCAAAAAATAATATTATAATGAATATTTTTTTCAAAATATTAAGGATGGTAAAAGGATCTGGAAAGGAATTAAACAAATAGTAAAATTTAAGCCGCAAACTAGCCAAAGGCTCATTAAGATTGTAGAAAACAATTTAGAAATAACTGAACCTAAACTTGTTGCCAATGCATTTAATGATTATTTTGCCATATTTTGCTGTATGTAATAGTTTTTATTTTTTTCCTGTAACTTGAAGGGTAAATTGAAACTGAAATATCTAAGTTCAAAACTGGCAAGTCTGTAGGACCATTCAGCATTCCAATTGATATACTAAAAATGCTAAAAGCCTATATATCAAAACCTTTGGAGATAGTTTTGTAATGCTTCTATTTCAACTGGAGTTGTTCCTAGTGATTTTAAAATAGCAAATGTTGTACCCGTGTTCAAAAAAGGATCACAGTCATCCTTGTGCAATTACCGTCCCATCTCCCTTATCTCTGTCTTTAGTAAGCTCCAACCAATATGGTTTCAGAACTAAGCACAGTACTGACCATGCAATTCTTTGCATAATTGACAAAGTTCAGAAAGCAATTGATGATCGAAGCTATTCCTGTGGTATATTCCTTGATTTTACCAAAGCATTTGACACCGTCAATCATCAAATTTTGATTAACAAACTAGAGTATTACGGTATTCGAGGTCTTGCCAAGGATTGGTTTATTTCCTACCTCAGTGGCCGACAACAACTTGTTACTGTCAATAATGCAACATCCACAAAATGAAATGTAAGTTGTGGAGTACCATAAGGATCAGTACTTGGCCCTCTGTTGTTTTTATTATATGTAAATGATTTTCATTGCTGCTCAGATATCTTTGAATTTCATCTCTTTGCAGATGATGCAAATTTGTTTTATAAAAGTAAAAGTTTCTCTATGCTAGAATCAAACATAAATGTTGAATTAAATAATATTCACATATGGCTCTGTGCTAATAAGCTCTCACTCAATGTAGAAAAGTCAAATTTTTTAATTTTCCACGCACCTCAAAAGAAACTTGAATGTCAAAATTTCATGCTGGCCATAGATAATAAGGAACTTAAGAGCGAGAGTTCTGTATAAGGTATCTGGGCATCCTAATTGATTCACACTTGAATTGGAAACACCATGCTGATTACATTTTTAAGAAAATTAGAAGAAGCACTGGTATCCTCTCTAAACTTCGTTATTATGTTGCCTAGATATTTTATTAAGCTTATATTATGCACTTATATATCCTTTTTTGACCTATGGAATAATTATCTGGGGAAATACCTATAAGACTACTCTTCAACCAATTTTCATTTTACAAAAAAGAGCTATGTGATTAATTACCTTTTCTAGATTTGATGAGCACTCTAGTCCTTTATTTAAATCTCTTGAAATTATAAAATTCCTAGACCTAGTAGCTTTTCATTTAGTAATCTTTATGTATAAATATCATAATCAATTATTGCCATCAGTCTTTAGTTCTTTTTTTGGTAAAATTTCGCAAATCCATACCTATAATACAAGGCTTGGTGCAAAACAGTCTTATTATCTTCCAAAAGCAAGAACAAATTATGATATATTCAATATCAGATTTCAAGGTCCATCAGTATGGAATTCCATTGACGAAGATATAAAATTATCTTCAATGTCTTTGTTTAAAACGAAAGTAAAGCAGCAATTTATCAAAGATTACTAGACATCTGTATTGTCTGTGTAACTTTAAAATGGAAATAATAGTGTTTTGCAATGTATGAATTTTAATCTATTTAATATACTTGTAGTTTACCTTTGTGTGCGTTTCTGTATCTCTTTGTTTTTGTGTCCCTGACCCAAACATTTAAACATCTTTTCTTTCAACTGGCTGCCTGGCATTTTTAACTCTTAGATTATTTCGGGCAGCCAGCGCCCCTATCATTGTCTGTACTATTATTATAAATTTTTCTTTCTTGTATATTTCGGGGTGAAAAAATAAAGTTGTTGTAAATTACGATGGCGTAAGGTTCTTTGCTTAATACTCTCAATGAAAATCATTGGATTTGACTACTAGTTAATAATTTTATCGTTATTTATGATACTTTGTCATAATTTAATGACTTTTAGTACTTTTTATGATGTTTGGTCGGCTTGTATCGCCAGATTTTACCTTTGTGCCGTCGGTTTTCATAACTAGAGTCCACCCTCCTCCATTGCATTCTCTATTTTCGCCCAGGCCATTGTTGTCCATGTGACAATACACTGGGATCATCTCAGATCCAATGTTCAGTAAATAGTCTCTATTTCCATTCGATGAGCTATTAATTAAGGTAAATTGCAATCACAGGTTTAAAATTACCTAAATCCAGGTCAATGGGGTTAAGTTGTTTAATAATGTGTACCGCTGCAACGTACATTCGTGTCACTAATCCCACCCCCTATGTGAGTCACTCAAAGTAACGTGGAGAAGAGTATAGCTCGTCGTGCCAACCCTGTCACATTTCTACCAGTACAAATTGTCACTACAAAGGGAGCAGAAATGCTTCTTCTTATCAAACATTTTTTTTGCCAGTCAGGAATGTAATAGTTTTCAAGAAGCTATTTCTCTAAGATCTTACGAGCCATTATGGTCGATCACATGTCACTCTCTCAGTAAATTTTTTTTTCAAATCTCTTGTTTGACTTCTGATTTGACTGAATACTCTTTTTTTATTTTTAGTTTTTACTCAGACTCAAATTTATCATCGTTTCTCAAAAAAAAATTATGTTGAAACACAAATGATTGAAACTTTTCTACATCACTTACAAAATACTGAAAAATCTTAAACTAGAAATCAGCAGTGCAGCATGACTAATCGTAAGGAAAAGGATGGTCAAGTACCAGCCCTAATCTAATGGTAACCATTTGAATGCTTTTGTATCTCCATTTTTTCTAAAAGAAAATTCATTTCTATTCGCTTACGCATCACTTTCTCAAAGTCCACCGAATGGCTTCGATTGGACTCGATAGGGATACCCAATTAATTTCAATTTATCAATGATCTTAAGCCTCTGTCATCTTTTCTCTCGCTCGGTCCAGTTACAGAAAGTATTGACACAATATTCAATTTTTGAATGATATTACGACGATGTACTGATACAAATTGTGGCGAGTGGAGTACTTACCGATTGCTGTCGTAAATTTTCTTACACGAGGATAGTGCTGCAAGGAAAACATGACATTGAAAAATGTGAAATGAAGAAAGCGGCAAAGATTCTTTTTTAAAAACCCAGAAGACCTAACACACACTCTCTTATCTTTAGAGAGATACCCACCTTCACAGCTGCTTCCGTTTCCATGATATCCAGGTCTACAGGTACAGTTGTACGAACCAGCCGTGTTTATACACTCTGCATTAGCGTCGCAACTGTGTGTTCCCGAAAAACACTCATCAATTTCTGAAAAGAGAGGAAATTCATAACTTTTTCTGGGTGTAGCCATGCATTGTTGCCTCATTTCGTAGGCCAGAGTGAAACCGACTATTCTTACTTTAGACATTCGGATCCAGTTACAAAATAAACTCGTTGCATTATCAAAATTTACTGGTGATTCAAACTTTAAAAAAAACGTTTCTTACCATTTTCACAAGTCTGACCCGTAAATCCTCTTGGACACAAGCAACGATATCCAAAGTTCGTGAAACCAGTTTGACAGGTAGCTTTATTACTGCAAGGGTTACTGGCACAAGCATTCTAGCCAATACAAAAGCAGTATTCAAAAATGAATTAAAAAAAAGGACTCATTTCCAACATTTCTGCAGAGCAAAAAACAGTTCCTTCTGTTTTATACTACGGTAGAACGAATCTTTATTCAGGGGGTAACCCAGTTAATTACTGACTCACTTCCTCACTCCAGGCTCGTCTGTTACTGCTGTTGTAAAATTGCCTCTACTAAACAAACAGGTGCATGCTTAAAACAGATTTTGTTAAACTTTTGAACTGACCTATAGATATTTGAATGATGAGCCTTCTAACAAGTTTCAGCGAGTGGTATAAGTATTATTGAATTCTATTATGTTATACCTCAGCTGCGCAGTAGAAATAGTCCGGGTCATCCAAAAGATCGTTCTCGTGTCCTTCGTGAGTAGCATTATTTAGTTCACATTTCAATTTTCCATTGATAATCCTTGTCTTTGTATTATAACTGAAACATTCGTTCTCCATAAAGCATAATGCTGCACAGAATTGTTTGTCTTTGACTTCAGCGGCGCTTATCACATAGTTAATCAAACGTTTCCCGTCGAACAGTCTGGTAGTACTGAAAACCAAATCCCGACAATTTTCTGGAAAGACGAAATACATTTATGTGTAAAGGAACGGCCGAACGTTTTTTTTGTGTACAATTCGGAATTTTTTGTTTGCGTAAACAAAATAATATTGATGATAAAAAAAAAAAAAATTCTGTTGGTTTCACCCTGATATCCTCGATAAAGTTATCAATTGTTAATAGAGTTTCTCTACATTGGCTTTGCCCCTTACATGTAAATACTGATGCTCACGCTCGCAAAAACCGCAATTGTTAATGTTTAAGAAACATTTTGCATCGAAATTTATTTTTAGAAAATTTCCTTAGCCTTCTGCTGGCCTAAGATCGTAACAGTCGTTAAAATGATACCCTCTACCTTTTTGATATCAAAGATGATCGAGTTTACTCCCAATTTTTTACTGGTCTCATCCATATTTTAACCTTAATGTCATGTAGCAACATTTCCTACTGGCCTAAGATCGTAATAGTCGTTAAAATGATGCTTTCTGCCTTTTTGACATCAAAGATGATTGATTTTACTCCTCATTTCCATTGTTCTCAACCATATTTTAACCTTACTGCCATGTAGCAACATTCCCTACAGATTTTATGATATAAGGCATAGGAAAAAATGGAATCTAACCTGTAGCGCATGTTGTTAACGGGATCAAATGCAACCAAACGAGGAACTGAATACTTGCATAGTGGAAAAAACTAAAAGCCATTTATGTCAGCAAGAAATGTAAAACCTTAATGCTGACCAACCCTTCATGAGTGAATATGAATTGAAAGATCTATTGTTTTCACTTTTATGAACTTTCACAGTATGGGTTTTACTAGCTTTGTTGCACGAAAGTAATAATTAAAAGTATCATCTACCCTACTGACTAGTTGTTAAAATAAGTCTTCATTTATTGATATACGTCGCAAAAGTCAATCTGATTCACTTCTAAGGAATTTTGCAAAAGGACTCATGGATTTCTTACCTTGTGTCTCTAAACAGTTTGCATAGTATTTTTAACGGAAAGAAGCAAATTCCAATCTGTTAATATCTAGTTGTATGTATTCAAATTGTGTTACCTATTCAAAGATTGTTTTCATAAATTCCTATTGTGGAGATGAATATATCAAAACAAGTCGAAAATGGAAGGATTTGAAAACGTAGTGAACTTTTTTTCCTTTCGATATGTTCTCTTTTTACTCAGTATTTGAGTTTTAAAGAATCGGATGACTCGAAAATGAAATTGTGACTTAAATTGTCACCTGCTCCCGTAAAACTTCTGCTAGGTTAAAGTTGTTTGAAAATAGTGTAGAGTTAAGTTTTCACAGCTTCTTATTGAAACACTTTTGTAGTAATAGTCCTCATGGAACAATAAGCTGATGAGTCAAGATTGCAGGGGTACATATGGTTTAAACTTGCAAATAACATAAGCACGTTGTTTACCGGAATTGATGGGCAAGATTAATGTTTGGATTTCATCAAATGTTAATCTTTACCCGTGAAGAATACTCTATAACAGGACCCCAAATCCCAAAACATGACCGAATTTATTTTTGCTGGGACTTCCTAAGGGCCAAATTGTTAGCAATGTCTGCTTTGTTGAGTTTAACGTACGGCTCTGCCTTCCTATTCTCCACTTTGATTCCAAAAGCCAGCAATGCTTCAGGTATGTTGCACATCCTTGCGTTCCATCTATCATACGACATAAATTGACATCTCAAAGCAAAAGCGAAACTATATGAGTTGATAAAAGCAAACAATCCTCTAAGAATTCCGTTGACGTGATGGATTAGCTGTCGAGGTTTCACTCAAATAGGAAAACGTGCAATGAAGCACAGTTGTTGAAACTATTGTAACGTAAACGCCTTTACTATTTACGTCTTGGGTCCGAGTTTTATCTCCTAGAGTTATAGCACATGAGCAAAGCGTGCGCAGTCTGCACATCGAAAAGGAAAAAAAATCAGGATCCTTAACTTCTGGTAACAGACCAGTGGCGTGGCTAGAATGACGATAATCAAATCTTTACCATTAATATTATCTGTTTATTGCTTTGATTGCTTGTTTTGATCTCCTTTGTTAAAAAAAAATGCTGAGGTGTGAGGGAAACAATTATTCTCAGGTCTAACTGATATTTTAAGACGAGAACGCTTTATAAGTACGGCAAAATTGTGAGGGAATTATAACTCAACTGAGAACCGCAATTTCTATGTAATGTTACCATCAGAATAAAAGCATAACGCGAGAAAATAGCTGAGCACTCCCCAAGTTGCCAACATATTCCTAATCTATTCATTATTATATGTATGGTTTGTCCATGGCCAAAACGAAAAGTGTCCTAAGATGGTGGAAATATGTACGTTTAGTTTAAGCTTGTGTATATATAATTATAGTATCTTGTAATGCTAAGGAAAAAAGCTAGTCAAACAGAGAGCTCTTTTTTTATCTTTGATTAATTTGTGAAATAGTTTTAACAGCTAATACGCGAAAATTTGTCTTAGGTGACGGTCGCAACTTGGAGTTCAGAAGCAGCTACACGTTCAAAGGCAAACACCTGATCAACCACGTGATTAATGTCACTGACGCAATCGACGGACGATTCTGTAAGGTTCGATGCCATTTAGATTACAACTGCATAAGTTAGAATTTTCTGTCTCGTGGTGAAGCTGGGAGGCAAAGATATGAATTAAATGATGTATCACAAGTCGAGTATGATGGTGATCTGGAGAGCAGCCCTAATTTTACTTATGACGGAGTTCAGGTTAGAATCCCTGAAAACTTCTGTATAAATTCTAATTAATATTATGAATGATAAAATAATATTAACAACAATAATAATAAAAGTAAAAACAATGATAACGATTTATATATATTCGAGAGCGCTTTATACCCTTAAGTTTGTAGTTTACAGTTGTTTCTGAAAATAGTCAGGCTGCTACTGGCTCTGATTGATAAGGGTAACGATTTCCATGAGGCTGGAGCAGCTTAGGCGAAGTGTAGATAATTTGACCCTTGAAACGAACAGAAGAGATGTGTTGACGAGATAAACACATTTAAGTGCAGATAAGTTGACTCTTGGGACGAACAGAAGAGATGTGTTGACACGATAAACACATTTAAGCGCTTCTTCCTTGCATACCTTACACAAGTCTCTTTGCTTTAGTTGATATTTCTACGGCTTTTACACTCATTTTTGTCAGATAATGCAGGCAATCCCATATGAGCTCTATAGGAAGATCATGACAGTTCGGGCGGTTAAATCACGAGACAACATTCACATTTCACATCATCTTGTCCTCACGTGACGCTAACCAGATAATAACATTGTGTCCTCTTTTTTTTTTTTTTTTTTTTTTTTTTTTTCGTGAGTGAGTTATCTGTTACTGAGTTAGTATCCCGAATCATCGGATACCTAAAAGGAAATGCAAAGATATCCGCTGACCACAATTTTTGGTTTTCATGGTCATTAGAACGCTTGTGTAAACAATGAATGCAAAAACAATGCGACATTCGATTCTTTTTTACTCTGATGATGACTTCCGCTCTGGTTGTCGAAATGTGAGTCACCACTACCGACAACAGTCCTGCTCAGGACTACACTCACCCGGACGATCAAACTACACTATTACATGTTAACCTCGGGTTCAAAACATTTACTGTATAACAAAATTTGCGGCAGTATTACATGACTCAGCCGGATTGTGCTTTTCAGGTTCAATGAAAAACAAAGTTTATCAACTGAAGGTTGGAAATCTTAGTTTTCCTGTTTATTGCCACCTTGGTGGGACTGATCTTGGACCATACGGAGCTGGCGGCTGGACCCTGGTCATGAAGATTGACGGCTCAAAGGTAATGTGACTAACATTGAAATTCGTTATTGAGTGAGTGGTTAGCTCTTAATTGTACACTAAGTTGTGTGAAAAGGTAAGGTTATGTCTTTTCCCGCAATCTCCTAGATAGCTCTTGTTACACATTAAAGACGTGGTTTCCTGATGATCAGATATTAGGGAACCTTTCACTGCGGCTCCAACCTTTGGAGGAACAATCAAACTTTTAACTCCGCTAGAGGACAGACATGTTTTGACACTGAAGAGACGAAATTACCAACTTACCGGGGAATGCCTTTCACCAAAATTTGTCTCGGCATAAAAATTAGCCAACGGCAGAGATTTATTCCTGTCGAGAACTCACTATATTCATTGATTGCTGACGGAAAATATTGACGCACCTCATTGGGTCGCAACACTTGGAAATCGCTAATCGGGACACAAGCCTCTTTGCAACGGAAATGTAACAAGGAGGGATTCAATGTGGTGACTTCAGTGGTGCATTCTAAAGCAAGAATTGGTGTCATTGCTAACGAACAAACTAACTGCAACAGCTGCGATTCCAGAATTGATTTTGGTACTGGAGGATTTCCTGATGACTCTAACACCTGCGGAAACATTGCTCAAGATGGATTACGTGCAGTTAACGGGAACAAGAGAATTAAGGCCATGGGATACTACTTGATCCAGTGATGGATTGTTGTGATAATTTGAAAAAAATGTTTTTGGTGTGTGTGCTTCTTTTTTATCTTTTATGTACGTGTGACGCAAAAGTTATCGAGATTTAGATTTAGTATTTAGAGCTGTTACGGCGCCAAAATATGACAAAACTCAATAAAGAACCCAAAATAAGAAAAACAAACATGAGCGACGTAAAACGTATTAACTTCTGTAGCGCTAAAAAAACACAAACCGCAATAGAATTCTGTGAGTAGAGCTAAACTGCTTAGTCAGATGTTTCAAAATAAAAATGCACATTGACTTGAATTCAAGAAAATGATCGGTGAAAACGGGCCAGGGGGACAGAGTGCAATAGTTTCCGAGAAATAGAAAGTTTTGGGGGTTGGAGTTGCTACTATCCTGCCTTTAGGTATGCAGTGAACGAGTGACAGAGGTAACACGTTTCCCGTTTCTCATGTACCAGTTTGCATATTTAGTTGTAATAAAAAAAGCTTGAGATTGCATTTAATAAAACAAAAAAGGAAGAGAAGAAACGGTTACGTTCATATCTTAACCGAGGCCATGATGCGTGATTTTTGTTGACAATTTAATTCTAGTCGTAAAGGAAGGGTAATTTAACGCAGAAAGCTAAATTTGTTTGCAATTTCAGTGGTGAACACAAAAATAGGCTTTATTCGTTAATGTACATCATTTCTTCGATTTATAGGAATTCAAATCCTCCAAAAGATGTGACCGGTTTCCAACTCTATCTCTCTTCTCTTCCGAGTCCGATCAACTTTCCAATGAAGAGGTTTAGCAAAAACTAAAGTTGTAGGAGGACCACTGCTAACAGGAGGGTCTGTAGATTACATATGTGCATGAGTGGAAATTTTATGCTGGCCACATCAAATTCATCTAACTTTTTTCTAGTTGACTCAATGTTCTACTAATATGGACATTGGTGAATGCATTGTCGTAGGAACCCAATGTTCCCTACTAGAAAGCCGCAACAAGAAAACCTGAGATGCACTGAAGTGTAAACTCTTTTTACTACATCAACAAAGATTCACTGAAATCAAATGCATAAATCTGCTGAATAAAGCAAAGTAATAACCGAATCACAAAGGATAAGAAAGCTAAACAAAAACCGATCGATACTTACAAGTTTTTTGTGCCTTGTTCCACTAATAACAAATGAAATCTTGTTCGACAATCTTAGTAGAAGCTAAAGCTTAAACTCAAAACAGACCATCTCGAAAACTTGATATCTTATCGTGACTGCAAAAACATGTAACCAGCAGTACAGGTCGCAAATAACTCACTGAAATGTCTACTTGACTGTCCGCATTCTAATCAGGTTTTAGACATTACAATTGTATTTCCTCACATTTAACCATAATGAATAAAAGAAGCTGTTTTATTTATGTTATATTTGTTTTATCTATTCATTTATTTAACTGAATTGTTTTATTCATTGCCACACACATTTGAAACTTACTAAACACCACACTTTCACAATTTAGTGAAACTACTTTAGCGGGAAATGCAACCTCACGTCACTAAAAACAATACTTCCCTGTCTAAAGGATTAGAGACTAGACATCGAAAGTGCCTCGTCTTGCCTTTTATTAGTTGTGACCCTGGTATTGAGTTGAGTTAGAAGGAAAACCCCAGAAACGCACAGACGGGGTGGTCGGGGATGGCTTTACGCCGTTACATTTATTCAATAGAGCTTAAACGTAGTTCTTACGGTGTTCGTTTCCTAAAAAGCCAGGAAACTGGCATTACGGTTTTAAAAGCCCTTCGCCTCATGCTTCGCTAAATTTGCTCGCAAATCTTCTACATCTGAAGACTAACTAAAATGCCAAAGTCGTTTCAAATTGGCATTTGTCCTCCTATTGGATTCTTTTGAACGAGGGAGAACTGGAGACTGAAAATGAATGACCAAGTGAGCAACAGTGCTGTGCGATTCTCCGACACACAATACTACCTGTCTATCGCTTCCTTCTGTATTAGTCAAGCATGAAGGGCTACCTCTCATAGGCCATCTGTAAAGAATAATGTCATATTGCTGACGAATTTTATTGCACCAAAATATATCCCATTGTTTTGAGATGTTTGTCTCCATTATCTCCTCCATACCTGACTTCGTTCCCACACGTGTTAGAATTATCGGGTCCTCCACCAGCTCCGAATCCAATTCTTGAGTCACAGGATCTGCAATGGTCCTCATTGTTACCAAGGATACCAATTCTAGTTCTGGAAAGTCCGAAGTTTGTACTAAACACATTAAAGCCGTCTTTGTTACAATTATGCTGTAAAGATGCCTGTGAGCCTACAAGCTTCTTCCACTTGTCACGGTCCAGCGTAATATTGCGATACTGACCGTCAGCGACAAGTGCATGGAGAGAGTTCGATGGCCTATCGATGGAAATGAAATTCAGTTGCGTGTTAATCTTCATACCAAGACAGATCTTGGAAAATGGGGTGCTCCAGTAGGTGGGCAGCTTGGTTTCAAGAGTATCAAACCCAGTTGTGCCGTCGTGGGCATTGAAGCTTTCGTTATTACTCCACAACTGGCTATCATAGTGAAACGTCATCTGCCGAGAAAATATAGCCTCGCGTGAGATTGTCGTTCGGAACAGGTTATTCCTGAACTAGGTGAAAAACAAAACTGAATTCAACCTATCAATCATGCATTAACTTGCTCAAGTATTTCAATCTTTCTAAATGCAGACGTGAAAGGTAATACTCAAAGGATCATGGTATTGTCTAAATTTCAGGAAGCTCATGTCAGAATAATAAGTCGCATCGAAGAAGTTTCGTTTCGCATTTATCGCGCAATCTAATTATCTGACTTTCGATGTTGATACCTGTTACGTTGAACACTTCTAGCATTATTTCAATTGATTGGAGTAAAATTTTCATGTAGACCAGAATTTGAAGAAAGCTTGAAAGCACATCTTGTTCCGACAGCACTAACAACAATAGCAGTTTAGCAACACTGAGTTGCATCGAATAAAATTTAAAGTCTGTTTTACGCAATTCCTTAATTGGGCACGATGTAATGAAACTCTATTTCTTCTAATGAGCTCTAGGATAGTATGTGTGCAGATAAACGGTAGATTAAGTATATGACAGTATGCACGGAGGAATGGAGGTTTGACCAGCACATCACAACCATGTGGAAGCTCATTTTGTCCGCTTGAGTCCGTAAGTATCCGTCTTACAAGAAATAGTATATATCATGAATCTAAATTACGATAGCGTAACGTTCTTTGCTCAATACTCTCAATGAAAATCATTGGATTTGACTACTAGTTAATAATTTTATCGTTATTTATGATACTTTGTCATAATTTAATGACTTTTAGTACTTTTTATGATGTTTAGTTGGCTTGTATCGCCAGATTTTACCTTTGTGCCGTCGGTTTTCATAACTAGAGTCCACCCTCCTCCATTGCATTCTCTATTTTCGCCCAGGCCATTGTTGTCCATGTGACAATACACTGGGATCATCTCAGATCCAATGTTCAGTAAATAGTCTCTATTTCCATTCGATGAGCTATTAATTAAGGTAAATTGCAATCACAGGTTTTAAGTTAACTAAATCCAGGTAAATGGGGTACCGCTGCAACGTTCATTCGTGTCACTAATCCCACCCCCTATGTGAGTTACTCAAAGTAACGTGGAGAAGAGTATAGCTCGTCGTGCCAACCCTGTCACATTTCTACCAGTACAAATTGTCACTACAAAGGGAGCAGAAATGCTTCTTCTTATCAATATTTTTTTTTTGCTAGTCAGGAATGTAATAGTTTTCAAGAAGCTATTTCTCTAAGATCTTACGAGCCATTATGGTCGATCACATGTCACTCTCTCAGTCAATTTTTTTTTCAAAGAAATCTCTTGTTTGATTTCTGATTTGACTGAATACTCTTTATTTATTTTTAGCTTTTACTCAGACTCAAATTTATCATCGTTTCTCAAAAAAAAATTATGTTGAAACACAAATGATTGAAACTTTTCTACATCACTTACAAACTAATGAAAAACCTTAAACTAGAAATCAGCAGTGCAGCATGACTGGTCATAAATAAAAGGATGGTCAAGTACCAGCCTTAATCTGATGGAAACCATTTGAATGCTTTTGTATCTCCATTTTTTCTAAAAGAAAATTCATTTCTATTCGCTCACGCATCACTTTCTCAAAGTCCACCGAATGGCTTCGATTGGACTCGAAAGGGATACCCAGTTTAATTTTAATTTATTAATGATCTTAAGCCTCTGTCATCTTTTCTCTCGCTCGGTCCAGTTACAGAAAGCATTGACACAATATTCAATTTTTGAATGATATTACGACGATGTACTGATACAAATTGTGGCGAGTGGAGTACTTACCGATTGCTGTCATGAATTATCTTACATGAGGATAGTGCTGCAAGGAAAACATGACATTGAAAAATGTGAAATGAAGAAAGCGGCAAAGATTCTTTTTTAAAAACCCAGAAGACCTAACACACACTCTCTTATCTTTAGAGAGATACCCACCTTCACAGCTGCTTCCGTTTCCATGATATCCAGGTCTACAGGTACAGTTGTACGAACCAGCCGTGTTTATACACTCTGCATTAGCGTCGCAACTGTGTGTTCCCGAAAAACACTCATCAATTTCTGAAAAGAGAGGAAATTCATAACTTTTTCTGGGTGTAGCCATGCATTGTTGCCTCATTTCGTAGGCCAGAGTGAAACCGACTATTCTTACTTTAGACATTCGGATCCAGTTACAAAATAAACTCGTTGCATTATCAAAATTTACTGGTGATTCAAACTTTAAAAAAAACGTTTCTTACCATTTTCACAAGTCTGACCCGTAAATCCTCTTGGACACAAGCAACGATATCCAAAGTTCGTGAAACCAGTTTGACAGGTAGCTTTATTACTGCAAGGGTTACTGGCACAAGCATTCTAGCCAATACAAAAGCAGTATTCAAAAATGAATTAAAAAAAAGGACTCATTTCCAACATTTCTGCAGAGCAAAAAACAGTTCCTTCTGTTTTATACTACGGTAGAACGAATCTTTATTCAGGGGGTAACCCAGTTAATTACTGACTCACTTCCTCACTCCAGGCTCGTCTGTTACTGCTGTTGTAAAATTGCCTCTACTAAACAAACAGGTGCATGCTTAACACAGATTTTGTTAAACTTTTGAACAGACCTAGAGATATTTGAATGACGAGCCTAACAAGTTTCAGCGAGTGGTATAAGTATTATTGAATTCTATTATGTTATACCTCAGCTGCGCAGTAGAAATAGTCCGGGTCATCCAAAAGATCGTTCTCGTGTCCTTCGTGAGTAGCATTATTTAGTTCACATTTCAATTTTCCATTGATAACCCTTGTCTTTGTATTATAACTGAAACAGTTGTTCTCCATAAAGCATAATGCTGCACAGAATTGTTTGTCTTTGACTTCAGCGGCGAGTATCACATAGTTAATCAAACGTTTCCCGTCGAACAGTCTGGTAGTTCTGAAAACCAAATCCCGACAATTTTCTGGAAAGACGAAATACATTTATGTTTAAAGGAACGGCCGAACGTTTTTCTTGTGTACAATTCTGAATTTTTTGCTCGCGTAAACAAAGTAATAATAATGATTAAAAAAAAAAAACATTTTGTTGGTTTCACCCTGATATCCTCGATAAAGTTATCAATGATTAATAGAGTTTCTCTACATTGGCTTTGGCCCTTACATGTAAATACTAATACTAACGCTCGCATAAACCGCAATTTTTAATCTTTAAAACACATTTTTGTACCGAAATATATTTTTAGAAAAGTTCCTAAGCCTTCTGCTGGCCTAAGATCGTAATAGTCGTTATATAAATAAAATGATACCTTCTACCTTTTTGATATCAAAGATGATTGAGTTTACTCCCAATTTTTTACTGTTCTCATCCATATTTTAACCTTAATGTCATGTAACAACATTTCCTACTGGCCCAAGATCGTAATAGTCGTTAAAATGATGCTTTCTGCCTTTTTGACATCAAAGATGATTGATTTTACTCCTACTTTCTACTGTTCTCAACCATATTTTAACCTTACTGTCATGTAGCAACATTCCCTACAGATTTTATGATATAAGGCATAGGAAAAAATGGAATCTAACCTGTAGCGCATATTGTTAACGGGATCAAATGCAACCAAACGAGGAACTGGATACTTGCATAGTGGACAAAACTAAAAGCCATTTATGTCAGCAAGAAATATAAAACCTTAATGCTGACCAACCCTTCAGGAGCGAATATGAATTGAAAGATCTATTGTTTTCACTTTTATAAACTTTCACAGTATGGGTTTTACTAGCTTTGTTGCACGAAAATAATAATTAAAAATATCATCTACCCTACTGACTAGTTGTCAAAATTAGTCTTCATTTATTGATATACGTCGCAATATCAATCTGATTCACTTCTAAGGAATTTTACAAAGGGACTCATGGATTTTTTACCTTGTGTCTCTAGACAGTTTGCATGGTATTTTTAACGGAAAGAAGCAAATTCCAATCTGTAAATATCTAGTTGTATGTATTCAAATTGTGTTACCTATTCAAAGATTGTTTTCATAAATTCCTTTTGTGGAGATGAACATGTCAAAACAAGTCGAAAATGAAAGGATTTGAAAACGTAGTGAACTTTTTTTTTCTTTTCGATATGTTCTCTTTTTACTCAGTATTTGAGTTTTAAAGAATCGAATGACTCGAAAATGAAATTGTGACTTAAATTGTCACCTGGTCTCGTAAAACGTCTGCTAGGTTAAAGTTGTTTGAAAATAGTGTAGAGTTAAGTTTTCACAGCTTCTTATTGAAACACTTTTGTAGTAATAGTCCTCATGGAACAATAAGCTGATGAGTCAAGATTGCAGGGATACATATGGTTTAAACTTGCAAATAACATAAGCACGTTGTTTACCGGAATTGATGGGCAAGATCAATGTTTGGATTTCATCAAATGTTAATCTTAACCCGTGAAGAATACTCTATAACAGGACCCCCAATCCCAAAACATAACCGAGTTTATTTTTCCTGGGATTTTCTAAGGGCCAAATTGTTAGCAATGTCTGCTTTGTTGAGTTTAACGTACGGCTTTGCCTTCCTAATCTCCGTTTTGATTCCAAAAGTCAGCAGTGCTTCAGGTATGTTGCATGTCCTTGCGTTCCATCTATCATACGACATAAATTGACACCCCAAAGCAAAAGCGAAACTATATGAGTTGATAAAAACAAACAATCCTCTAAACATTCCGTTGCCGTGATGGATTAACTGTCGAGGTTTCACTCAAATAGGAAAACGTGCAATGAAGCACAGTTGTTGAGACTATTGTAACGTAAACACCTTTACTATTTACGTCTTGGGTCCGAGTTTTATCTCCTCGAGTTACAGTACATGGGCAAAGTGTAGGCAGGCTATACATCGAAAAGGAAAAAAATCAGGATCCGTAACTTATGGTAATAGACCAGTGGCGTGGCTAGAATGACAATAATTAAATCTTTACCATTAAAATTATCTGTTGATTGCTTTGATTGCTTGTTTTGATCTCCTTTGTAAAAAAATGCTAAAGCGTGGTAGAAAAAATAATTCTCAGGTCAAACTGATATTTTAAGACGAGAAAGCATTATAAGTATGGCAAAATTGTGAGGGAATTATAATTCAACTAAGACCCGCAATTTCTATGTAATGTTACCATCGGAATAGAAGCATCAGACACTCTTAACATGAGAAATTACCTGAGCACTCCCCAAGTTGTCAACATACCAATTACCTATAGTTTGTCCATAGCCAAAACGAAAAGTGTCCTAAGATGGTGGAAATATGTACGTTTAGTTTAAGCTTGTGTATAATTCCAATATCTTGTAATGCTAAGGAAAAAAAGTTGTCAAACAGAGAGCTCTGACTTTTTTTATCTTTGATTAATTTGTGAAATAGTTTTAACAACTAATAAGCGAAAATTTGTGTTAAGTGACTTTCGCAACTTGGAGTTCAGAAGCAGCTACACGTTCAAAGGCAAACGCCTGATTAACCACGTGATTAATGCCACTGACGCAATCGACGAACGATTCTGCAGGATTCTATGCCATTCAGATTACAATGGCATCAGTTATAATTTTTGTCTCGTGGTGAAGCTGGGAGGCAAAGGTGTGAATTCAATGATATGTCACATGTAGAGTATGATGGTGATCTGGAGAGCAGCCCTAATTATACTTATTACGGAGCTCAGGTTAGAATCCCTGAAAACTTGTATATAATTATTATAAAATGAATGATATAATAATATAAACAATAATAATAATAATAAAAGTAAAAACAATGATAATATTTTATATTGCGCTAAAAACTATCTACATATTCGAGAGCGCTTTACATTACAATGAGTTTGTAGTTTACAGTTGTTTCTGAAAATAGTCAGGCTGCTACTGGCTCTGATTGATAAGGGTAACGATTTCCATGAGGCTGGAGCAGCATAGGCGAAGTGTAGATAAGTTGACCCTTGGAATGAACAGAAGAGATGTGTTGACGAGATAAAGACATTTAAGCGCTTTTTCCTTGCGCACCTTACACAAGTTTCTTTGCTCTAGTTGATATTTTTACGGCTTTCAAACTAATTTTTGTCAGATAATGCGGGCAATCCCATATGAGCTCCATAGGAACATCATGACTGTTCGGGTGGTTACATCACAAGACAGCATTCACGTTTCACATCATCATGTCCTCACGCTGCGCTAACTAAATAGTACCATTGTTTCCTTTTTTGTTGTTTGTTTTTTTTTCCACGAGTGAATTATCTGTTACTGAGTTAATGGATACCTAAAAGCAAAATGTAAAGATATCCGCTGACCAGCATTTTTGGTTTTCATGGTCATTAGAACGCTTGTGTAAACAATGAATGCAAAAACAATGCGACGTGTCAAACTGGTTTTACTGACAGAGGATATCGCTGCATGTGCATTCCGGGTTTTCGGGGGCAAGACTGCAAAATTTGCGGTAAGTGTTCAAAAGGAAAAATAACTCCTTTCAGGACGTGTCCGGATCGATATAAGTTAGTTAGCGTTTGTCCTTTAGGAAAAAGATAGAGCTTGCACTTAATATTCTATATAAGGTACTACATTTCTTCGTTGTAAAAGGTTCCACGCTTCGAAAGCAACAGTTGTTGCTTTTTCTTTCTTTTGCTCGTAGTAAGTCCCTAAAATCGAAGTTGGAAATAAAAGTTAGTAGACTACCCAAAACAATTAGCGACAAAACTATCAAGTAATAACATATGATAGATGAAAAATGAAATTAAAATGAGGAATAAAGAAAATAACAAAAAAAACTAGCAGAGTAAATAGAAGAAAGATCATCAACTATATAATATTACTATAATTATAACAGATATCTGTTCCATGAACAATGGCTAATTTCACAGTTCCCCGTAATTTATTAGGCTTCAAAAATAAAACAGGAAGTTCAAAAACGATAGAATGAGTCGTTCTCAAAGTTGTTAATCATCTTGCCACTGCGACCTCTTAGAAAGTCTCAGATATATGATCAAAAGAATTTCTTACTTCTGAGGAGTGAGATTGGTTGGTTTTCATTTGCTTTGTCTAGTGGATTATATGTTCCTTCATTAGTAACAATGCTAACTGTAAGGAAGAAAGAGGGAAGGTAAAAATGCAGTATTCATTGTGCGTAGGCTTCAATCCAAGAATTGATCAGTGCTTACTTACCGTCTAGATAACAGCTACTGCTTGAAGTCAGGATGTTCCTCGTCAAAGCACTTTATCCTTACATGTCTAGTAATCCATTTTTTAGCATTCAACTATTATTGTATTTTTTTTTCTGCAGAATTTGCATCGTGCAAGGAAATTTATAACTTGAATCTGTAAGTGGGTTTACGAAGCATAATTTTTGTACATACATTTAAAAAAAACACTTCGGCACTTTTTTCACTTTTGATTCTGAGGAAAATCCATAGATACAGATCTACCAATAGAATCGAAGTTTAGTCGGGTAGAAATGATATTTTGAGTCAATCCATTATATTGGGGTAACTGAAATTCCGCCAAAATTAACAAATTGATAAATTTTCGTCCATACCTTTTGTTTTCAAGTTATACTATTCGAAAAATAATAAACAAACAACATAACAAAACATAACGCAGTATTGCATGACTCAGCCAGATCGTGCTTTTCAGGTTCAACGAAAACAAAGCTTATCAATTGAGGGTAGGAAATCTTAGTTTTCTTGTATATTGCCACCTCAGTGGGACTAATCTTGGACCATGCGGAGCTGGTGGCTGGACCCTGGTCATGAAGATTGACGGCTCAAAGGTAATGTGACTAACATTGAAATTCTTTATTGAGCGAATGGTTAGCTCTTAGTTGTACACTACGTTGTGTGAAAAGGTAAGGTGATGTCTTTTCCGGCAATCTCCTAGATAGCTCTTGTTACACAATAAATACGTCGGGTTTCTTGATGACCAAATATTAGGGAACTTTTCACTGGGGCTCCAACCTTTGGATGAACAATCAAACTTTTAACTCTGCTGGAGGACAGACAGGTTTTGACGACGAAGAGACGAAATTACCAACCTACTGGGGAATGCCTTTCACCAAAATTTGTCTCGGAATGAAAATTGGCCACCAGAGTTTGCAAATTCAGTTGTGATAAAAACTCGGGACTACATTTAATAAAACAAAAAAGGAGGAGAAGAAAGGGTTACGTTCATATCTTAACCGAGGCCATGATGCGTGATTTTTGTTGACCATTTACTTAAAGTAGTAAAGGAAGGGCTAATTTGACGCGGAAAAACTCAATTTGTTTGCAATTTCAGTGATGAACACAGAAATAGGCTTCGATTCATTCAAGTACATCATTTCTTCATAGCAATTCAAATCCTCCAAAAGATGTGACCTGTTTCCAGTTCTACCTCTCCTCTCTTTCAAATCCGATTAGGTTTCCAGTGAAGAGGCTTAGCAAAAACTAAATTTGTAAGAGGACCACTGCTAACAGGAGGGTCGGTATAGATTACACATGTGCGTGAGTAGAAATTTTATGCTGACCACATCAAATTCATCTAACTTTTTTTCCAGTTGGCTCAATGTTCAACTAAAATGGACACAAGTGAATGCATTGTATTTCCTAACATTTAACTACAATGAAAAAAAAGAAGCTGTTTTATTTATGTTATATTTGTTTTATCTATTTGTTTATTTAACTGAATTGTTTTATTTATTGCAACACACATTTGAAACTTACTTAACAACACACTTGCACAATTAACTGAAACTACTTTAGCGGGAAATGCAACCTCACGTTGCTAATAAAACATTACTTCGCTTTATTCTGGATTAAAGACTAGACATCGGAAGTGCCTCGTCTTGCCTTTTATTTTTTGTAACCCTGGTATTGAGTTGAGTTAGAAGGAAAACCCCAGAAACGCACAGATGGGGTGGTCGGGGATGGCTTTTTCGTTGCATTTATTCAATATGGCTGAAATGTAGTTCTTGCGATGTTCGTTTCCTAAAAGCCATTATGGTTTTAAAGACCCTTCGCCTCATGCTTCGCTAAACTTGGTCGGAAATCTATTACATCTTAAGACTCAATGAAATGCCAAATTCGTTTCAAAGTGGTATTTGTCCTCCTATTGGATTCTTTTGAACGAGGGAGAACTGGAGACTAAAAATGATTGACCGAGTATTTGCTGAGCAACAGCGCTGTGTGATTATCCGACATACAATACTACCTGTCTATCGTTTCCTTCTGTATCAGTAAGGCATAAAAGCCTACCTCTCATAGGCTATCTGTAAAGAATAACGTCACATTGCTGACGAATTTTATTGCACCAAAATATATCCCATTGTTTTGAGATGTTTGTCTCCATTATCTCCTCCATACCTGACTTCGTTCCCACACGTGTTAGAATTGTCGTGTGCTCCACCAGCTCCGAATCCAATTCTTGAGTCACAGTATCTGCAATCGTCCTCATTGTTACCAAGGATACCAATTCTAGTTCTGGAATGCCCGTAGTCTGTACCAAACACATTAAAGCCGTCTTTGTTACAATTATGCTGTAACGATGCCTGTGAGCCCACAAGTTTCTTCCACTTGTCACGGCCCAGCATAATATTGCGATACTGACCGTCAGCGACAAGTGCATGGAGAGAGTTCGATGGCCTATCGATGGAAATGAAATTCAGTTGCGTGTTAATCTTCATACCAAGACAGATCTTGGAAAATGGGGTGCTCCAGTAGGTGGGCAGCTTGGTTTCAAGAGTATCAAACCCAGTTGTGCCGTCGTGGGCATTGAAGCTTTCGTTATTACTCCACAACTGGCTATCATAGTGAAACGTCATCTGCCGAAAAAATATAGCCTCGCGTGAGATTGTCGTTCGGAACAGATTATTCCCGAACTGAGTGAAAAACAAAACTGGATTCAACCTATCTATCATGCATCAACTTGCTCAAGTATTTCAATCTTTCTAAATACAGACGTGAAAGGTAATACTCAAAGGGTCATGGTATTGTCTAAATTTCAGGAAGCTCATGTCAGAATAATTAGATCCATCGAAGAAGTTTCGTTTCGCATTTATCGCGCAGTAAAATTTTCTGACTTCCAGCGGTACTACCTGTTCCGTTGAACACTCCTAGCATTATTTCAATTAATTGAATTAAATTTTCATGAAGACCAGAATTTGAAAGCTTGAAAGCGCGATAGCGTGAGGTTCTTTGCTCAATAATTATTCTCAATGAAAATCATTGGTTTTGACTATTCGCTTGTACTTTTATCGTCATTTATGATACTTTGTTATTATTTACATGACGTCTAATACTTTTTATGATGTGTAGTTGGCTTGTTTCGCTAGATTTTACCTTTGTGCCGTCGGTTTTCATAACTAGAGTCCACCCTCCTCCCTCGCATTCTCCATTTTCGCCCAGGCCCTTGTTATCCATGTGACAATACACTGGGATCATCTCAGATCCAATGTTCAGTAAGTAGTCTCTATTTCCATTAAGTGAGCTATCAATAAAGGTAAATTGTAATCGCAGTTTTAAAGTTACCTAAATCCTTGTCAATGGGTTTAATTTCTTAAATAAAGTGTACTGCTGCAACGTTCATTTGTGTCCCTACTCCCACCCCCTAAGTGAGTCACTCAAAGTAACATGGAGTAGAGTATAGCTCGTCGTGCCAACCATGTCACATTTCTACCAATAAAAGTTGTCACTGCAAAAAGAGCAGGAAATGTTTTTTCTTATCAAACAATTTTTTTGCCAGACAAGAATATAATAGTTTTCAAGCGGCTGTTTCTCTAAGATCTTACGACTCATCATGGTTGATCACATCTCTCCCGGTAATTTTTTTTTTTTTTAAGAAATCTTTCGTTTGGCTTCTGATTTGACAGAATACTCTTTTTTCATTTTTAGTTCTTACATGGACTCAAATTTATCATCTTTCCTCAGAAAAATTTGTGTTGAAACAAATAATTGAAACTTTTCTGCATCACTTAAAAACTACTGAAAAACCTTACACTGGAAATCAGCAGTGCGACCAAAATTGATCATGAAGATCTTTGAGGGAGAATCTTTTAACAGGTGTAAAATGCGTAACTATCTACAGGCGACGTAAAATTGTATCTAAAAAATTCATAATCGAATTGAATGAAATTATTCAGAAAGTTCTTGAGTAAAATTGCCTGATACTTACATGTTATAGTCATAGATTTCCTTGCAAGTGGACACTGAAACATAGAGGAGAATACTGATAATCTGCATAGGATGAATTCGTAATAATGGGAAATTTCGCCTTTTGTAAATTTAAGTGAGATTTTGTAACCAATTCCTTTCTTCAAATTCTGCATTAACATATTTGAAAGAGTTCACTTGCCAGTTATTGTTATTATCATTATGTAAGACACGTTTTAAAACCTACCTAACTTGACGCTGCAATTCCATCCGTCTCCTTCATATCCTTGTTTACAAGTACAGCTGTATGAACCTTTGGTGTTGATGCAATCTGAAACATCACTGCAAGAATATGTTCCTATGTCGCATTCATCAATATCTAAAATACACCAGAAGAATAAGGTTATTCAGGTGTAGCCACTAAAATGAGGCTTAAATGGGTAGCTTGAATTGGTGCTCAGAATAACACCTTAGAATAACAAAGAGACCACAGTTTACCTTCTTCGCAGTCCTCTCCATGGAAACCTTCGCTGCATAGACATCGATATCCTCTATGGGTGAAACCTGTTTGACACGTTGCATCGTTCATACATCGATTACTTAAGCAAGCATCCTGGTAGGTGGAGAGGGAAGGTGTTGTAATTAAAATTAAGATAACAAAGCAAGCCATAAGCCTTGTTTACTTTGATGTAAGTATCGCATATGCAAGTGCCAATGGTACCGTTCACTTGAAATGGGTAATAGTGACATAATTTGACTCGATGGTTATATACAGACTTGTGATCAATCAACTATTTTCGCTCGTGCGCGATTGATCTAAACACATCACGTAACCAAATATTCCCCAGCTAAAGCTGGGGATATCTGAGGATATCAGCCAAGCGATATTTGCCAATTCTCGAACCATAGGTCCATTACGATGAGTCCTCGTTTAAAATTTAAAACAGAACGAGAGAGCGTTTTTTGGTAGTTACAGGAGAAAGTAAATTTTTTTTTCTTTTGTTGATAAAGTCTAATCAGAGAACACTCAAAAGAAAACACGCGGCGAAAAGTAAGCTGTTTCCTGTTTGCTGCTTTTTCCACGCGCGTTGAAAATATTTAAAGGATAATAGACACAATGGCCTCTAATTTGCGCGAAAATATGCTCTTATATTTGTCCTTGGACATAATCTGTTCCTCGAAGCTCACAGTTTTCCTCGAGCTTTGCTCTCGAGAAACTTTTAGCATTTCAGAACAGATAATAGGGAGTTTGAGACTGTTGTCCACGATGGGTTACTTTTCCCGGGAAATCTTGATTCATCCTCATTGACGCCGGGAGGTTCCCTTGCCCTATTGGTTTGCGGAAAACCAATAGGGGGCGAGAAGATCTCCTGGCGTGGCGCGAGTTGTTAGCGAACCTTTATGAGCTAAAATCTCGCAATTAATATCGGGAGGAATACAACCACTTTGAGCAAATTTATAGGGTATATAGATTTGACCGATTTACGTTAAATTTGGCCGAAACATATTAGGAATAATGACAAACGAAAGTCTGTCGGGAAATTTTGTTATTTGAAATACTTGACCCGTGGCGTCCATTTACGCAACACAACTAGCATATTTTTAGCTGCTCCAACTTTAAAAGCCGATACCTGCACAGCCAATCAGAATATCGCAAAAGCCTGACAAATTTTGTCGATTGATGCCTTATGAATGAGACTGTGCAACCATTTTGCTCGTGCTGCAGCACCCGATAACTTCAATAAAAGAACCTTCGGTCGTTTCACGCCTTACCGGCTCCTGACACTTCCTTAAAAGAAAACTCGCTTCAATTTTATTTTTATCGTAAACTGCATTTATTAAGCTTTCTTCTGATATACAGTTTGCTAGGATTTTAGTGAAACTAGCATGCGTATGATTTTTGAGAATAAGCTGAGAGTTTCAATAGTTCAGAATAGAAACATTTTTACTTATCATAGGCTTTACGAACGACTTGTAATACGAGTAGTTTCTTTGTTCTTGTTCAAAAACTGTTTAATGTTATTATTTTAGAAAATCAGACTGAGTTATTTTTGTGACTGGACGCAATAGTCTCCACTATTGTTATGACGTTTCGTACCTATGTTGATTCGCATCAGAAGAAGCAAAGATTTATTGTAACAATTTCAATAGTTCGAATGCAGTAGTTTCTTCACATCTAATTCTAGCGTATAATGTTCGACTCGCTATAATGAATGCGGTAGAATTGGAACGAAATGGCTGTTGTTGTTGTTTTTTTTTTACCTTTATTAAGGAAATGTTGTGTTGTGATTGAAAAGAACATCGACAAAAAAGCTTGCAAATAGAATTATTTACCAAATATGATACAAAGGATGCTTAAAAGGAAAATTTGGTAGGGGGGTCCAAATCTGCGAAGGGGGGTCCATATCCGCTAGCGGATTTGGACCGGGGGTTCAAATCCGCGGGGGGTCCAAATCCGTTGTGACACCGGACTTCGTCCATTTGCTCTTGATCTTATCATAGGCGGATTTTTTATCAGCTTCACTCCTGTGTTTGTCTTTGTCAGGGTGCTTTTGGATGGCAGCCAATGACTAAACCGTCTCAATATATCCTTCCTTTTAGCAAAAATATCTCGCTTTCTTGTTCTGTCTGTGAAGGAGTGGGTATAGTTCTCGCGATGACCTGCGTACAGAAATCTGTGCACGTTTCTGATAAACACCCACTTTTACGATTAGTTTGCTGAAGGTTTCTAATGTGATGAGCCCAGTAAGACCCTGAGGTGCTCCAAACTGTGCCAGTTGGTCTGCGCTATAAACTTGTCGCAGTTCTTAAGTCAGAGGGAGGATCGCCCACCTCTATTTATGTGAGCGCCTCTACAGTACCTGCGTATCTCTGGCAATCACATGATATAAAGTTCATCTCAGTCACAAGTCACCAGTTAGGAAAACTGATGTTCAGATAAGCGCTCTTTTTGCCCTTGTTCCTTATTCATTGCCGACTCTAAGATAGCAGTTACAGTACGCGTTCTATTAGGTTTACAGTCACCTTGACACCAGGAAGACTCTCCACTAGCTTTGATTTCTTCTGCCATCGTAAATAAGTTGTCTCTTTACTATTGAAGCCAGTGGATAGAATTCACCAGGTGCGCCTACGGTGTTATACATGCGTGACATTTTCCGGACGTTACATGTACGAGTACGTGATCCGTTTGAGGGTCACAGATTTAGTGTAAATATTTGACCCCTTAACATCACGCAATGTCTCTAGTTTACAGAGGTCTTCGAACGTTATGGATTTGCCTTCTGCGGGTAGAAGACTACAAGCGAATTTCTCAGGCGTAATTACCTTTTATTTCTCAATTGATGTTGTCGCAAACACGATTTTGGGAGTCACGAAACAAAAAAACTTATCAGGACCTATTTTCATGTTCTAATGGAAATAAATAGCAAATAAAAACACGTTCTCATGAGAAATAAAGTTATAAATAACGGGGGTTCTCTGAAACAAATAGTGATAGAAAAGGATTTCAGTTCTGGTCAATATTATACTTTTCATAGCCTACTTCCAAATCTGAGGGAACGCGCTGAGGGAATAAAAAAACATAAATGTGTGATAATGCAAGGAAGAGAATGAAAATATAAATAAAGAAAAAGGGGAAAACATAGCAACCCGTGTTGCAGCGTGCAGATATCGTTTGAGCCAGACCTACACACTTAAGCCCGACACCACCCAGAGAAACTCGAAAGAGTGCTGTATATGAACTGGCTCGCACGTGCACGCAGGAAAGGCCATGACAATCAGCGAAAATAATAGCAAATACAGATGATATTTGCAGTCAAAAAACAGGAAAATAAGATAACAGAAGAATTAAGAACTTTCTAGAAGTGTCTTCTTTAAATATAAAAGATAAACAATTTTTACCTCTCATGAAAGGTCACGCAGACACGCTACAAATACTATTTCTCTACGTGGAATTTCTTGATGGTGGAAAGTGGAAAAAACATTTTCTAGTCTTATTTTCTGGAAACATGGCGCACTTAATGAATTTATGGGGCTATTGATATTTCCTATCAAATAAGGGGGGCAGAGTTTCCCGTCATCCGCGGTGGGGAAAAGCCTAAGTTGTTACACTCGGGAGCTTGTACGTCAACAAGCACGCGGACTCTAAAATATCCTCTCCTGTTACAGTTTCCTTATTGTAAACTATGCGATAATGATAATAGACGATCAAATTATAGACTAATGAATCTTTTGTTCTGTACAAGAGCCCCATTTCCTGATTTTAGCAAATCTTCACAGTAATAAACGACTGAAGAGAGAAACGCTACGATTTTCCCATTGATTTTCGCCTACATGCATCTCTCTAAACTTGAAATTTTCCATTCCTACTAAAGTTTCGAAAGTTTTTCAAATTTTTAACCTTTCTTGATCAATCATCTTGTATGAAGAGCAAAAAATATAGGTTTATTTTGTCAAGTGACCGCCTAGAGCAAGAATTGCGTGACAGGTTTAGTTAAGAGAAACTTATCGCAGTCGCAGATTTTAAAAGGCATCCACGACAAAAATACCGTAGTGCCCAAAGATTTTTTTTGATGATTTTCAGAGATGAAATAGTGGGTTATAAAGGGTAATTATGATTAGTGTTGTAGCTTTCTGGCAACGGGAGATATTTGACTTCAAAGTTGTCAAATATTTGGATGAATCGAAAAGTCTAAAAACACAGTTGTATATTTGCCTCTGTTGATTGACCAGCCGTCAATCAAATTGACTGATACTTTCGGCGGACATTAACTAAGGATGGAAAAATATGTGTGCAAACCCTCAGAGTAATTGGTGAAATATCATCGCAGTGAGAGCTTCATACATTTTACCTATTTTGAAGCGATTTCAATGATGTTGAAAACCAAGAAAAACCGGGGGGTAGTCTATCTCCCCCCGGAAAAAACCAAAACAGAAACCAGTTTGTCTTTTTGAGTTTTGGGGTAGACCCTTTAAACTGGCAAAGTTTCATTGAAATCGGTGAGATGGCATGTAGCACGACTGCCCGGTGCTTTCGTGGACACGCTCCAAATAAATTATACTGAGGTCAGTTTAACAGCTTATGGTGATAGGTACGTATCAAACTGTCGTGTATAAATAATAATATTGCACTAGTTTGGCAACACGCTGGAAGGCTCTTATTTTACGCAAATTACTGTGCGTTTAATTAATGTTCTTAAAGCAATGGGAAGAAATAACCTTAAGTACCGGACATAAAATAATCTTTGAAATATATGTTTTCTTAAACTATAGTTATCTTGGGAAAAATATCGCCGGATCAAAATAAAGCCCCTATTTAAATTTTTCGTCCTGTTCACACAATCACTTAGAAGAAGTCATATGCATGGTTCAAAAAATTTTGTTCTTTAGCAAGACAAATAACGAATCCGTTATAAAATCAACCTATCGCACCTATCAAAACAGCGAACTAAAAGAGGGTACGTTACGGTATATTGAAGGACTTAGCTGAGACATTTTCGTCAACGAGAATAATTTTTCGTAACTTCAGCTTAAAATTATGCAAAATGATCATTTCCACAAACTATTCTAGCTTCATTGAAACAAAGTAAAACGGTCGTTTTTTTGTTTAATGTTTCTAAGGTTTACCTGAATAAAACTGCGTCCGTCAATCGCCTGCAGTTTTCCTTGTCTTAAGCTGTTTTTTTTTATATTGCGTAACGAAACTAGTTTAATTAATCAATCCGTTCAAGGAAATCAGTTAAGTTTGTCTTTTCACTCAACCATATCTGCACGATTGTTTGGTACTTGGCGTCTGGAAAAGATCAGGTAACGACGAAAATCAAATTAGAACAACAGCAGCAAAGACAACATAATGGTAGCGATTCCAATCCCATGATTCCAAACCGAGCTAAAATTAATTTATTGCGAACATCATCTCCTGACTTCCTCATTAATTTCCTCAAAAGGACACAAAGCACTTAGAAGTTCAAACAATCCGCGGCACATTTGAATAATCAAACATATAGGTTTATGGAAATAAATGTATGAGCTTAAGGATTGTTTTTAATAAGCAAGGGAACAAGATTTCTTTTGCCAGAAAAGCCTTTCGCTGAAAGTGGGGATGGAATGGTGTCAATCATATTCAAACGTCTTGCATTTTTGATGGGGCAGTACTCATGCATTCCGGAACGCAGCTTGCAAGAAGTGGCTCCATCCGGGCACTGGTTATTTAAACAGGACAAACAAGGCCACATAAGGTGCTGATCTCAGGACGTTTCTTCAACATTGTTTTAATCTGTTGAAAAGGTTTACCGTTACCCATCACGACCCTAGATCCATTACCAGCCTTACCATCACGTCCACTCTTACCTGTATTATAAACCAGTTGAGTGGCCTTCAATTGAGTGGCGAAATTCATATCTAGGTACTATTCCTGGTCGAACGTATTCACCTCGATCACATGTCTAGCCCCTACGACAACAGGTCCGTCTATCAGTGCAACATACAGCGTGAGGTTCTAGACAACAAGTATAACCACCTTGGCTTCCCCATCTTTGCAACAGGTTTGCTTATCTTTGTAGTTACCACTGACGGGACATAAGATCTACAACATACATTTAAAAATAATTTCGCCTGAAACGAATCCTGACTACGTCTTACTTATGAATAATCAATATGACATTTGATAAATTCCAGGATTTTGAAATATGATGCCTGTCAACAATTCATTACTACACAGGGTACATCTTTCATGATATCTCCTCAAAGCCATTTTGATCTCATTTTAAATGTAAAGGAAAAGTTTTATCGTTTTCGGGAGCTGAAAGTTTTCAAATTTTCACTCTGATTTTAAACCAATCGACAAATTTCAATAGCAGCTGTCATTTTCCCACCCATGAATTTAATGTTTCTTTACCTGATTGAAATAATTCACCAACCCTTTTAAAAGTAAAAAGTATTACTTCACATCTATATGAGTTTGTTACCCTTTCAAACCACCTTCAAAACTCTTATGTACTTCAGACTTGCTTTTAAGAAATATCTCATGTTGCTCACTCGCAAACCAACCAAGTGAAATAAATGTAATAAAAAAAGTTTATCTTTTTTAAGCGACTAAGCGTCTGTTCTGTATTTTTAACAGAGAGGATACATGCCATCTCTATGTTATGCATTCATGTTAAATGTGTAATTTAGCGGACAAAATCAGAGTATTCGAAGAATATTATTTGATAATTCAAATAAGTAAATACATGGTTACGCTGTCTCTGGATTCCTCTTCAAGAATGTGACCAATGGGTGTCTGCAACTTTATTTAAACAAACAGGTGGCTTTGAATGGTTATTAAAAAATTTCGCACGGAATTATGCCTTATAGTTATTGGCTCCCGATGCAGAACGTGGAAAGTCTTTGAAAAAGGCTTGTCAACACATACAGTCAGCTTCTGAAGGTTTAAATTGAGTGTTTCCTATAACAAACACGGTTAGCAAGGGTATTCCTAGAAAGATAAATATATCTTGCAGCAGATGGCAATGAATTGTTAATCGCATTTAATAAGAAAAAGGATCACTTTATTCACAATTCAAGATTATTTACAAAATACAATTGATAAAATTAATATACGAAATTTCATAAAAATTCAAAATCATGTATAATACAAAAGAATTTAGCTTGAAATTAAACTAAAAAAAAAAAAAAAACTTAAGATGCCCGCAGTGGCGACTTTTATTTTGCAGTCTAAGAAGTGTTGTATCTCGCTCTGAAAAGGTGTTCGTGAACCTCTAACGCATGCGTGTACCGATCTTAGAAGTTCGAAAGAGATTTGTGTCCTGAACTATGCGATAACGGTGTTATACGGCTCGGTGTCCTTCTGAGCTATCTTATTTGCAGGATGCTTCAGGACACGCTGACACTCATTTCCCATTCCGCCATTGGTTCCAAACACTAAAGGTGTGAATGAACCCATCTCTACATCTAGTACCCGCTGCTGGTACTTGCGTTTCTTTCGTCCTCTTTCTCCTTGAATACTTCAGATGTTGTCTTGTTCTGATAACACTTGGAGTTAACGTGCGTAACTCTTACATCAAAAAATTTCGTAACTCCTCCTGACCAGAAACCTCCCGCTTTGATGTCTAATCTTGCCTCAGAGCTTATGACGGCACTTCTCAAATATAGCCGTTCGTTGTCGAGGGGTTGAGGGCGTGGTTCAATTTCCACGTTGTTGCAGAACTTATTGGTGAATGCCGTTGATAAATTACGGACACCATCATGTCTCTGCGCTACAAAGCCCCCCCTTTTTACATAAGAGGGCATGGCCTACAGTAAATTTATCCCCACACACACATAGACTTGGTAGATCGACTACAGGCAAATTATACCGTAAGCGTAGCGAGTCTCTGAACTCCTGCTTGTTAAGCGCTAAGCCCTGATCTGCGAGAGGCATCGCATTTAACCAAGAATTTGCGCCCTTCAGTGTCTCTCGATTGATTAACTAGTCACAGCAGATCTAGGGAAAGAGTTGTGTCAATGCTCTCCATTCTCTCTTTGTGATGCACCCTCTTTAGTGACTGATGATGTCTCTTAAGCTCCTCCGTAGAGCTTTCGCCTGGTGTCATAAATGTACTCTGCGATGTGAAAGAATCTATGTGCGCAGTAGTTATTGACTTCGAGGCAGCAAACTGTTGTGGCACCTCAGCTCTCAAATCTGGCATGCCCAGACCCCCTTGAGCCGTTGTTAAGGTGACAAGTAGACGCACTTCGTTAGGGAGAGGTTCTGATTGACCGAACAAAGTTGGAAGAAGTAGGTCGTCAATCGCCTGCTGGATTGGATCGACATGACTTCATTTAATTGGTTGAAAGAGTGTTTTCAATCAGAGTACAAAACACGGAGATTAGAGAGAGCAATTTAGTGCCCGACATTAGATCAGTTTCAAATGAAGACAATTTTATATTTATCTTTCATTCAAAAGGCTAGGCGGGCTGAGAGATCTCTGAACGTTATTGACTAAGACAAAGTGTAATTCGGCCAACTTTGAATTGTGAGCAAAATTTGCAGTCTCCGTTGCAACTGAACAATAGAGCCTTGGATAGATGGAACAGAGTAATTTCATATAGAATATCGGCATTTCGTTGCCAAGCAGAAGGATAATGAAAAGGTCGTAAAATAATTAATCAGGGGATTTCGTTCAATGTAAGACTTAATTCTCCGAGGTGAAATTATGAGAAGAGAATGAAAAACTGTAAAAAAAATTGGTATTGCGATTAAGAACGGAAGGTTTGACGCCCAAGCATCGCACAATGTTATGTTGCTTCGAGTCTCAGTCAAAAATGACTACATTTAACAAGGCCATAAAAGTAGTCAAAGACTTCGAAAGAATCTTACCCACCTCTTGACTCGTTAGCTCACCAGGACTTGGCGGAATCTGAGGTAAGGGCCAATAGCTCTCGAAAAGCATTTTTATATTAGATATATAATGATGGGGTTGCATAAAGGTTTCTTTAATTTATTCATTATTCGTCACTTTATAAGATGATTTCTGCGGAATTGTCACTTCTCTTCACAAGCACTTACGCTGGGTCGGATTCGGCCGAGAGAAACATGGAGCTTGGTTAGTTTTTGCGGTGAAGAATTTGCCAACATCAAGTGGAGTCGGTAGCTATATATTAAGCTCTCAGTTATTCGTTTACTCGGTTGCATGTAGTGCTGTATTTTAATAATGTGCCTGTGCTGTTCAATCGAAGAAAGAACCACTTTTTTCCCATCACCAACTTTATTTCTCAGTCTTACAACTCTTTGTGTTTTTCTGATCTATTAACGCCTCTGAAGAGTGAAAACTTTGTCGTATTAAGAGCGCCCCGCTTAACATGCTTTTATTCCAAAGTGTACGTTTTACAGCCTATGAAAGACAAGCACACCTACTTATGTAGAATTAAGCTAATTACATTTTGTTATGCGACTTCCCCTTAAGAAGCAGGTTAAGGATGAAGATTTTCTAAAATGTCACTGAACGAAAATGTATCCCATGGCCTTTATTTGCTTATCTCCATTATCCCCTCTCCATGCAGCCACATTACCACAAACGTTAGAGGAATCAGCAGAACCAAAACCAATTCTAGAATCACTAGAGTTGCAATGGTTTTCGTTATTTCCAAGGATACCAATTCTGACCCTGCGGCGATTTGGGCGTGGATGTACATTAAACCCTTCCAGGTTACAATGCTCCTGCAGCGAGGACTGGGATCCCAAGAGAGTCTTCCATTGGTGACGACCCAATGTGGTGGCACGATATTTTCCGTCGGCGATCAGTGAGTACAGGGAGTTTGCATGCTTGTTGATCATAATGAAGCGCACCTGGTGGCCGAGCTTCATACCGAGACAGACCTTGGAGAAGTGTGTGCTCCAGTAGGTTGGCAGTTTAGTCTCCTGTTTGTCCAGTCCAGTCTTCCCACCAGGAAGGTTAAAGTCGACTTTATTGTTCCACAATTGGGAATTGTAACGAAATGTAAGCTGATAAATAGAAAGAAAAATATCAAATTTCCTGGCACATAACATTGGCTCATTCTTCTCTATTTTGGCGATGATATTTTGTGATGTTGTCGCATTCTACCCAGGGAAATCCGAATAAATATCTTCAGAAGCGCTTCTTTTTTTTCGAAGCTGTACATGTTCAATGAGAGCTAGGGCGCGAAAAAGTGACCGTCGTTAATAGAACGTAGCAGAGTGAGATATTTAGACCAGCATGCACGAGTGATACATCGTGGGTGCTTAACGTGTCTGACATCTCTCACCTCGACTATATTTTTTTACATTCTTGCGGAACCATATCAAACTCATGGGGTACAAATAGTCTTAACATGAATATAGCGACCACGCCCAGTTCAACACCCCACTCAAATCGAGTGTAATTTTCGAATATTTTACCATCGTGCGAATTCTCTACGGAAAAAGCACTCAATGTACCTCTGAAATTTTAAACTATAATATTTTGGCTTTCTATTTCGCTAATTTTCTAACTTGAAGGTAAAGTTTTTCCCCCGTCATTTTTACCTTTTCTCCGAGCGGTTGCGTGAAATTAACAAGGCGTTTTTGATCAAAACACAACCAAGCGAAGGGTCTCAAACGATATCTCTTTTACGCAGGCGCAAATTAAAAATGTACCGCCAGAATCAAAAAGAGTAACAAATTTCCTTTGTTTTGATATGTAAAGTGTCGAACAAAAAGCAGATTTACCCCCGTCATTTTTACCTTTTCTCCGAGCGGTTGCGTGAAATTAACAAGGCGTTTTTGATCAAAACACAACCAAGCGAAGGGTCTCAAACGATACCTCTTTTACGCAGGCGCAAATTAAAAATGTACCGCCAGAATCAAAAAGAGTAACAAATTTCCTTTGTTTTGATATGTAAAGTGTCGAACAAAAAGCAGATTTACCCCCGTCATTTTTACCTTTTCTCCGAGCGGTTGCGTGAAATTAACAAGGCGTTTTTGATCAAAACACAACCAAGCGAAGGGTCTCAAACGATACCTCTTTTACGCAGGCGCAAATTAAAAATGTACCGCCAGAATCAAAAAGAGTAACAAATTTCCTTTGCTTTGCAGAGATTCCAACCCCATGTGATGGAAAATAGGGAGTAATTATTAGTGCCAAAGGCGCGAGCTTTTAGGGGGGTCAGGGGGCATGCCCCCGGGAAATTTTGCAAATTTAGGTTCTCTCAAGTGCCATTTCCTGAATTTTGACATCATTCCGGCCTGAGTTATAACATACCTTAATGCTCTTCGCGAAGAAAGTAAGTATAATATGAGTGTTTCACAGTGACAGATCGCCAAAAATTCTAAAGATTAGCAATTTTCCCCTAGTTTTCATAATTTTATGATAAATCGGGAGAATTTGGTAAAAATCGGGAGAGCGGGAGGCAAGACATCAAATCGGGAGGGTTGGAATCTCTGGCTTTGGTATGTAAAGTGTCGAACAAAAAGCAGATTTACCCTCGTCAAATGGCGTTTCAAAACAGCTGTATCTTCCTCTTTTTTTGATTTTTTCCTGTTTTGTAAGCGTGAAAGCAGTAGGAGAGGGATCTGGAAAATCAGAGAGCGCTTCGGGAATTAATCTGCCATCGTTTACTTACGAGATAAACAAGTAAGATTTGTGAAGTTTGTCGCAGTATGAAGTCTACATAAATGCCTTTTCTAAGCTTGTTGGCTGTATTTTTCGTAAACTTCCCCGATTAATTTTTCGTTTCAGCTTACTAATCTATACTATGTCAAAGCAATGTAAAGACGAAGACGGAGAAAACCATGAGTCGGTCCTTTCAACGATCGTAAACAAAGTGTTTGAGCAATCAGGTATACGAGGTGTAATAATCAATAGCCGCATTTCAGAAGTCTTCAGAAAGAAAATATTCAGCCTTCAGAAAGCTGTCAAGAAAGCTAGTAATCGTGGCGGAAGGTAATTAAATGCACTTCTTAGCAATTTGGAAGCGGGCCCTCGGTATCGATTTAAGGTGTATTACAACGAGGTTGATGTGCATCAGCTTAAAGATGAGAACAGCCAGTTAAGGGGAGAAAAAAGAAAATTAGAAGAATCGTTGGTACAGGAGAAGGCAAAGCGATTGCGAGTGGATGAAAAAGCCCGAGAAGCTCTCGAGAAAGCTGAGAAGAAAGGGGCCTTCTACAAGAAAAAATTTATTCAATTGGCCAAAAAAGTGATTAAAAATGGGAAAAAAGGTAGAGGCCCTGCTAAGAAGAAGTTTAATGACTATTCTAAGCACCATCAAAAGAGAATTAAAAACCAACTGAAGGACGAGTGCCAAACTACACTCTCTTTCCTTAGGCTGTACAATTTTGTTGCAACCAAAATTGAAGTCCTCAACACTGAGACTAATCAATATGAAACTTTCAATCTTGTTGGAGAGGGAGAGCTACCATTTACAGAGTCTGACCCAAAGGCCCTTGATAATTATGACATTGATAACATAAATATGTGGCTCTACCTCAAAGATAAATTCAATATTTCAAATTAGGCCTGGCATGAAATTGCCATTAAGGCTAATGGTCTCCCCAATACATATTCCATCAAGAAGCGAATTAATGAGCTAAACAGTAAATGGAACTTGAAACCAACACCAGGAGATGCTGAAGGAGTTCAGCTAGGATTTGCAGAAAGTTTGCAAGAGCACATTGTTAGGCTTCAGAAGAATGGAGAAATCAATGATGGAGAAGCTATTAAGATCAAGCTTAGCGGTGATGGTACAAATATTGGAAAGCGGCTTACAGTTGTCAACTTCACATTTACTATTCTCAATGAAAAGGATGTGGCAATGGCTGAGAAGGGAAATTATGTACTTGCTGTTATAAAAACTACAGAGACATATCATAATCTGAGAGACAGCCTAGCAGACCTTCAAATGGAAATGTCAAACTTAAAGGAGATAAGTGCAAATAATTGCACCTATAAAATTGAATACTTTTAGGTGGAGATTTGAAATTTTTAGCACTGGTATGTGGTTTGGGCAGGGCAAATGAGGATTATGCTTGTGTGTGGTGCAAGTGTCCCAGGGAGCAATGGTGGGACACAAGCAAAACATGGTCAATTAATGACCCCAAATTTGGTGCTAGAACTGTCACCGAAATAGCAAGGTTTTCCACTGGAAGGAAATTAAACTGTAAGGCACAACCATTATTTGATTTTATACCTATGGACCTTGTCATCATAGATATATTACATTTTTTTTCTGAGGATTTCAGATGTTTTGATTAACTTGTTTACAAGAAAAAAAACCTCTGATAGATTCCCAAGAGATAAATATAAACACATGGCATGTTATGAAGAATTTATCAAAAGTATGGGAATCACTTTTAATTTTAGAATCAACAAAGAGAGCAAAAAGCTGGAATATAGAGATCTTACTGAACCAGAAAAGTTGAAACTCTTTCAGAATATAAAAAGTCTGACCTATGCTTGTCAAAACAAAGACATACAAGTGATCTGAGCTAAATTTATGGACATAATTGGTGATTTGAGGCTAGATTTTACATATGAAGAGGGTATTCTTGAACTGCAAAGAAATAGCAAATTATGGTTTGAGCACTTTCTCAAAGTTTAACAAGCAAAAGATGTCACTCTCTACATGCATGCACTATGTTATCATGTTCCTGAGTTCCTGTCACTTTATCAGAACATAGCATATTACACACAGCAAGGCTTGGAAAAATACAATAATAGAGCTTCTAAAGATTTCTTCAGATCCACAATTCACAAAGGGGTTGATGCCCTCAAAGAACTGTTTCTGAAGAAAAACAGGATTCAGTTCCTGGAGGCAGCAGGTTATGAAAGGGTTTAAGAACACCTACAACGATGAGCTTGTATTCAATGATTGGACTTCTTTGTCCCAGCCAATACTTAATAGTTCCTGGAATTACATAGGCAAAATCTTCAGCTACATTTAAAATTCTTTCATCCCACTTCAGCCCCAGATATGAATCAAGCACCCTATTTGACTCCGATTGGTAAACCATCTTCCCTCGTTGAAGAACGCCGGGCAAAACACTCCCAACACCTTCCATGAAAACATCTTGGTCAACATTAAGGTCTATGTTTATATCAGGGTCCTCTCGCCGTCCAGACCAAAGCTTTTTCTTTATTTCACGAGCAAGTTGGCCATGGAACGATTCTTTTCTATCCTCTAGAAAGTTTTCCGAGGGAATGAACAGCTTTTCGCTGCGAACAAACGGAAAATATCCAGATCCTCTATCGGCCCTGAAGGGTGTCCATTCATCGAAGCATGTGCTATAGCCAACGTCATGAATTTTCAACCTCTCTTGTTGATTTTGTCAACCTCCCTTATCTCAATATCATACAGTTTTGTATCTTTCTATTGTGGATTCGCCTTTCTAACGGGGGTTTATGTCAAGTATTTGTTGCAAAATCGCTTTGCTTTTTTTATTTCCCTCTTTAGCCTGTCCGCCATTTTGAAAATTCGCAACAGAGATCATGTTTGTGCATCACGAAGGCTTAGTGGTCGCGTACACCTGGAACCGAGAAAAACAAATGTTCGTCGCGCTGGGGAAAGAGTTTGATATGTCTACACGTAGGCCAGATATTTTAGTTTACACGTCGACGTCACTCTAACGCAAGAATGATTGTTGTGCATCTTGGAGTCCAGTCTTACGCAAAATTGTCTCGAGACCTACTGAATTATAGACGGCTTCTTTATTTTGAAATAACCCTTTCTTAAAACGCTAACTTGAGAAATTTTGTGAACGAATTGCCCAGGTACACTTTCGAACTCTTCACACCTTATCGCCATCTATTTTCATGACCTGCGTCCAACCGCCACCTCCACACGCACCCAGGCTTGCCATGTGACAGTACACGGGCACCTTTTTCTGGGGGCTTACCAGTAAGAGGTAAGGTTTGTTTCCTTCGGACCTTACAAAGAGGAACACCATATGTATTCAGTCAGTAGTTACTTGGACTACCTGTGTAAAAGCCCAAGTTTAAATTCGGTCGCAGTCTACTTCTAATTCCTTAACTCGAGCACTTCCAGTTCCGACAATCTAAATTTTTTTTTCCCCGTCAAAACTTGCTTCTCATAGTCGTAGTGGCTTAATACATATAATATTTACGCTGTAACGCGACGATCTTTGTCTAAAAATTTTCCTCCTACTTCAAATAAAAACGAACCTCTTAATCTCCTTCCTCGAAACGGGATGTCTTGTTTGTAACTGCTGGTTTACATTTTTTTTAATTGAGTACAATGCAAGTTGCGTGGCAGTCAAGTCCACGAATTTTGAAACGCACGCGATTATTTTCGTCCACTAAAGTGTTTCAGTTTATTCTGATGGATCCAGTCGCAAATTAATCAGCCAGTAATCTTATTTTAAAAACTGTATATTCTCTTGACTGCTTCTTTTTCACATCAGATCGTAAAACAAACTAAACGATTTACATTCAGTGTTGGGTTTGCGTCAAAACCCTAATTGGTTCCAGTTCAGGGATGCTTCATAAACACTAAGAAGAAATTTTAAGATGAAAATTCGCGTGTTAAAGGTGCGTGATTGAAAGAACAAAGGTAAATCCCGGGGTGTTTTGCTCTCACTTCGCGAGGTTGTTCTGAAAGATTACACAAAGTTACGGAATCACCGCAAGAGCATTGTTCAAGTTTTAGTCGTCTTTCTTGATAGCCTGTTCTTCACCAATATAGTAAAGACGGTAAAGCCTTGAAAATACTGTCGATGCCAGTGTTACACAGGTTTCAGCTTTTTTAAAGTGTCTTTGTAAGGTCACTAAATTATGTTCGGGGACGAACTTAAAGGTGAAAATAAAAGAAATTCATAGAACTCACTTGTGGTTGTCATAGATGTCTTTACATGAAGCTAGAGGAAGAAAACAGAAGAGATAAAGAAACAATTCAGTTCAAGTGGAATAATTGGTGACAAGGAATTAATCGGATAGATTACCTTCAGCTGTTTTGCTAACTGCACCTTCAGCTGTTTTGTTAACTGCGGCTATAAGCTGTTCGAATTTTTTCTCCAACGTTTCCACTAGAGTCCTTTCAAGTGATTTGATGGCTTCGTCAGGGGGCGAGTTTACCACATTGCAGACTATTGCCTTGTCGTTTAATTTGAATGGAGTCGGCTTTGATATGGTTGAAGCGTTGTCAGCACGGACAGTTATGGTGAAAATCGAGAGAATGAAAGAGAGAAGGAAGGAACAAGCAACAGAGGCGTGCATTTTCACTGCGTTTGCCCTTCGCAATTCTCAGAGTATCTTTTGCTAAGCGCTCCGGAGATTAATTGCTGTTATTACCAACTGACGTGGCCAGGAGTCGAGCAACACGAATTTTCGTCCTGACTGCTAATATCTATAAATAATCAAATTAGGCCACGTTTTTTATTTGACTCTTTTTGTTTCATTCACAATTGATTGATATGATCAATATGCAAAACTAGCCAGCTGTTGATTTGAAATGAAAAAAATGAAAACAGCTCTGTTTGTATACTGGTCTATACTCAATTTCAGCCTTCGGCCAAAACGAATCGAACATAAACAAAGGCTGTTTGTTTCTTTGGAACGACTTAAGTAAACTTTGTAACACTTTCTGTAGACATCGCCGTGTGAAAGGACGAAGTAATTGATGCGGATCATATTTTTATCACGAGTAAACAACGTAACAGAGCCGCGTCTCCAAGACTATTTTTTTGAACACTGATATGATGAGAAATGGAATAAAAACGGCTCTGTTTGCATACTCAATTTCAGCCTTCAGCCAAAACGAATCTAGCTTAGAAAAAGACTGTCTGCTTCTTGGAACGACCTTGGAAAGTTTTTGTTAGAATTACCACAAAATATGTCATAAAATTTACCGATAAACTTCTCTCCTTTGCGTTAAGTCTATTGTGAAATGGACCCGACATAATTAGCCATAAATTACCGGGAGATAACTAATTCCAGTCTTTTCATTTGTATTTTTGTGTATACAGCCTGTTTTCGTACATGTTAAGATATTAAATAAAAAAAAATTGCGAAGTCTGAAAATTTACCTCCTCAAAGGAGTGAAGTCGTTGTCAGCGGAGATGGAAATTGCTTTTACCTAGCTGTCGCTCCTTGGAAGGATGAAATAAGCGATGAAGAACATGAGGAAATCTCTTGGTCAGGCGATAGTTTTTTTGAGAAAAATCGAAAGGTTTTTGAGGTGCCACTCTTCTCCTCGAACTCCTTGGCGGATCTTGTGAGGAAAAGGCATATATCGGGAACTCTGGCAGAAACTGTGGACATGTATACAGGTGTGCTTCGCTCCTTCGGTTACTCATTTATACCTACTTATTGTCGCAGAAGAAAGGGTTCTATTGTGAGCTGATTAACAACTCTGGTTCGTTCTTATTGATCACAACAAAGAAGCAAGTTCAAGCTACGTAACTGTCAATGAAATCATTTCATGATAATATTTAATGCTCAATCACACTATCTCGATCCTCTGCTGCCTCGAGGTGGCTGTTGTAGCACTCTTTTTATATAACCTAGCCAAGAAAAAAGCTCTAAGAAGACTTAGACACGTTAAATAAACTTACAAGGCTTTATTGAGTTATTTGTTGGAAATTTATGGCTCATATTTCTAAATTTGGAGACCAAACGATGTCAATTTCATAATAAACCTTACGTATGGAGAAAATGTAATCGTTGATTTTACTACTTATCTCATGATTGTTCAAACAAACACTTACACTGCCTTTCTATCAACAATATCCAAATTCATTTCTGATTAAAAAAAAAAAAGCAGCGAAAAAGCGATAATCTCTCTCCAAAATCGTTATTTTCAAGATGTTTCTCACTTCTACGGCAGTAGATAAATGCAAAATGGATTCGGAAGCAAGGAAAGACAGCAGGTTAAAACGGCATAGGGTAATATATAGACTGGACTATTTTTTGGACCATACAAAATTATTTTACTCGGTTTTTCGACTGACGTTTTGTATGTCAAAATTTTAGCGCTGGGCCGTGGCGTTTCTTCATTTTTTTGTCATGCGAAAGCGAAACTTCCATGTAAACAATGGACTTTAATTTTTATTGAAAATTTCGCGTTTACGATCCTCCACTGTTGAGTTATGCGTGCGCCTTTTAAGTCAACTTGTGCACCGTCAGTTGCTTCACGTTTCCCTTTGTGTATACAGTATGTAAGTACTAAATTTATCTATCTTCCTTCTGTCATTGATCTTATCGAATGAGATCACGGAATTTCTGGTCCTTAGCCCTTAACTTAGCTGCATATAGAATTCATAAGCGCTTTCGCAATTTTAAAGTTTACACCTTGACTATATAAAATCAGCAGCGAAAAATTTCGAAGAGGGATTCATGTTCTCGAATTTACCAAAACACTGCTGTACTTGCAAAATGGGAAAGCGCAAATATCGATTTCATTTATTTCGCAAACAAAGGAGTTAATCACCGACACCGGAAATCGCGACCAAGTAGGTTTATTTTCCAATTTGCTCGGGCCGCTGCCGATCACTTCCCTCGTAAAAACTTACGAAACCTGCGAAGTGGAACTATGGTGGCTACTGTTGCCTGCCGATATTTCCGTCGGTAAAACGTAGAAGTCCAGTGTTTACGTGGCAGTTTCGCTTTCAGCCCTAATATTTTGACATGCAAATGTTAGTCGAAAAACCAAGTGAAATAGTTTGTACGATCGAGTAAAAGCTCCATTAACCAGCAGTGTTTACTATTACAACCATCTCCTACCCCTCCCTGCGTAGTAATAGTCCGTCTCTCACCCCTCCCTGAGTAATAACACTCTGCCTCCCACCCCTCCTTTGGTACAGATAGACTGCATTTCACCCCTCCCTGAGAACTAATGGTGTGCTTCCCCCTTATAAAATGGTCCAAAAAATGGTCCAAAAAATAGTCCAGTCCATATTTTATCCTATGCCATCTGTTAACCAGAGTAGCATCAAACCATGTCTGATTGTTCACCTGGTTGCCGTGTGAACGTTAAGAGTTAACATCACTAATTAGAATAAGATCTACAGAAAACTTTCCACCCACTCTCCCCCCACAATACAAATTTTTTATCATAATATGAACCTTTCTAACCACCCCCAAGTAATATGTTATATATGTTATAATAAGTAATAATCTTTCACTAAAATTATCAAATTTAGGCCTCAACTAAACAGTACATTAAAATAATGATAATCAGGAAAAAAAAAAGTAAAAACTAAAGAGCTAGGCTTATTTACCCGGATTATTTGCGATCAGATTCTTTTTTAAGAGGAACAATTTAAAATTCATACAAACACTCAATTTATCCCCAGTTTACACAAAAAGGAAACAAAAGTGATTGAACACCAAGATATGAGTCTGTCAACGAAGATTCGTGTTTGTAATCTTTTATCTTTCCCATAATTTTAATATACAACAAACATCAAGATCGAAAACATAAATAGAAAAATATGAGCGGAACTTGTATTACACGGCACCGTATTAAGCGGTCAATTTTCAAAGTCCCGAGATTTTTCTCCTTCATTTCTTTAATTTTCATTTCTATTACGCGGTCATGGACTCGTGGTCACCCTTTACTGAATCCCGACGGCCTGTCTGTATCGAATTTATCCTTAGGCGCAACTAGTCACAAATTGAAATACTAAGAATAATCTTTCAAGTAAAAATTTAGTCCAAGTTTACCTCCCAGAATCAGGATTTTTGTTTGCTAAGTTGCCAATTGTGGCCATTCACCGTTTTTCTTTTGTAATAACTCTTTTTTTGTGGAATCTATATTAGGCGCCAACCTTTATAAGTCGTCACTCCGCCATTTTCCGTGGGTGACCACGGAATACAGGTTCGACTGTATCAGTGGAGACTCTGGCAACTCCACGTGGCTTTTCCACATCACAACCATTGACGTCAATAGCCTACAGGCTGAAACACATAACAGACTCCGTGCATAATCAACAGTTTTGAACGCCACTGGTCCAATTTCCATTGCGATAATTATAATGGCATGGACTATTTTCAAATTATGACAGATACACTGACGGCTATACTTTTGTTTACTGTCAAGTCAAGATGGTCATTTGACAAATTCACTACGTTTTAAAAAGCTGTGACGCAGCAACAGAGCTGCGATATCATGGATGAAATGAGATTTTTTTTTCATCATTATTATGATTATTGCTATTCTTTCTCGTGGTATTCCAATATGGTCCAATATACAGCATAAATATATCATCTATCAGGAAAATGTTAATTATTATGAATGACGCTAGCTATTAACGTTCACTTTCTATATGCTATTAGCATAAAATTATGACGAGTATTAATATTTCAAGACGGTATGAAATATCTCCCGTCCATTAGTAAAACATTAACAAGACAACCACGTATAATATTTCAGCAAAGAAGAGCAAGGTAAGGTATTCCTTGAGAGTAATTTGAAGCAAAAGGAATGTTCTTTTTCCGATGTCTTTCAAGAATTGGCACCGGTGTAAAAAGCGAGGTTATATCGGAAATCTTTATCGACGAGCTTGAAGGAGCTGTTTAGTTTGCATCGCATTATTTCATGAAAAAAAATTTTCTGTGTAATTTTGGAGTGAGGCCCTGCAGTATTTGTTTTGTTCCTTCGAGACCTATTGAATGATGAACTTTTTCTAAGATTATCTGCTCCTTGGAAACTCAGACGATGTTTTAATATTTATTATAATTTATAACAGTTCAATTGTCAAAGCAAGATGTTTTTTCGTCTTGTCACGAGCGTGGGACAAATAAAAATTCTGAGTTCCCACGAGGAATCGAACCTCAGACTTTTGGATTCCGCTCTCCGATGCTCTACCACTGAGCCACAGAGACTTCACGGTAACCGAGGTCTATGACGAAGTTCATATGACACGCGTCTTGGATACTGCTAGGATCAGCTATGTCGGTAGCGTAATTTTTGTAGATAGAAGAGAAAGATGGTAAGTTTTGAGCTCGGTAAAGAATCAAAGAAAGATGTTTTTCCGTCTGGTCGCGAGCATGGGACAAAGAAAAAAATTCCTCCCCTGATGTTTATGAAAACTTCTTGGAATCACGCTTCTACGATGCTTTCATAATTTTTGTATGTAAGAAATAATACCCATAGGAGCTCCGGCGAAAAAGAAAAACCGCCATAAAATTATGCAAAGTCAAAAGGCTAAATGCAAATCTTAATCATCTTTAAAATGAAACATATGGTAACCATTATAGAATGACGCACGAGGTGTCAGCTGGCAGAGTAACTTACGCACGTTTCTGATGAATTATTCCCGCAAGGTTCAATGAGTACAACAGGAAAGTAACCTGTGGACCAGACACAACTTATTATAGGGGAGGAAGGTGTAAGAATTTGTTGGGTGGATCACATGGTTTTTAAGGAGGGAACGAAAAGGGAATCAGTTGTCGCCAGTTGAGTACAAAGAAATATATACAAATTGACTGCAACAGAGGGAGAATATTTCAAGCCCCATAGAGGAAGATCAGGTAATTTTTAAAATCCTCCAAGATCCCCCCTAGCCCCCTCTCTTACCCCCTCCCACCCCAGGGAGATGAATAATGATGACCGATACCTTATCACTAGCGTCAGAGCATTCTGTGTCTTTACTCTAATCATATTTAAACCTGCAACATTACGTTTGAATCGTCGTTCTTGCACCCGGAAAGATCTGTACAAGACTAAAACTTCTTACTAGAATGTTCTCAGATCAATAAGATCCAGTATTGTATTTGAGTTATGGGAGAAAAATCCCATAAAAGAGAGATTAAAGTGAGTCATTCTATGTTTTATGGTGACAGGCAGTTCCTCAAATTCAAGAATCTATCCCAAAAGGATCAAACAGAGGGCAAAACATGGAAGGAGCGTGTAAGTTTTAATACAGTGAGTTTTTAATACAAGCAAGGATTCTCTGAACATAGAGTTATTTTCTTTCCGGCAGACGAAAAAAAAAAAAAGAAAAAAAAAAAAAAAAAAAAGACTCGTAAAACAACAAAAACAAAAAACAAGATCAAAAATCAAAACGGAAACAACACGAAAAGAAAGCAAACAAAAAAAAATCAAAACAAGACAAGCGAACAAAGGAACAAAGCAAAACAAAACAAAAACCCAAACAAAAACAGCCAAAAAAAAAACAAACAAACAAACCAAACCACCTAATCTTGATTGCAGTTAAATAAGACACATTTCCCTCCTTGATGATTTTTTAGTTCAGACCTTCCTCGTAGATATAAAAAGTAATACTTTTGTCCGTCAGGACATTCCTATCGTAAACATGCCTTATGGATCTACTTTATTAGCTTTAGTAAACGATTGAAACAAAAGTTTTAAACATTTCTTGATCTCAATGCTATTTTTGATCTTGATGCAGCGGCACATGATTATACAGGTGGACACAGAAATACCATCTTTTTGTCTCACTTCATACGTCTCGTTACTTGTTTTTTGAACATATAGTTGTATCTTGCACGATGATTGTGGGTTTTGCGACATTACCTCTTCACATAGGAATGATCATTATTGGTAAGTTTGCCTGACGTAACAAGTTGCGCTCCCCTTCTCCAGCTTGTCAATAAGTATTAGACCTGTCGCTCTGTCGTTTAGGTCTTCAAAAGGGCCTTCGCACTTATTAACCTTATCACTTAGATTAGCAGCGGAGAGGTGTATCAAGTTTTTGATCGACGGTACACCAAAGTGTTACCTTTTCTCTCAAACATGATTTATGAAAAGGAAAGGGGCTGGAACGCTACACCCCACCTCCTGTTCCTACATTCCAGCCCGCCTCAGCCTCGAGGGCGTATAAAATGATATGGCTGACAGGATTCTTCCTATTCATCCAAATCATTTTATGTTTGCAGGTGTTAAATACAAAGACCAGTGCCCCGTCGAAATAATGATCCCGATCTATCTGATCGCGGCTGGAGCTGCTGGTATTTTGGGCAGCTTGTATTCCTTTGGAATGTCGTTCCGAAAACAACGTGATGAAGAAAGTGAAGAAGTAGGCCCATTGTGTTCTCTGAAACGGTTACATACCGTTATACAATTACTTCTCCTTGCCTGGTTCGCCTGTGGAAGCTTCTGGATTTATAAGAATTATCAGCCGAATTATACTGACCCTAATAGTCCCAAGTATTGTCATAAGACACTTTACCTGTTTGCATTTTGGTCCACTTTTTCCCATTATTTCATTTCTTTTATCGTCATGATCTGTGGTTGTTGCATGCTTTGTGTTTTTTACATATGCTATATTTACAAATATTCTCGAAAAGACTATGATATGCCTCGAATATTTTTGCCAAAGAGCTAATTCATGAGCGCTTAAGGCCAACCGCAAATGGGGATCTGAATGGAATCATTCTTGACCTATGTATTTGCAGTACGTTTAGGATAAAATATGACGTGATTTAACGCTAGTTGTGATTGCTGGTTGAAAGCTAACTTGAATGAGGCTGAAGGAGTTATCACCAGTAGTGCATGGATTTGCACCAGGGTAATCCCAAAAGAGAAGCCATAGGCTATTTTGAGTTGGTCAGTGGAGACCAGTAGAGGAAACTCACCAAATTTCAGTTCAGTTTCTTTCGTTTGCGCCCACCCTGTGTGACAGATTTGATTCTCAAGTAATGAAAGCTTTAATTAAATAGTTACTTTACTGAAAAATACATATCCATAATCCGCACAAAATTGAATGATTTTCGAGAATTGCTATCATGTGGAAAGAAAAAAAAAGGAATAAAACACTCTAATTGCATAAATCTTTAATTCTTTTGATACAATGTATTAACTTGAATCATGACTCTGGCAGCAGCATTCAAACTCAGAAGCCTCCGGAATTTTTCCTGCCTTCTGTCGTTTCCATCCTTTTCCTGAAAATATTTCTCATCAAAATATTTTATCCAGTTCCAATCGGAAATTGTTCAATTCTTGAACGCCGGTTTAAACCTATCGGTATATGGGAAGCATACCGCAACCTCGACCGTCATTAATTCAAGTCCTTCTTTACTTGTAATTTCGCCATGTTTATCACTTCTTGCAACATCATCGCTGGAAGTGTGCAGTATGAAACGTATAGTTACCTGCTTTATCTCTTCAGGTTGCAAGATTTTAGGTAAGAAGAATCACAGGCAGCCCAAGCTCCAGCTGTAAGATGATCATCGTGCACAATAACAATCATGGCGGAATTATAAGAGTTTGTATGAGAATATTTACGACTGCTCTAAGGAATAAAACAATACGTCAAATTAACAAATAGATTCCAATATCATCAGTGACACTGATGATATTGGCCCGGCGAGGCTCAGTTTAAAAAAGAGGCAGGGTTACCAAGCTAGTTTTCAGTACGCAACTGTTAGAGATCTATAAACTGGAAATTTTTGAAGCAAACTTCGGCTTAGGGTACTTGGGTACTTTTCGTCAAAGAGAGCGGTCAGATAGCAATTGATACGCTGTGGAAGTAAGGTGAGATATTTTTATTGACAATTTGACTTATTGACGTATCATCAAAGAAAGCGGTCAGATAACAAGTGATAAGCTGTAGAAGTAAGGTGAGGTATTTTTATTGAGAATTTGACGTATTGTTTTTATCCTTAAAGCAGTCGTAAATATTCTCATACAAATTCTTATAATTCCGCGACGACTGATATTTTGCAAGATGATCATCTCACAGCTGAAGCTTGGGCCGCCTGTGGAAGAATATAATCTTCTATCACTGGTTGACTACGTGAATGATTATCTTTCAGAGATGTACTCAACTGATTGCGCACAAACGCCAACTGTACATGTAATTAGCCAAATGAAGTCTTAAAATAAATAACTTCAAGATATATTGATGGAAAATAAACTCTTCATAACATAAATGTTTTTGATAAATGTCAATGTTGTACTGACATAGAAATGGCAACACTTGCTCGTGCAATTTGAAGATCAAACGGAGTAAGTACATAAGGAAACTGTGGTGCTGCGTTGGTGGGAGAATACATCACAATGTAATTTGGTATTATCAGTTGAATTGATGACGTAAACTGGCCGCCGTTAATAGTTTTAGCTGACGTTTCGAGTGTAAGCCCTTCAGCATAGTGTCAAACGAAGGGCTAACGATCGAGAATTCAGCTTTGAAACTGTTTACGGTGACCAATTTACGTCATCAATTCAATTGATACTGGCAAATTGCCTTGTGTTATATTCTCCCACCGACGCAGCACCACAGTTATTTTAGAAACATACCCCCATTAACCTTGTAATTACATGAGCAAGTGCTGCCATTTCTATGTCCGTGCTTTTTTGAATTTCAAGTTCTATTATCATACTTCCGCTATAAGTGCAAAAAACAATTGTACTGTATGAGAATGGAATATTATATATTGCTTTAAAATGAACTAAGGAAATTACAAGCAAACGACCTGACGTTTAGATGTATTGGACCATCAGTTACAAGAACAAGTGCTGCCATCATGACAAGCATGTCTGAATTACGATATACGTTTTATTTTATTTCATTTTTTCACTGAGACGTATCATAAGAGTGCACTGTGTAAACGGTACACGAAACTGTTTCAAGATAATAACGTTAGGGTAACGCTAATCTCTCGTAAAATCACTGCTCGTTCCGTTTATGTCATTGATATTGATATTGGACTCGGTCACAGGGACAATTCATTAATCCATCCATGCGTACCTGAAGCACAATTTCCGTATCCTTAATCCGCTTTTAGCGCCACAGCAAGAAGTCTTTAATTTCAAGAAACGTATTAGATTCCTCAACGGGAAAGAAGAGCCCTCTAAAATTTTCTCTAGGAGGCACGGATTCGAATCCTGAATTTTTTCAGGCTACTTTCCTGCAACTGCTAAAATTGCAGTCCACCCGCCAGAATCGTTGCCTTATTTGAGGACTTATTCAAAGCAGGAGCCGTAGTAATGGACTCCTATTCAAAGATTTCCTATGATACCTAGAAAAATAGAAATAATATCAAAAATAAATCAATTAATATGCCTTTGTGCATATTTTCAGGCTTGAAAGGGATTCAAAACACTTCCCACAACTGAGCCATCAAATCAATATAATATTAAAAACTTACGTAAACTTCATGCATAGTTTACATTTCTCCTACGTGTGATGAAGTGCAAGCGATTTCGTAGTGATGCATATGAAGTGTCATAACCTACAGCAAACCAGTTTTTCTCTCAATAACGCATTTCTTTTCTTATTTTTTTTTTTGGGGGGGGGGGGGTTAAAATGACCGATAGAGCTCCGATGAACTGTTCTCTGTTCTGCGAACGCATACAGTCTGGTTGTAAAATAGAGGTCGGAGATGAAGAAAGCCAACACTGATGAATGACAATTCTCAAATGGCGGAGTATTTCCCACATAAGAGCAATAAACATGTAGAAAATCAAAGTGAAAACTTTTATAAATCACAACACCGGTGGTAAAATTAAGCTAATAAAGTGCAACGCTTTCGATGTTAGAAATTCAACAATTTCTTCTCTTTGCTTCCATCCGTCTTTGAGGTCGCCAAATAACTGATTAATTGGTGTCAGTGCTGTCATGTGGATTAAGGATAAGTTCTTTTCTGAACATGCTGAAATAAATTTGGCATATTTGCTGTGTTTTCATGAGTAGGTAATCAAATATATTATTCAAGTAATCATTTAAGGATTCACGCAGTTTTTGAGTGTTTTCGTAAGATGTCGGTTCTACTCGCTTTTGTTATTAATTTCCCGCTAAGATGCTAAATCAAATTTTCCTCGCTCCAGGCGAGAGCGCACGGAAAGAGAAGGGCCTGGGAGAGGGGAGGGTGGGTCAGTCAAAAAGACCTCACGCAGTCATATCATGACGGCGAAAGAAACTTAAGTTCTATTCTAATTAGGAATTTGCAAGTGACTCGATATCTTATCGCCTCCACTTCAGTAGAACTGTAAAGGCATTTATTGAGTTCCAGGAAGAAACGTATAGAATTTACTAATGGGGTCCAACCTCTCGGACAACACAAAATTTTATTATTTCAAGTTGCTTTCTTGCAGAGGAAAACCGGAAAATTAGCAAAGTTTTAAAACCCACGTACAGAGAAATTTTTCTGCTCATTAGAACTCTTATTTCACCATTTTCCCGTTGCAGTTACCGTCCTGGTTTGATTAGGGACCTTTAGCAAACCACAAAGGTGACAGAAACGAGGAGTGGCAGAACAAAAGATCTAATGAGCAGAACGATAGCTAAGCACGTGCCTTTCAAAACTGTATACATTTCTTTCCCGTTCTCTGCAAAATAACTTAGAGAAATCATCAAAATTTGCGTGGTACAAGAAAGGAAACTCCGGTAGACGGCACATTATTTAATTTTCCATTTGGAACTCGACGCCGCTCTCATACGCTATGCTGAGGACTTGCGACGCCGTAAGAGATGGTACGCAAATCCAGTCATTCGCGAAATTCCAACTGAAAATATGTATTCATTTTTAAGTCAACGTCTTCCAGGGCGTCGCCTTCCTAACTGCTAAAGGTCCCTATTATTAAGCTCCCTAACAGGCGAAGGCCGATGACTTTAAGTCTTAAAATTCTTTAAAGTTTTCGACTTTGCATCTCTTGTTAGTATATTTTCAAGAGTCCACAGTTTCATTTCGGTTTTGATTTGTTAATATGTGCGAATTAAAAATATACGTCGAAGGTCGATAGGACTGGATATAGGCTAAGTTCTCTCTTTTCACGATTGTATTTTTTTTCTCCTTATTTATTCACCCGTTCATATGCTGTTTTCTTGTTTACCAAAATGCGGCCATTTTGAATCAACACACCTTGTCACGAGAGGGTTAATTTTCGTAATACTGCATCTTACCTAAATACAAACCATGGCTAGCAGCGATTTGAACTACGATTAGAAATGAACATCGTCACGTTACAAATTCGTTACAACAATGATTTGCATGTAGACCGGATGTCTTAACATGTCAACAACTATTTATAGGGCGCACTGGAAAACAAAATGTTATAAATTATTTCGTTTTCTATTAAAGAAAAAAGGGTCAGAACACTCTCAATGGACAAAAATTTGTCGTTATGAAGTGGATTGGCCGTGAAAAAAAAATCAGGAAAGAATACTATCGTCAAAAGTATAATGTTTTATTTCCATCTCTCCTAAAAATAGCCCCGACGAGTAATTTTAAAAATCGCTGAGATTGCCATAATGAATCGAAATAATTTCGGTTTCATTACGTCATTCTTCTGGACAGGATTTATATCTACATAGTACACATCTGAAATGCACGAGTATTGGAACAGTTAAACAATGAAGATGGTCACTTAAATTGTCTACGGTGGTGAAAATATCAAACTTATTTAACAGTCCTGTACAACTTGAACCTTCTTTCTACACAGGACAGAGGATAACCGAATTATTTGTGAAACGAGAAGAAGAGAAGATCACAGCATTTTAAACATGGAGGCTATTATGGCAGGTTTCTGGGTTTTTCTCGTCTCTTGTAAGTTTTACGATTTAACGCGTATTATGACTCTTACTAACTTTTCATATCTTACAGCATTTATTTCGACATCGTTCATTTCACAAGTTTGATCGATCACCATACTATTGATATGAAACTGGGCGAAATTTTATGAAGCCGAGCTGCCATGCAAGCGACTTAAAATATAGCGAAAGTTGGCGATTGTGGCAAGATTTTCGTATAATCCAATACTAAATTGTGGATGCATTTCTTTAAAAAAAAATCGCCTAATCCTTTCAAACTGAGGCTTTGTTGGACGCTAGTATTGGGGTTACGTGGAGTCAAGAGTCACCCTGCCTCGACCACTAACTCATTTCAAATAAATCTCTTGAACATCTAACTTTCACGAACCATGAAAGTCTTTTATGGCCGCCAAAGCTTTCGAGAACCAGTAGTTCGGAGAACCCGTAGGAATAGCTTTACAATAAAGACAGGAACCATAAAAAAAATTAAAGCTCGACTGATATTTGAACAAGGCCTACTCTTTACGCGTAAACTATGGGTTGAACTCCTCAAATGATAGTGTATTTTGATTCTTCTAGTTGCGACTGCTATGGTTTTTGTGTCTTTGGCATCCATACCTCTCCAGATAGCAATGATAGTTATTGGTAAGGTCACTATGATTTTACGATAATTTTGTTTTGTTAAATTTTAGAATAACCGCTCATTAGATTTCCGTAATATCAGACTCCTATGACTCTCTTTACAGGGACTCTCCGCATCCATTTGTTAGTAACGTTTTTAACAAAACCTCAAATACTTCGCAGTGCTTCGTTTAAGGGCAAAGACTCACGTTTTCAAAGAATCTTCGCATGTGCGACAGTTTGACGTGACAGACGGGCATGATAACGATGAACCAAGAATAGCTTTTGGTTTTGTCTTCGTTTTTCTGATGCGGTTGCTTTTGTATAGTTGAAAACTATTCTAACGAGGTAACAAAGACTAGCAAAATGAAAAGTACAATGTCAGGGTGATACCAAACAACAATTAAAACGTTCTTTCTCTTTTTTGCCTCTCCTAATCGGTTTTTACATTTCATATTTTTAGGAGCAAAATACAAAGACGAGTGCCCAGTGGAAGAAATGATCCCTGTTTACCTCATAGTAGCAGGGGCTGCCGGCTTATTCGCCAATTGTTGTACCGGCGGTGTGAGATACAACCAGCAAGCGGATGATGGAAATACTGTAAATCTGCTGCAGGCTCTTGTGCAATTTGTTCTTTTTGCTTGGTTCATTTGTGGGAATGTATGGATTTACGCGAACTATGAGCCGAATTACACGGACCCTTCGAGTCTAGACTACTGCCATAAGACACTTTATCTATTTGCATTCTGGGTCACGAATTCTGCTTACATTCTTTACGGATTCATATCAGTCTGTCTCTGTTGCTTTGGAACTTGCACCGCCACTGTAGGCATCGGTAAAGCGTGTGTAATTGTGTAAAAGATCCGAAAGGAGATTATCACATTCATGTCGATGTTAATAATATTAAAAAAAAAATAATGAAAATACTCTGTTGTCATTTTTGAAATCAAAGATTGAAAGGCACAAATAACATTGCCCTCTTGCAGAGTCGAGTAAGTTGGGATACTGTGACAGGTAAATAGCACATACTTTATTTATTTCAAGGAGTAATTGTTGCTTGCGTTGAGGGCAATAAACCATTTCCTAACTCACACCAGCAACACATTTATTTAGCAGTTAAACCGGGTTTAACTAAATGAAATCAGAAATAGAGAACTTAAAAACTAAATTTTCCTTTGGTGTCAATTAAGTAGTCACCAACGTGTAATACTATTTTCAATGTGCTTCATCGCAAGTTGAAAAACATCGGTTTAAGCAGCTTTTATGAAGAAAAATAATTTTCGACCGACTTCTAAAAGGAAGCTTTGAAACATGTTCAAGCTTTGGTGTGAGTGGGATATGAGACGATTCGAAACGATTAGCAGTTCATTTCTTTGCAGAAATAGCGGTACATCGAAAAAAAAAAGGTTTCGGAAAGCATTTTCGAGTCTCCTCAAAAATCAACATTTTTGCTAGTATTAATTTAAGATTCTTGACAAGTTGGTGTAAACTTCAATGAACCAAAATCATTTCATCTTACATAAAGGAATGGGGGCGTGTTCACCAAAGGGGGAATTCTTGACACTCCAACACTAATAAAGGAATTGAAAAAGAAAAATGGAAAAAAAAGGGGTGAAGGAGATTTAAGTTAGCAAATACATACCAATAAAATATAATAAATTAAGTGTAAAATAAAATTCGATATATTATAATGATATACTACCTTCCCTCGCTACAGCTTGGCCAACTTTGGCGGTCTTTTTTATATTTAGTGAAATTAGTTATCCGCTGCCTTTGAAACTGTTTACAAAATCAGCCTGAAAAGGCGACAGAAAAGAGAGGCAAAGCGTTAGCCTGGGAAAAAATGTTTTAAAGCAATTACAACAAATTCTCAAAAATTGAAACGGAATTGGAAAGCAAACATTCATATGCAAGGAAAACAGCGGTTATATTTACACGCCAAGTCATGCACCGCGTGGGTGGGTTGGAGACCACCACAGTCTACCACGGTGGTTTTACTTCCACAAGATTCTTATCTATGCTATACAAAACCAAAAGTATTGCGCACTGATGCCAAACACTCCAAAAAGCCTCGTTACATGCAAACTAGCTTAAGTCTTCAAAATGCTTTCTTAACAAAATGGAAACAAAATATACGAAAAAGAAAAAAGAAATTTCGCACACGAGCACACCTCACGGTTGCTCATGTTGTAACGGAAACCCACTGTTTCCTGTCGGCACTTGGAGCTGTTTTTTTTTTTTTTTAATATTGCTTGCCGCCTGTTATAGTTCAAAAGGTATTATAGGTAATGTTTAGAAACTTGATAATGGCAGGTAATGGCGACTTAATTTTGACCTCAGAGAAAAAATGTTAAAAAAAAGGTTCTTGCTTCCGACCACAAAGGTTCCAATGGCATTCCCTTTTACTATCTGCTAATCACCCCTAAGACAATGCAAATTTTCTCTCTAATCGAATGCCTTGAAAAGGCTACCATACTCGCTTAAGTCTCACACACCTTACTCCATCTCATGAACCCAGTTTTGGGATTTACCTCATTAAGACCAGGTATCATTTATTGTCACTATCAGTCAGTCTAAATGACAACAAACTGACATAATCACGAACAGGAATAGATCTTGAAACTTCTTCTCGAATGTCCATTAGGAAGACCAATGGGCTTTCAAAGACAATAGGGGTAACTTTGGAAAAAAATACGCACGCTAACGGAAGATTATTGCAATGGTTTCGAAAAGATAGCAGAAGCTTTTAATTCTCAACAATAGAAATGATATTTGGCGCAATGTGCACGACATAGTTTCCGAAATGTAGTTTCTCCATGACGATGGAGAAAAGTGCTCCGAAAAACTGGAACGAGGGAATGTAAGTGAAGAATCTGAAGTGAACGAGGTAGAGCAATAAAAAATGAAAGTGAGAAAAGAGAAGAACGGGTTGAAAAAGAATGGATATAGGAAATACTTGTGTTTCATCACCTTTTCCTATCCTCCTGCCTTCTTCCAAGCATGGTATACAGACCACACCGCGTGATCCGTAGAGGGTTTTTTTTTACACGTGTCTCGGTAAGAAGGTTACATGAGGCACACACGTGATCACATTTGGATCACGACAATCTTATCACACAAATATATTAATTACTTTACTTATCACGCCATCATAGCTCTCTTAATTGCCGGATCGTTATCCGATTCCTCATTTTTTCCTACGTGTTGAACGAGTCCATTCATATCGACGAGGACATTCCACGACGACAACAAACAGCAACAACAATTATAACTACTGCAACAGTAATTTCGTTACTATCGTCGTCGTCGTCGTCGTCAACATATTGGAAACCAAAATTGTGTGCATAATATTATAACAGCATATACATCCTGATTTTCTTAACCCCTTTGAGTTAACATCTATATCCTGAGTTTGCCCGAGGAAACCAGTTTTGCGCTAGAGGTCAAAGAGTTTAGGAATTTATCAACCAAACTCCGGACGTGAGCGTGAGTTTCAAGGTACCTCATTGGGTACGACATCGCTTCTCTTCTATACAAGGGAGAGCAACAATACACCGATCAAAGGTGCTTTTTGATTCACTCGCACAAAATGCAGCACCCAAAAGGAGTACAAGAACAGCCAAGGTACGAAATGATTAACTTCCGGGGAAATCGATCCACCTCCAAAAATGAAAACAGAACAACTGGACAGGTCAAGGAAACGAAACTTAAGTCTCTAAAGCCTGAAGAAGGAGAAACCGAAATTGAGAAAACAAACGAGTTTCCTCATTCAGACCTGAATCGTAATGGGGCAGTCTATGAAGTCATTGCGAATAACGCTGAGGGACCCACGGTTGACATAAAGACAAAGTCCTGCGTGGACCACCGAGATGCAATCTACGACGCACTGAACATCATCGCTGAAACAACAGGACAACAAATGAATTCATGCCGCCGCACGATGTGTTTCACGACTGCACTACTGATGATTATTTTTCTCATGGCTGCAGCTGGCCTGACTTTGACTTTGATGATGCTTATTTCAGGGAACACCTTAAGTTGGAATCAAACGCCTACTTTACCACCAAGTAAGTGCGATCTATGGCCTCTGAACATGGCAAACTGTTCAATGGCATTAATTTTGTTCAGCCATACAAAATTTAGCTTCCATCCATGTGCGTAGGAGTAAAATTGATCGAATTAGAGTTTTCTAGAACAAGACCGAAATATGTAAAAGCTTTCAGCAGTAAGGATCATTGGATTGAAAGGTCAGGTGTACATGTAAGGTATTGCGAAAAAAAAAATCATCATGCGAGACACGAAGGCATGATTCACTGAATTTCAATCACCAGCTTTGCAGTTTATCATTCGAAGTTGTAGTCGGGCGAATTTCTGTACTCAATGAGCACATTTCTACATTCTTTTCACGCTCTTTCAAATTATATGCTAACAAAAAACCGGAGAGAGCTAAAAAAAAGGCAGGGAACAGGAAACAGGAAATACTATTTTGTCTACACTCGAAAGAGGATCTTCTTCCAAATTTGCGGGCGACCTCTAACCATAAGTGTTCTTTCCAGCACCAGTCTATTATGGCACCTTCCACTTTGAATGCTTTGTACCAGACATTTACGGGCATTGTATGTTCGTAGCTTTACTTTAGAATGACTACGAGACTAGTTCACTGGGATAACCCTGAGTAATCGATTGGTTGAAACTTGATTTACCCATTAACATCATTTGCCACTTCTTGATTTAAATTTTGTCAACACTAAATCCCATTTAAACGTCTCAGAACCACCGTGTTACATTACATAGATGATCAAGAAAAGCCAGTTGCTCCCCAACCGAAAAAGATTATTTCACAAAACTCACAATATCGTTCAGAAAAGAGTCGATGAGATTAGCCGTCTCGTAATTCCCCTAACTGTATTTACAGGCAACCTCGAAAGCGGCGCCCACCCTGTAGGACTAGGACGGAAAAGTTAACATGTACCCAGCCTCGAATCTTTTCGCAGTTCCTTCCTTCTTTTAACAAGTCAAAGAGGGATTTAATGATCAATTGTCTTTCCATGCTTTTTGCAGCATAAATGCATGCTTTTTCCAGCCTTTTAATCCAGCTATTCTTATCGTCTATTCGTCAAATCTTGTTTGAAGTATCTATTAAGCAGGTACACGTACCATATCCGATTTGCCTGCTAAAAACGTACGTAATCTAAATCTGAACCGTCGCCAAGGAATGAGAGCTATAATTAGACTATTTGCAATTATTTTCTCTAAATAACGCCAATGGAATACTCCTCACAAAAAAGCGACAATTGTTAAGCATTTCCGCATTTGCATTTGTAAGAGGGAAAATTTAAGAGTGCTGTCAGGAAATCCCCATGGAAGGGAATTGACAACTTTGAGAAAACAGCAGGCGCTCAGAGGTGAAAGGAAATCGCCAGTTTAGATATCGACAGGAGTGACTAAACCTCTATCGGAAAGACGTCAAAGAATAGGCAATTAGGTTAAAATTGCAAAGCCGGTCCAGTTCTTTAGTTCGCAAAGCTCTCGAACAACCGTCCACTCAGCGATAAAACAGTTTGTAAAGGGGAATGCTGTAAGGTATACAAAGTTCTTTTATCAAATGGAAGGCAAATCATGTTAGAATGCACATAGAGTACAATTTTAAACTAGACTTCCAACTGAGTACAGGGACGACCAAGAGCAACATGGACAATTAATGATACGCCTTCAAGCATTTACACAGTTAATGTGACACATATAAAATAATAAGAATGTTATAGAAGCCCTTCTGTCAAAAGATGCAAGGTTTAATCCGACGTCTGAAGAGTCGCCTTTCAACTTGATTTGGAAAATAAATCCTAAACGGGTGTAAGGTTTATTCCTAGTTATATCAAAAGTGTAAACATAATTTCGAAAAAGACTGCTTTTGTTCGCAACATAAAGTTGCTCAGAGCTACTGACTTGACGTTGATAAGTTTTTAAGACTAAGAGAGACGACTTTTCACTGAGAGCTGAATGGAAACCAACCAACATCAATCATTCTTCGCATACTTCGCTAGAGGTCGGCAAAGACTGAATCTTACACGTCTCTCTTGGTTTCAATCGAATAAAGCAAAAATGAATTTTATTTTTTTTGTGCCTAAAAATTTGGGAAGGATTCAGCCTGACATACCCATTTGTGGCTCATATCTCATGCACTGTTTGGCTTTGTAATAGTAATGGAGAAAGATTGACTTAGGCAAGAAGTCTCTGAAAATGTCTCTCATCCCGCTCTTTCACATCACTTGTTTCACTCTGTTAAAAAAGTCTTTCGCCAGCCTACTCCTACATTAGGGACAAAGTGCAAGGAAAAGATGTGGTTTTTCTATTCTTTTCAGAGGCTGTTGGAAGTGGAAGGGACGATAATCAAGAAATGAAATTGAAGATTTTAAAGCTGGAAGAAGCGTTAAATCTCACCCGCTTTCAAGTTCAAAAACTCAAGATCGAACTACAGACACAAAAGAAAGCGATGGAGAACCTAACAGTACAGGTGAACATAATGCTCTGTCCAATGCCTGGTATGGAAATCAATGAAACATGAGAATTTTTCCTCTTCTTCTTTCTCCAGGAACAAAGCTGCAGCCGCTGCACCGGTCCACCAGGCCCTCCAGGCTCACGCGGCCAAACAGGACCGCCTGGCTCACCAGGGGCCCGGGGACCCGTTGGCCCTATGGGTCCCAATGGTACAGCTGGACCAGCGGGTCCTCGAGGTGTAAACGGTTCTCAGGGCTCACCAGGGCCTCGCGGTATTCCAGGAGCAATGGGCCCGCGCGGATATAATGCATCACGAGGATTACCAGGCCCCCAAGGACCAGCTGGAAATAACACGGCTTGGAATGTGAGCCTTTGTCAGTACACGAACAAGAAAGAAGTTGCACAAACAGCAGGGAAGTCAGCAAATTCAAAAGTCATTCTACGAGAGGATGAACACCCGGTAGGCTCATGTCACCTTCTGCTTAACATTAAGTCCTGAAATCGAGGTGAATGGTGGTAGAGTGTTTAGTAAGCCGAGAGACTAATTGTCTTAGTGTCCACGTACGAAGCGATGTCAACAGTTTTTCTGACGGATGCCAGTTTTAAAATATAAAAGCTACTGTAGGTAATCAAAGTCAATTATTTTGAGACTTGTAAAGCTGATGCTTGAATTTAAACGAGTACACCTACTGAAATCCTCGATTTGAGTTTCGAACCGATTCTTGAACCTAAATCAATTAATTTTCAGTGCAACCCAAACTATTAATAATTTCTTTGTTCAAGACAAACGTACTTGTTTTCTAATTTTTTTGTCCCAGGGAATGAAGATTGTTGCAGCTACTTGTTCAACGCACAATGCTGCAGAGTACGTCTTTGGTGATGTAAGAAATGACCCCACAACAGGAACCATTGTGTACAATTGTCACTGTAAAGGAAAATCACAACTGTTTGTTGGCGCAAACATGCAGTGTGTTATTCACTACTGGATCTGTCCAATCAGAAATTAAATAGTGTAGAAATGTGAGGATCATCTGTTAGGCAAATAAAAATTGTTACATGTAATTTAAGTATATGATAATGTTTTCTCTGGTAGCTCCGTAATTCATTGATCCAATGATGTAAAGTAATTTTGGTGCTGGCCCGATCCCACGTCTTTCTACTTCGCCACGGAAAAGGGGGGGGGTGGGCCGAGAATTAGAGAAAAGAAGACTGTAGAAAAATGGTTGATTTGGCTGCACAAAAATGACGACTGACTAAAAGACATGAAAACTTTTTTTAAACAAATTTCACGTTTTTCCGACAAAGTCAGCTAAAAAGGTAACTGGGGAGGAGGGGTGGAGGAACAAATCGATGGATGAATGACAAGATATATAAATAAATCTATAACACTTCGATCATTAGCAATTACGGCAATCATTTTTATGACAAAGGGTTTTCGTTACCTTGAACATTTGAACTACAAATTAGTGCTCGTTTCCAAATCAATGTTTATCAATCCCTGGTTAATTGAAACATTAAAAGAGAAAAGATGTCTAAACCACTTGTAGTTTGTCTTTTCAAAAAAATCTGCCAGTAATCTCAACCATAGACTTCTGACCACTGGCATAATTGTCGGTTTTTTCTTTTTATTTTGCAGTAGTGCATTCTTACGTACATTACTTGTGACCAAGCAACAATAAAACCTCGTTTTAGTTCTGGTACGTCTCATTTGTCTTGTTCTGGAGAGAATATGCTAGTTACTGAAATAAACCCATGTCTGCGTCAGAGAAATTAATATCTGGCCGTGAAGCGAAGCTTCGAGGGCAAACGTGAAATTTTGAGGGCAATCTCCTAGCCAAAGACATCAGCAGCCGACATACCAGCAAGCTAGAAGGTTTATTTATTTTGTAACCGTCACATTAATTTTCGTATCGCGCTTTAACAGCAAATTCTGTTGACTTTGTTGTACTTTCTGGAGCAGCATTTGAGATCAGCTTTTTAATTTCACTAACAGTGGACTTTTACAAAACCAGTTCGTTTTTATTCCATGTAAAGTAACAAAGATGAAGAAGGGAAACTCTTGATCTGTCTTTTTCCGCTGGCTTTTTTCTTTTGGATGAAAATAACCGGAGGACAAATATCGACGTAGATGAGGGTCATTGCGTGATAACTGTCCGGTGATTTTGGACCATGAGACGTAAGGTAGCCGATAGAATCACACGAAAATTTATCGGTCGGTTAAAGTACATCTTATTTCGGTTTGCTCGTGAAATTCTATTATTTCAGTGCCTGCGCTTCGCGCTCTAATGAAATTAGTCAAAGTCGTGATAAAAAAAAGAAAAGTTGAGAAAAGTAATCGAAGAGGATGGAAAGATGGTTATATGGATGGATGGATCGCTGATTAAATAAAAAGGCATAAATAAAACTTCTACCATTAATGCAATTAAAGCAATAATTTTTCTTTGTATAACCAAGAGATCTTCGCTTGCTATGACAAAGGGCATTTGTTACCTTACACAAATGAACAACAACTTTTCGTCAACACTGGTCTCCAAGTAATCCCTTTCAATCGAAAAACATGAAATGTCTATTACAAGACAATTAAATTCACTAAGACTACTTGAACTTTATATTTTCGCTAAATCTACCCATTCTCCTCTAGTGCGTGCGGAGAATCATAGCATCAACAGCAACAACGAACAAATAAATAAACAAAAATAAATATTGATTTAGTTCTACGATTTAATTGAGGATCACAGACTCGGATTAGTTAATTATGCATAAGATGTACAGCTTTCGTAGATGTGTATAGTACAATTTAGAAAATATGTTTTACGACGCATTTGCCTTTTTTGCACAAAGGCATAAATGGAGAGAAAAAGGAAAAGAGAGAAAACTTCTAGTTGGTGTCCATACTAAATGTGAGGTCGACTTTAAGGCGACTTACTTAGATGCCCGTGTGAGTTCATCCAGTTGATGTAGAGAGTTAAGTCGTAAAGTAGTAAATTGCTCTAAAGTACATTTTGGCTCCTCCAGAAATGTTCGGCTGATGGATAGTTCTAGAAATAATAGAAAAATGTGATTAAACATCGTTCGGTAACCCATCGACGAACAAATCTTACCACACACGAAAATCAAGAAAAAAAAGATTTGAAATGCAATAGTAGAGGACATAACCCGAAAGGCGCATGCCGGGTAATTTGAGAAGATTAGAATAACAAAAGCCCTGGTGCGATGAACATCTTTCGACTATTCAGAACATGAAAACATTCCGGGTGTTTGAGGTTAAACATGTTTTGGGTTTAACTACGAATTGAAATAAGCTCACATCAGTCAAGAAATTTCGTGATGCACTTTGTACTTATCCACGTTTTTTACTTGCCTTCAGAAGCACTGCATAACGTTCAAGAAGGATTCAAGAAATCGATGGCGGATCATAAAACAAACTGAATTCATATTTGTCTCATACTACATTCACTTCGTAGTTTGCTGTTCCTTTTGTGACAATCGCCTAGCCTCGACAATTATCCTACAATATAACAGGCGCCTAACGTATTTGGTTCTCAAAAAATCTGCAACAGTACCTGGAACTACTACGACCCACTTGACTGACCAGGAACCCACGCATTCACGATCTGCCTCTGGAAAGTCACAACAGTCCGCAAATTGGCTTTCTTTAAAGATAATCAGGCTGCCAATTGAGCCACATAGTTGACTTTTACTGCTCTGACCCAGCAGATCAGGATAACATAGCGCTAAGCGTTTTATAGTAACCTTGAAGTTGCCTTGGTCTGAAATCATAATAATCAAACAAGCATAAGGCAAACGAAAACTTAATGCTAAAGACTTCAATCTGTTTTATGAAGGACTTCAGGCGAGAAGACATATGAATGAAACAAGGCATAAACGTCAATTCAGTGTTTGCTCGCCATCCCCGGATGACGCAATGGCCAAAGGGTTAGCGCTTGACCTCGGGTCGAAAGGTCTGACAGAGTCGTCAGTTGTGTTCAGTTTAGCAAGATACTTTACTCTCACAGTTTCCTTCTGCACCCGGAAGTATAAATGGGTACCAGTGAACCATCTGGAAAATATGTTAAACTGTCTAGGGGTGATTTGCAATGGAATAGGAGTCTATGACAGGGGAGTAGCAGAACTCCTTATCAGTTTAAACAAAGAAAACCTAGACGAGCTGCAGCATTATGGGCCACTTTAAGTAGTCCAGCTACGGCACAAAAGTGGAATCATTATCAGAAAAAGGAACAAATAACGTGTACATGTTGGAACCTTCTCTGCAACATCTTATTTCGGCTTTACCTGGATAAAAGGAGACCCGTATCATTTCTCCAGAGCCAGTCTTATCCAACTTGACGACGTTAAACTGTAGCTCAAACGGATTTCCTGACATCATTAAACACCTTGGGAGAGAAGTAAATTAGTAACAAAAAGTATTTTGGAATTGGCATAATTGAATTAAGAAACGTTCCACACTCGCAACCTAGTCCGTCCTCTGCTAGGAAAAGGAGAACCTCCGTGCACTGAATATTTGCTGTCGACTTAGTTAACATAATGACAAAATAAATGCCACCCTCCTCCTTTAACAATCTTTCCCAAAATCGTTCCCAGGCCCTCTCTACTTCCGCACCAGGGGAACGAAAACGGAACCGAGTGCGCTTTTCAACATTCTTCAACAAAGCAACGTTACTCAGCTGACTCCACGCTTTCTTTGATAAAGGAAACATTAAGAATATGGTTGTCAATTAGTTTGGGGGTTAAGGCGAAATGTGACAGATCAAAAAACCAAAGGGAAAAGAGGAAAAAGACCAGGTACGTAAGGTATAAAAGCGAAGCATAAATCCCTCACAGGGAGGTTCGTTCTCATTCCGTTTAAGTCAGTTTCCAGTTACCTTTGAGAGCTACTCTGCTCCATGTCGAAAAGAGCCTCGCCTGTGCAGTGCATCTTTCTCATGGTGTGCAAACACCAAATACTTACTTTGCCGCTGGATGTGAGAAGTACAAGATATCTATCTGAAAAGATTAAAAGTACAAGAAAAGCTTTAAGATTTAGATAGCACTGTGCGAAAACATCTCACGCTGCAAACAATAAGCTGTTCGTACACATTTTTTTCACGCAAGTCGCAAAATATATGAAGGATGGCTTAGTTTTCCTCGTGCTTCGCTCTTGAAAACTGTTCGCATCTTGGAACAGATAATGTCCGCAGACAAATATCCATAAGTATTTTCGAGCCATTGCTTATTGTTTATTAGCTATTGTTTGAATATTTTCCGAGCCTGCGGCGAATAATTGTTTTAGCATAGCTGCTCAGGTGCTTTCAAATTCTGTTGTAAATGTAAATCCATGCCGCTGTTGAAAACTTTGCGTATCTTTTGTTATAATTGTTTTGATAACTAACTTGTATCAAGACAAGCAGTCAGTATCCACTACAATTTAACAGCGAAAAATTGACAGTTTAGTTTTGAAAGTGTTGCACCTTTCGTACTCTTCAGAATTGAAGTTTGGTCCATCGCGTTTATCACTTCCTCGGTAACATTGCCTAGAGCGGGGTAGCCATTTTGAAATTAAGCGCTCCTGCTATAATCAACTCGCGTGAGGAAAATATTTAACAAATAGAGAAGCCTTTACTGTGCTCTGTTCTGTTATAAAGCACGCAGGAAGCGGCTAGTGCACGAAAGAAGTGGGAAGAAACACTCGACTACGTCTCGTGTTTTATAATAAAGAATCCGTTAAATTCCCCATGTATTACTTTCAATTTTCAAAACAAACTTTATTTCCAAAGCGAAGAACAGTGTCGTCAGCATGCTCTATACTCTCATAGAGCACGCTACAATAAGCCAATCAGAATCCCTGTTAGAATGGTTCAAATAATCTGATTGGCTGTACAAGACAAAGCCTGTAAAAAGTGTCAAACCATCAAAGTTCACACTCTGCGATAGTTTACAAACTAAAATAATTCGGTAGGTCGAATTTAACGCTTTTGCCTGAAGTTTTTAAATCAGAATCTTGAAGTGAAATGTTCAGTGAACTTCAGCCGAATTATGGCTCATAAAAACACGCGGGTTTTTTCACATGACAAGGTGGAAAACAAACTGTTCAAGGCGAGTGTTTTTTAAATGAACGACAGCCGAATTCACCGGAACATGAAGATCGCTCGGGATGACAGCGCCGCAAAAACTCGGCTGCAGTGACTGAAGTGACTTTCCACTCAACACATTGGAAAGGATATGAGAGCGAGCACTTATTTTTTTCACTCGAAGGGCGGCCGATGTAGTTTCTGAGGCTTGCTTTACTGTGATGACCGGAGATCGGCATGATAAGTGAGCCGCGATGGACTTCAGCATGATCATATTTGCTCAGACACCGTCATGATTAGTATGAATTTTAACAATTATGCCAGTTTGGTTATATTTTTCATCATTTCTGTTTTGTTTTTGAACTCTGAACTTTATATACTATACGAGTGTTGGCTGTGTTTGACTTTCATTACCGTACGTAAGCTTGCAATCTAACTGAGCGTGAAAATCTTTAAAACTCGGAATGTCTATTTTGTTTTTCCTTTGAGGATTTTCGTATCTGCCCACGTTTTAATAACGTAAATAACGGCGCCTGGTATGTTTACAAACCTTTCTTTGGTTCTTCTGTTACTACTTGCCGGCTCGCTTGTTCTGAAATTTCACTTTCAATTATCGGAAAAAAGCTAAAAAGAAGTCCCGGAAAAAGTCGAACATGGTACAATTTGGCAGATGGCGTGACAGCTTTAGCTCAGTTCTATGCTCTATACTCTCATAGAGCACGCTCTTTCAACCAATGAGAGCGCGCGTTATATCCGAACTTTATTATAAAGTGAGATATCACGCAATACTCGACTAATTAGAGCGCGCGCATCTCCACAATCACCCGAGCAGTTATGCTAATAATACATAATCACAAAACAGGCATTGAGAACATAGAAATTTCAAGAAAGATGTGAGCCATTGGTCACGACCGAGGGATGAACAGCAACAAAATAAAAAAACAAAAAAAAAAATTCGAGACCAAACAGAACGATTCGAATGGCAGATCTTCGGATTTCCGCGCTCGGATGCTCTGCAAATCTTGAAGACTCAAGCTCGTTCCTGAGTTATGCCATTTTTGGGTTCAAATGCAACAAGCATCCCACAAACCGCTGTACACCTATCATTTAGAGGGTATCATTTTTATATAACATCAAATTCTCTCAACAAACGTGTAGGGTAATGTATGGTGGTATGAAAGGAGAAGTGCGTATCAGATATTGGGAACTACATGGCCAAACACAAACCTGCAGTGATACAGCAGCTTTCGACTGGACAGGGGAATAGCAGCGTTTTCCACTCTTCAATTTGCGACTCATATACGTACACTAAGAGGGGCAAGGCGGCTACTATCACGTAATTTGTTGAGATTAACAGTCGCACGCCACTTCTTGATAGAAACGTAAAACCACCAGAGCAAGACTTCTGAAAAAGTTCTGGATTGAGAAATGGTGCTTCTAAAGTCAATACTTCGTTAGATAAACTGGAAGGAGACTGGAGTTTTTCGCAAGTCTCTGAGTGACAGTTCCCATACGAAGCATCAGATCCCTCTGAAGTTTGTGTATTCAGTGCATTCATAATTTCAACGGCTTTGTCCTCGGAAGTTGTTTCCACATTACTCAACAGGCAGCTGGCATTTCCTGTAGATCCGACGACATGAAGCTCTGCAGAAACTTCAGTCAATCTAGCTTCATCCTCTAAACGGCTGCTGTCGTTTTTTCTATTTTCCTCCTGAGATTCTTCGCCCATTTTGAATCCTTCGTTCCTTAGTTCTGAGCATTTTGAGCCAACTCCTCTCAGTGAATTTTCACAACTGTTCTCACACCTATTTCCTATTTCCCTAAGCAAGGAAAAGCTTTCTTGAGACGTCCTCCTCCACTTCAGAGTCAATAGACCTTTGGACGAAAGTTCTACGAGCACAGAGCCCTCAAAAGATTCTTGAAATAAAAGTCTTGTTTTCTCTTCGTTACCGGAAACACTTTTCATTAAAGACACTGTGGAGATAGGAGGAGGAAACTCCATGACCTGCTGGTCATAATTCTGTGACAGTTTTTATTAATGGCTTCTAAAACCCGCGAAATATTTTGCTCAAACGCGGATGTTTCAAATGCATCACGTGACCGAATTTCCCCCAATTAAAACTGGGGATATTCGAGGATATAACCTGAGTGATATTCCCCAATTTTCAAACCCAATGTCCACTAGAGAAATCTGTGTGTATAAAACTTAATTCAAAATGAGAGAGCGTTGTGAGCTATAGTACAGAAGAAGGAACATGTTTTTTTTTCTTAGAGGAAGATGTTTTGTTTTTTGGCTTGTCACGAGCGTGGGACAAAGAAAAAATTTTCTGAGTCACCAACTCAGACCTTCGGATTTCGCGCTCCGATGCTATACCACTGAGCCACAGAGACTTTACGGTGAGCGATGTCTATTATGAAGTTCATATGTGACACGCGTCCTGCATACTGCCAGGATCAGCGATGTCGATAGCCTCATGTTCGTAAAAAGAATAATAGAGTTAATTAGTTAACCAAAAGGTATTTTCAGGGAGGTTTTCACCTTATTGGATAAAGGTACTTACCAAGTTGAGTTTCTGGCCACCTTATGGCAAAACAATGCTTGGATCGCAAGTAAAAGAGAGTGTAGTCCCCAGATATTTTTCTATCAAAAAGTAAGAAAAAGTGAATCACGTTTTATTTTGGATTTATAAATAATGGCCATTGAAAAAGAGCTGTATGGAAGGAGAAAAATATAATAATAGTAGCAAAGACAAAGACAAAGACAGAGACAGAAACAGAGACAATAATAATAACAATAATAATAACAATAATAATAACGATGATGATGATGATAATGATGATGATGATGATATGATAATAATAATAATAGTGATGATAATAATAATGATGATAATGATGATGATATGATAATAATAATGATGATGATAATGATGATCATAATGATAATGATGATAATGATGATAATAATGATAATAATAATAATAACAATTACAATAATAACAATGTTATTAAGAATAATCATTAAAATCATCATCATTTCCCCTTAAAACCACCTGAAACTTGCTGCTCCTTTAGGAGTGCCATCAAGACAACGTTGTGTAGTTACAGAGGTCTGAACATCCATTGTTGCCAGGATAAACGTCTTGTCATTGCATTGAATTAATCTAAGACGAAATTTAGCCAGTCTTAGCAAACCTAAAAAAATAGGCACTAGCTGCAATAATCATTCCATGAATAAAAATTATGATCAACTATGTGTACCAAGTATGCTACTGACAACAAATGTAAATAAATGTATATTGAATGCAAGGTGAGTTATATTGAAATACACAATATAATATGCAAGACCAATATATACCACATAGGTGAATAATGCTTTTCACACTGGCTGACTGGCTCGTTCCAAAGAAATTAGCATGAAAAGTACCACTCACATCCAAGCAGCCAAAGAAGCAGAATCTTGGGTCGACAACTTTTATGATCATGGTAATTTTTTCATCATTTTTGGCATATCAATCGAAATAAATTATTCCTTTTGGTCTCTATGTGGTATATACTACAACAGTTATTCACCACAGTGTTGGTGAAATCAGCAGATATTTACCTTGGCGCAAAATATCCACCACTCTTCACCTACACTTTCGTGAATAATTACTGAGTTAATGAGTAGAGAGCATGATATCTCTAAAATTCAAAATCACCTTAAACAGTGGGTTTTCTATTACTAAATAGAAAACAAATTATTTATTTAAGGAGGCTCCATAGGGTTTTTGTTTAATGTTGGCGCACACACCAGTGTATTGTTTTTCTAGAAAATTTTCATGTTTTTGCTTTCTAGGTCACTAAAAGCCATCAAAAGGGCAATGAGAAAGGTTTGGACTATCATTTGCTGTAGTAAATATTAAGAAAATGATTTTTGTTATTAAGCTGATGCTCCACAAAGGGAGGCGCTCACCAATGACAATTTGGCTTTGCCTTTGATTTTCTTCGATTTGCTTTGGTGAAATCTCTCAAAATGTTCACAATTTGCGAAATTTGTCTTGCCGATCAATCAAAAGCCAAAGAAATTAAGGGTTACAAAGGCAGTTTCCACACTATAAATGCAATTTTATGTTTTCTTTTCTATCTCAATTTGGTCTTATGACTCTTTTATCAACAGGTACTAAGAAGGGCATAAATATGTTTCATTGTCCAGCAAATCTTAGGAAATTCCATTGAAAGAAACACCATAAATCTTGCTAGAAAGATCAATATTTTCTTTGTCACAAAACATTGGAATAGAAAAGATCTATATCTGAGCATGCGTTTTACAAAATTTCAAATCTGTCACCTTTTGGCAATCTTTCCCATTGTGTTTTCTTATTGCATGGTTGACCTCTTTTTCAGGCATAGAAGGCTTATGAATATTACAGGTGCAGTTGCTGGAAACCCTAGATTCCATCACATAAAAACTGTATTGTGTTAAAAGCTTGCACTATGTTTGTATCCAGATCTTGTGCAATCAAAAAAAAAAAACCCTATGGAGCCTCCTTAAGTTGATTATATACCAAGAAAATGCTGGCAAAAATCAAATATTTAGTTAGTCAGGCTACTAATACAATAAGTGGAATTTTACTAACCTTATAAATTTGTCATCTGGAGACCAGCTCACAAAACAACCAGGCAAATCCCCTGACACCCTATCAATGCTGGTACTATGTTTAAACTCTATCCAAGTCAATGTCCCATCTTGAACTGCCTAAAATCAGGCAACATGAAATATTTGATGCTGATTATGCTCAATGTTTGAGGATCTATTTATTTTTAACTACCACACTATATTTACTTGATGTTTTGCTTTTATTTCCTTTTTTTCAAACATTCTTTTATTAGTATACAGACACTTTATTCCAACAATGACATTAACACTTACTTTCCGGTACAAGTGCCAACAGCCATCCCAACCAGTCACAGCGACCATAGAGCTGTCATGTGAGAACTCTATGCTAGTAATGCGCATGGTTTTAAGGTGGATATACCAAAACTCTGCAAATACACCAAAAGTGCACATATTAATTAAACACTATCAAATCCACAAGGAAAGAGGGAAGATTACTTTATAGAAAAAGCCCTTGAATTAGTTTTTGTGTGATAAATATGATGTTTTCAAGTATTTAAGTCTTAATTGTAAAGTATTAGAACTGTACAACCATCCTTACACAGAGATAAAATAATAAATTTAGCAAGATTGAGCAGTCACTGTTGGGTTTGAAATAAAATTCTTTTTGATCTATCTTGCAATGTATTGCAATCTTTTTTTCTTTTATAGTTTGTGAGATGATATATTTCAGATCAAGGGCCACATCACCACATTTACATCCAACTACAAATGGTCTTAAATACATCAATAAATTTTTTTCATGGCCCTTTGAAGTCTACTGTACAAATTGGAAAAAAAATTGAAAAATTCTTACAATCTCAGGACTTTTCTTTTGCACTTTATTTTCAGGTTTACCCAGAAGAGGTCTGTTTTTATTTCGTCCTATTTAACTATTTAACTCCTATTTTACCCCTTTTCATTCACCCCTTAACTCCCATAAGTGACCAAGACAGAATTTCTCCTTACAATATCAGTACAATATCAAGCAGACAAGTCATGAGAATAAAGAAAAATCTTAATTAAGGGATTATTAGTTGACCCAATACCAAATTCTCCAAACTAACATCACAAGAACTATATGGCAGACTGTAAGGAGAATTAATAATGAGATCTTGGGAGTTAAAGGGTTAACGGTGCATATTTTAGTTCTTGAACAGTTTAAGTAATGATCCTCCACCATTGAATACATGAACAGCCACCAGTATTGACTCAATTTATTGTCTAACAATATCCAGTCAATAGTGAAAACACTATACAATTACATTTTTCACTTATATTTGATTAATGTGTTCTGAGAAATATCAAGTAATAATTGTGCAGCTAATTATGCAACATGTACCTTGACTATGCTTTCAAAGAGCTACCAGTATAATTAAGTAACAGGTTGCAAATTGAATGACTGTGAATGTATGAAAATCATATATATGAACTGCCAGTTAAGATATGAATACAAAAGTGATTTTCTCAGTGATGAACACTACTTAAGCAGTAGCAAAAATATGGCCTAAAAAATGAAGGCCTGTGCAGGATTTGAACTCAAGACCTCTACGATACCAGTGCAACACTCTAATAACTGAGCTAACAAGCCAACTGGAAGCTGGTCATTATGTTGGTTCATAATACTTACATGAAGTGATGAGTAAATGACTGTGAATTATATGAAAATCATATATGTGAAATGCATGTTAACAATTGAATATGAAAGTGCTCTTCAGTGATGAACACTACTTAATCAGTTGTGAAAAAAGGCCTGAAAAAAAGATTCTACTGTTTAAGTAATGTTCATTACTATGAAGATTGCTTTACTTTTCATTAGGCTTCAAATTCTCAACAAATGCATTTATTATCATTGATACTAACCTTTCTGGTCAGTATACAAGCTAGAAACAGTCCATATGCCAAAATGGCCATCCATGGCAGCCTGCAATTCCAAGAAATTGTAATAAGACATGAAATAAGTGAGTTATTCTGACTCGCTCATCTAAATGTTTTCACATTTAGTAACAAAACTGTCATCATATTGAACAGTGACAGTGTTATTTTCCTTTATTTAATAATCTTATATGAACTTGAAATGAAAATTGTCACAGGATTGGCTTGTGAATAGAATATCATCTGAAGATATACGTAATTCCACATTGGCTTGCACGAAAGACATCAAGGGTACACTTAAAAGCACATTGAAAATGGTTAACTAATAGAAGATGGGTAATGCATGGTCTCCTTGTGACTAAATTAAACACATGAAGGTAAATTTTTGAAGATGGACAAACAATGTGAGTTTATTGTCCATGTTAAGTCCAGCCTCTGTCACTAAAAAAAACAATAATCATGAAAAAAGTAAAAAAGTAAAAAAATAAAATGATGAAAAAAGAAATAAAATGAAAATAAAAAGGAATAAAAGCGAATAAATAAAAAAGTTAAAAAATGCAATAATAATAATAATGATAACAATAAAAGCTGATAGCATCTCATGTCCAATTTTTTATTTTCAAAACTGCCCTTAAATTAATTCAAATTTATTTATTAATTATTTATACAACATAAGGCTTTAATTGATGTAGTAGCATACCACAGCCAGGTTCAGTTTGTCTGGAGAAAATTCCACCAATGCAATGGCCAGATCTGGATGAACAGATAAGGACCCATCCTGACAGAAAAAAGACAAACTGTTTCATATGAAAAAGACAATGCAAACACAGAGAGAAAATTTATCTTGGAATTAAAAATCAAAAATTTGTTTTTGAGGTACAATTTTAAAGTTGTCTGTCATCTCCATTTGATAAAGCTCCACTCCATTTGGACTGGCAACTGCTAACTGATAAATCTGAAGAATCAAAAGAGAAAACTTAAGGTTACAACATTAACCCTTTAACTACTAAGTGTGATTAGCATCTTATTTCTCCTTACAATATCACCACTTAATCACACATTTGTGCCATGAGAATAAAGGAAATGATCATCAACTAAAGAAACTCTTGATTGTTGGATAAATTCTCCTTTTCAGTATTTAGTAAATGTACAGAGAACAGTAGGAAGAATTTAACAAATGATGTTAGGGTGTCAAGGGTTGAGAAGGTGGTTGCAAGAGATAAAATTCAATGTACATGTAAATGTCAAGATATTAGCTGAAGCATTACTTTAAGTCTTCCTAGTCAGGAAGCAATCAAATAAATTTAACCCACAATTAGTATTTAAATAACAGAATAATAATTAAAATCTGTACTCCAAAGTTACAAAGTGGAGCAAGTCTAAGCCTAATCTTTGGCATGTGGGAAGCCAGAAACCAGATTTAGAAGTCAAAGTTTGAGCATTATGCTGGCACTGGGCCAAACATTTCAAACTCACAGTAACCATTTCCAACAAAGGAATAAAACTGAGTACTGGTTAAGCAGTCACCCTGCCATTCCCTGTGGGCAAACACTTAATACAGGTTCAGTTGTGGCGAGACATTCACCCAAAAGCTTAAAACACTTAATGGAACTTTATTTATTTTTAAAATAGTCATACACTACCTCATTGGAAGATGAAAAGTCACTCAAGATGATGGAAATGTCTTTTGGCAAATAATACAAAGGAATAGTGTGAAAGATGAGGAAGTCATTGTTGACCTGACAATTAAAATATAAAGTATTGTAAGTCTACGGAGAAATACTTCTAGGATTGGTTCAAGTAACTAAATCCTTGGAATTGGAAAGGTTAAAGAGACCAAAGATCTAGCCATTTGATGCGAGAAAACATTGAGGATTAATGTTTTGATCCACTAGCAACAAAAAGAAAAAAAAAAAGAAATGACAATAACAGGACAGGGCATTTCTGATAACATTGTACCTATTCATTCAATGAGAGCCAGAAGTATAACAGTAATAATAATAATAATAATAATAATAATAATAATAATAATAATAATAATAAATAAATAAATAAATAAATAATGATTTAGCAGTGAATATTCCATGAGTTAGCTCTTTCTGTCCATTTTTCCACATTGAATTGGGATTCATAATGAGGGTTTCAGGGAGGGAGGAAAACCAGAGGATCTGGAGAAAAAATTCTCTAAGCAAGGACAAGAATCAACAATAAACTGAACCCAGGTCTTGCAAATTTCCTTGCCTGTCATATGTTTTTATCTGGTCAAATCGAAAAAATAGCATCTTAGCCTTCCAGTCTTATTTTTCATAGATTCTAAGAGTACCCAATGTTGGATAAAAATGAAAGATTTTGGTGGCTATCATAAAAGGTCTGGGAATCAACCCAAGCCACAGTAGCAGGAGGTGAGCACTCTGCAACATCTTGCTCCCAGAAACAAAAGTAGCAGATTAAGACTAAGATTTCACATGCTTACTTTACAAAGACGGATTTTGCATCCAGCCACGGCAAAAATCTCATCATCACAGGACCAAGCATGGCCTTCCAGAAGTTCACCTTTACCAAATGAGAGTTTCTTGGTAATGACTGCCTGGAAGCTGTCATCATGCTCTGCAACGCCATGCAATATTAAAATTTTAAGCTTAAGAGTTGGTTTGCATGTTGTCTCATTACAGCAGAATTTTGATACTGGAAGAAAATTAAATCATATAATTTGAAGTATTCTGAAACATAGCTACACCAAAGGTAAGAAACGAAAAATTGATCTGTCAGTATTTGAATATAGAGACTTAGCAGGGAAAACATTGAGAGGACGAAATCGCGTAGGTGATCAGCAAGGTCGCTTATGAAGGAAATTGTAAAAAGGATTTAACTGCAACAATTTTACTATTCTCAGCAACTTCTCCGTGACAGTAGTCATTCAAAAAGTTACTTTCTGAATTTAAGTGAAGAATTTCGACGGAAAGAAGTACTCTTGCCCGGAATAACTTGTTTACAACATGTACACAGTTAAATTGTACAGTAGCAATCGATGCTTTATTTCGAATGCTAATGAATGTAGGTCCCACATTTGAAACTGCGACGCATTTACAGGAAGTTTACTGCTCGCAATGCGAAGGCATTGCACTTCCTCTAGGGCACACAAGGGGACAGCTGCAAACTTTGTACCTACAAAAATTACTAATCTTTGACTTGCTCTCTTCCAAAAACGCACAGTGAAAATTAACTCAAGACATTTCATTTTGAATTTTAGACTGACATACACTCTTGCAGTACCTTTTATCTCAAGAATCAAAGCCACTCCAAAGTCACACAGGACACTGAAGTATTTTCCAGTGCTTGAGTATTTGATGCAATTTTGTAACGACGGGCTGGCCGGCTCCAATGTTCCATTCAAACTCACATCTATCATCGCATCGCCTTTACCCGCCATTTTAAAAATTACCGTGCCAAGGAGAATGGATACTAGTACTTTTTTTAAGGGATGTCCCGACGGTACCCGCCGGGGTAGGGCCGGGAGCCGTGAATGAGAGGGTACCGTGTTGCGTGCGTTGGGGTTTGCGAGTTTTACACCCTGTCTTTGATTCTTAAAAAAAGTGGCTCCCATCAAGAGAAAAAGAAATACTGCAAACATTTAAGACCATTCAGAACTGTTAAGATAAAGATAAAGATAAACAACAACAGTAACAAAAAACTAAGAAACAAACAATTTGAATTTTTCCTAACATGGAAATTACACTGTTTCTCAAAACAATATAAAAGTTTAATCTATTTGATATACCTGCTTCCTGGTTAATGATCTGCTGCTTGAACAAAAGTTTGCAAAAACTAGCTCCCAGCAGAGATTTCAGTGAAACAAATTTTGTGACAGTACAGTTCTTGTGCATGCTGTCAAATGTGCTGCCTTTTATAATATAACAACCATGGATACCCTGCAAGAGGGAGGTGAATGTCTTTATTTCATTTGTTGGGGGGGGGGGAAGGTGCTGTCTTGAAAATTAGCACTGAGAGGACCCTTGAGGAAGACACAGAGATCCCTTTCACTTAACCCTTAACTCCTCAGGGCTACTAGTATCTAATTTCTCCTTACAATATCACCCCAAAATCACACATTAATGTCATGAGAATAAATGAAATAATCACCAACTAAAGAAGCTCTTGGCTGTTAAACAAATTCTCCTTGTCAGCACCTTAGGAAATGTATAGAGAACAGTATGGAGAATATTGATACCAATGTTAGGATGTAAAGGGTCAAACAGTGGATCAATATGCATAAACAATATTTTCCTTGTTTACTTTCCCATAAAATATCCATTTTAAGGTAAGTCATAGAGATGGCCATAGGGCAGGTATCACGGAGGGCAAGGAGGATCCCAGCCCATGTTTTCTGTAAACCCTAAAAGGGACCATTTTCTAGAGACAAAATATCATACTGGTTTTATATAGTGGCAAATTGTCAAGGTTTAATACCAAACAAACATTATTAAATATTAAATAAAAAATCTCACTGGCTAAAAATCAGCATCAAGAGTGAACACATAATTTTCCATTCTGTCATTCATTACACCATTCTTCTGGTACTCTCCAACTCTACGCTCATAGAAATTAGCTTTCCCTTCCAATGAAATGTTTTCCATAAACGGAAAAGGATTTGCAGTTTTGTAATGTTTTTCGAATCCTAATGCAACCAAAAGCCTATCGGCTACAAACTCTATGTACTTTCCCATGAGGTTACAGTTGATTCCAAGTAGATGACAAGGTAATGCACTTATCCAGAATTCTTTCTCTATGGTCACTGCCTCGCTTAGAATCTCACCAACACGATCTTTACCTGGCCTCTGCCTCAAATGTGAAAAAATTAAGCAAGCAAAATCACAATGAAGTCCTTCATCTCTCGATATCAACTCATTTGAGAAGGTAAGTCCAGGCATTAGCCCCCTTTTTTTAATCCAGAAAATTGATGCAAAAGCCCCAGAGAAGAAGATCCCCTCCACAGCAGCAAAGGCCACAATTCTGTCCCCAAAAGTTGCAGCAGAGTTCTTATTCATCCATTTGAAGGCCCACTCAGCTTTCTTCTTTACACAGGGGAAAGTTTCAATAGCATTGAAAAGTTTTTGTTTCTCATCCCGGTCCTTAATATAAGTGTCAATCAACAGACAGTACATTTCTGAGTGAACGTTCTCCATTGCGATTTGAAATCCATAGAAACATCTCGCCTCAGGAACTTGTATCTCCTGGTAAAACCTTTCAACCAAATTTTCTCCAACTATGCCATCACTCGCAGCGAAGAACGCTAAAACATGAGATATAAATTCTTTTTCTTGAGAATTCAGCTTTTCCCAGTCGAAGAGATCGAATCCGAGGTCGACCTCTTCCACTGTCCAAAATGAGGCGACGGCTTTCTTGTAAAAATCCCAGATGTCAGGGAATTTTAAGGGGAACAAGACAAACCTGTTAGGATTTTTTTGAAGCAGGGGCTCTTCGACTTCATCCTTTTGTAGATTCTCTGCAGACATCGCAAATCTCAAAATTGGACTGGTTGCAACATTACATCACAGCAAATGTATGTGTACTGCAATCAAAACAAACAATAATTCGAATGAAAACCCACGTGTATATGTGGCCATTAAGCTGTTCTTCTCTCGAAATCTACTGTGGAACGTGCGTAACACATTGCATAACGTAGATAACACAGTCCATGAATTACATGTGGTACCTGTCTGGTGTTCTCAAATATTGAGCATCAAAGACAAAACAAATGAATTGACGAGTGGAGACTGGTATCGGAGCTTCATCGCCAGGCAGCATAGCTCACTGGAAAATGGCGGACGATACTTACCGAAGGGCAGTGATTTGTCTAATTTCCAAAGAGGATTTTGTCTCCACCTGTGCCTCTGATCTTCCCTTCGTGGACGGTATCGTTCCTGTAGCTAATGGTAACTCTAAATTCATCGAAGAAGTGGGAAAGAGGTTTGCTTTAGAGATTAGAAACGGCCTTCAAAATTCCACTACAGAAAAGAGTTTGATACTGAATGCTTGTACTTGCACTGAAGCTGATCTAAAAATTCCACCATCTGATGGAAATTTGAAAGTTTTTGTTTTTAAAGACGTTCTTCAAACCCACCAGCTGCATGTTGATGACATCGTTTGGTGTAAAAGGGTGAACCCTTTTCCACTGGAGAGAATTGTCATTGGCGTTTCATCCGAAGAGAGATATTCATGGGCTAAGAGCGCATTAGTAGCATTTCTTCGCGAAAGTCTTTCAAATGGACCTATAAATGTACGAGAAAATGGCAAGCTGAATTTCTTTCATGATCAACGTAAAATATTTAGTGGAACCAAGGAAAAGCAGTGGTTAGAATTGTCTATACTGCAATGTAAGCCTCTAGTACAAGGAGGCCTTACATCAGAAACTTGTTTAGTTATATCCAAGCTGAATGACCAAGATGTTATTTTTGACTCTGAAATTAGTGAAGTGGATCCTCCTGTGGTGCCATCCAATGCAAATGAATTGTTTCTTGTCTCTGATTTTGCACGCCACTTCTCCAGGAGTCAGCTTTATGGGGAACCACTTACACTGTCTGGTAGCTCAACCAGGCCTGGCAACCATTTAAAAGCTAGTGTTTTGGAGTTCAATGAAGGAAGTCATAGCAATTTGGCATTTGATCCATCAAGCAGGCTCCTTGTGTCACTGTCAACTTTGATTGACCTACAGATGTTCAATGGCAGCTGGGTCAAAATCTGCACTGATCAAAATCAGGATGTAGTCTGTAATCAACAGCAGGAACAGGGTTCTTCAGTAGAAGCTTCAAATGCTTTGCATGACAGTCACAGCAGTGAGAAGTGTCATATGGTTCAAATTGTGGTAACTGCTTCCCAGAATGATGAAAATGAGTTTTTGAATAATAGTGAAATTTTCCCTGTGCATTCAATTGGCAAAATTGAAGATGGAATAGGATACATTGCCCCTTTACTCTACTTTAACTTGTTTCATGACAGCCTTTTTAATGAAAACCAAAGACCTAGTATTTATGTCTACCCAATCCCAGAAACCATACAGAAGGAAGAACGCAAGGTCACTAGCACTGCAAGCATGAGTAGAAAACCTGCATTTGCAAATGAAGCTCACATTGCCCTGGTGCACTCTCCTTATTACAAAGCCATGGATTCTTTTGATCATGCATTGGCAAAACATTTCAAAACTCCAAGAATGTTGACAGTGGGAGATGTATTCTACATGTTTCATAATTGGGAAGAAAATGGTGACCTTTCTAAGGAGTCGGGTTCACCTGATGATCAGGGACGCAGAAATCTGGTTGTTTTCTTTCAAGTGACAAGGCTTGTTTGTACAGCTCAGGAAGTAAAATCTTGTTTAGTGCACACAGAACATACTTCCCTTTATCAGGTAAGTTTCTATTGTTTGTTTCAATGGTCTTTGCTTCAGTCCACTTGGTATACAAGTTTAAAAGGATAAGACCTTTGCAGCTTATGGTTCATATACATTACTACCAGTACAATGTACTCATTGACTGAATGGATGTGATGGGAAAATATTTAGCTTTACAAATACATAGGTCACGGAGTATAGATAAAGCACAGTGAGGTTCATACTGTGATCATGAGTAAGAGGCAAATTTTTTTCTTTTTGACCTACAGTCTAGCCCCTCTTAGTCATCAAACATTTTATTGTACATGTATGAATGCTCCTCTTTCTCTTTGTTTCTTTTGTTTTTCTTGCATTTTGCATCTCAAGAGGTCATAATCAGGGCTCTGTTCAACTTTTTTACATGAACAAGAGATGTGCCTGTCTTTTCTGTTACATCTATATAAACATTACAAGAAAAGAAAGCAAAATCAGAGGCACTGGTACCAATTAAATTACTGGTATATGTACATGATTGCCTTTTGTTGCCAATTATATGTTGTATTATTGATAAAAGCTATATTTATATCATTTTATTTCTCAGAGAGGCACAGTACACAGTTATGTGCCACTTGTTTGGAGGAGACAGTTCTGTGATTTGAGATCAAATTACTGGGAGAAGTTTAGTCCTGCTGGGCTGAACAGTTACACTGCTGAGTTGGTCAATACCATACATCCTCATTTGAATACCAGGTATAGATCAGTGGCTTGAGGTTCTTGAATTATTAGGCCTTTAACCTCTAAGAATGATTACCATCTAATTTCTCATTACAATATCACCCCTGAATCACACATTAAGGTCACAAGAATAAAGGAAATGATCAGCAACTAAAGAAGCTCTTGATTGATAAACAAATTCTCCTTGTTGGAATCTTAGGTAATGTATAGAGAACAGTATGGAGAATATGCATACAGTTGTTAGGTGTAGTCAGGGTTACAATAAAGAAACTGATCATTTACTATTCACCAAGGTGAAAAGCATTCACTGGCCGGGATAGAGTCAAATACATGAACCTCAACAAATATTTCTTGAGAAAAGTTTTCATTGTTTTTCATTGATCATACACAAATATACTACAACTAACTGATTATATCTTTCTGCTCCAGAGAGACCTACCCCTTGCCTCCATGTAGTGTTCTCTTAACTGGCCCTCCTGGAGCTGGAAAGAGGACGATAGCTATAGCAACAAGCAAAAGGTTGAACATGCATACTTTTGAGGTCAATTGCTTTGATCTGATTGGTGAATCAGTGGCAGCTACAGAGACAAGACTGAAAAATGTGTTCCAAAGAGGTATGTCTCTGTCATATATTTGGCCAATAAAGTGCCTAGCTTTTTGTGCTGTTGCTTGAAGTGGACGACTATCTTTTAGTAATTTGGAGCAAGGAAGCCTATACATGTGTTTCCTTGTTTATCTATCTTTCATGTAGCTGCCACTCTAAGGGACACTTTGTGTAGGGTTCCTCAGCAGGGCACTCTTACAGTGCCTTAAGCTAAGCCCAGGGGTTTAAAATTTCAGTCAAATGAAAAGCTGTTGGCAGAATTCAATGTTTTATGTAGGTGGACAAGCCAAGTAAATTATCTGAGTATCTTCTTAAAATGGGGCTTGGTTGGTGTCAGGGTTGACCATGGATGGAACACTGGAATTTTCTAGGAGATGAATAACGTCCGCAGGTACAGGTGTAATTCTTGACTGAATGAGATGAAACGAGTGCAGACATATGACCCCAAAAATGCTTACACTTCTTGTAAATCGAACTTTTCATTGCCAATCTTTGATTAAAATACAATCCTACTATTTCCTTTGAGTAAAGGGAGGCACTGTTTTAGTATGGGATGTCACGCGAAAGAACATAACATATCATTGTAAGGAGATGTGATTGTTGTCTGTGTAGTGGGGTTCTCATTAGGCCCGTACAGTAAATCAGCGTGCCTGATTTTACCATATATTTTGTTTCTTTTGTTTAGCTGTTTTCTGCTCACCTTGTGTCCTGTTATTGTACAACATCCATGCTCTGGGAAAAGACAAAGAAGGAAATGATGACGAACCACGAATAGCAGCCACAATGCTCAATTGTCTCAGCAGCCTAAAGGACGATTCAGATTGGCCAGTAGTCGTCATAGCGACGTCATCCTCTGCTAATGACATCACCTCTGACATGTACTCATGCTTCCTTCACGAGCTGAAACTTGAAGCACCTAATGAGAAGGAGAGATGTGATATGCTTAGGGGACTTGCTGAGATGCTGTCTGTAGGAAATGAGGTGCCGTTTGAACCGCTGGCAAGGAGAACTGCAGGACTGGTGCTGGCAGATTTGGTTGCTCTGTTTTCAAATGCCGCAAATACTGCTGTAAAGCGCCTCTTAGAGGAGCGCCCTGGGAAACTGGGGCGTTCAACTGAAACCAAAAGCCAAACTTGGTTTCCGTGGAAATTTGAGCAAGAGCTAAGCAAAATGGGAGGCAAAATTTGCCAGCAGGATTTTGAAGATTCCCTAGAGATGCTTCAGTCGTCCTTGTCAGATGCGATTGGAGCTCCTAAAATACCAAGTGTTAAATGGGAAGATGTTGGAGGATTGGTAGAGGTGAAAGCAGAAATCTTGGACACTGTCCAGTTACCGCTGCAGCATCCAGAGCTGTTTGCAGCCGGGCTGAGGAGATCAGGTACAGTGATATGTTGTAAATTGGTCCCGAGGTATCGTTACTGCCGTATCGTCTAAATCCCAAAATTAAAATTTACCAAAACTGCTGAGTAATTTGAAATAATCGGGTCTGACTGTAGTTTTACCAAAGAAGTGACAAGACTTGTGACGAATTTGTGCCTTAAATACGTGTACTTAAACGTGCTTTTAACAACTTGTTGTTTCTCAAACCGAAACACTTGATTCCCTTGTCTCAAAAGTCTAAGAGCCATTCTCTTTGAAACACGAGGATTCAGCAAGAACGAAATAAACTTGACTCTCAACGACTCACAAAAGTTCTATCAATAACTTTCTCACAAGTTCACACTTCACTATACTTTCAGCAATCCTAATTGTTGCCCATTGCCGTTGCCTCACTTGTAAATTTAAACTAACGTAATATCTTTTCACAGGGGTGCTGTTGTACGGTCCGCCTGGTACTGGTAAAACATTACTGGCCAAAGCTGTTGCTACAGAATGTTCTCTAAACTTTCTGAGGTACGTATCGTGCAACTGGGTCACCAACAGTTTCTCCCCATTGCAAGGTCGCACCCCCCCCTTCCTACTGCTCACTGAAGTGGGACGAACTGGTAAAGGTAAAGGCGAAGTTGATGAACTCTAGGTGGCGAACTCGCATGGTTGGTCGAGGGTGGCAAACACCCGCGCAACTGCCATTTTTAGCCGTCGAAAAGTGTCTTTAAATTGTTTCCTCTTTGCCTCATTTATTTATTCTCTCACCGATCTTATTTTTTTCTTTGCCAGTGTGAAGGGACCCGAGCTCATCAACATGTATGTTGGTCAAAGTGAACAGAATGTCCGTGAAGTGTTTAGTCGCGCGCAAAGTGCACGGCCGTGTGTAATCTTCTTCGATGAACTGGACTCATTGGCACCCAATAGGGGGAGGAGTGGGGACTCTGGAGGAGTCATGGATCGGTGAGTTTGCGAGTGAGCACAATTTCCTTAAAGCTAGTTACACAAAAATCGATTTGATCGTCAGTGGAAGTCGTTCTGCAATTTCGTCGTCGCTTGAGGAGAGTACTCAGCTCTGAATTAGTGAATTACATTGTTAGATTGACTGTTAGATTGGCTGAATTCGTTAGTAATCACACAGATTATAGTTAACGAGTACGTTCGAACATACGATGGGCAAGATCGTCGATTTTTCGGATAAGCTAGTTGACAGATATTTTACTCACGGATGGGTGTAGATCGTTTTCTTTGTAGCGGGTACACTTGAAAATTGTGTATTTTATTTTTATTTTTATAAGTACGTAATCGCCATGGCTGCGATCAGCGTGTAGAGAACTTCCCGATTGAGGAAATTGAGTGTCACAGACAACACTTAAAATAATCTTATCGGCCAGTTAGAGCACTGAAAATTAGTACAGATATCTATTATATTACACAGCTGAATAGTGCTTTTCGCCCGCGCTATTTCAGAAGTGATTAGCTGGTACTCTTCCCCTCCGAACAGCTGAAGGAACAAAGTCGGAAGTCAAGGGATGCCATTTTTTCGGTATATCGATAAAAGTAAACTGATTTTTGGCTTCTGTGTGGTATATACTTAAACAATGATTCAACTCATTGTCATTGAAAGTGGTAAACATTTACCTCCACTTCGGTGAGCAATTGTTAGATATCGTAAGGAGACAGTGATGTCTCATGGCGGAACCTAGCAACCTGCCTGGAGCGCTGGAAAAAACGCGAGTGATCAAATTGTGATTGGTTTTAGTTTTGCATTTGATTGGACGAGACGGTGTTGAGGCAGAGGGACTCCTTGACGTAACACGAAAGCGGTTTCGGCAATCAGCTAGGCGTTGGTCAGAAATTGCTCAGCGTTTCATATTCTTTTAGCAAATTCAATTTTAATTCTTTCAATGTTTTGGGATTCTGTTCAGAGTAGTGTCGCAGCTGCTCGCTGAGCTTGACGGGCTTCACAAAGCATGTGACGTATTCGTCATTGGGGCTACAAACCGACCTGACCTTCTGGACCCAGCGCTTTTGAGACCAGGTCGATTTGATAAACTACTGTACCTAGGAGTGAGCGAGGACCGCAGATCACAGCTCAACATTCTCAAGGCTCTGACGAGAAAGTAAGTCCACTAACTGAATATTTATCGATGGTAAATAGTGAAGGTTTGTGTGAATGATATTGTTATTAGCGACGTAACGAGGGGATGGTTTCCGTTTTGTTTTGCGGTCCACGATATAAAAAAAATTGTCAGCGGTTATTACCGCGCTGACCTCTTCCGCGCTCGTTCCTGCGTGTGTGACTCGTTATTCACGCTCTCGACACTATTGCCTCGCGCTTTCGATGGAAAAAAAAAAAAAGCATATTTTCCAATCAAATTCGTTAAGGAAAATATTTAAGGGAAGTAATCAAGCCAAGCGCTGCGATAATCACCGAGAGAAAGATTTTCAAAAAATGTACCACAAAGCAAAAAGCGAATTGTCGTTGCGATGTGCCCCAGTTGGGTTTTAGTATGGCTACTCTTCACTTTCCAGAATCAATCTTTTGGCGTCTAGCTCCAGCTAGGGATATTGTAGCTGCTCGAAGCTGTCCATTTTGATAAAGGATGTAAGGCTGTGTGTTTTCGTTTCTTGCAGGTTTAAATTACACCCTGATTTGCAGTTGGAAATCATAGCGGAACTTTGTCCCTCCAACTTAACAGGAGCCGACTTTTACGCTTTGTGTTCAGATGCCATATTGCAATCGGTTAAGCGAAAGATCGAAGAACTCGAGCAAGGTAAAAACCATTTTCACAGCAAAGCGTGCGTAGTGAAGATTATTTCAGATGTCAGTTTAAAACCACCTGACCTTCTGCAAACACAAGGCGCTCGATTATTTTGCTCCTTTTTCTAATTCCATTTCTCGATCGGTTGCTCTGTTCTAAAAAGCGCGGTGCGTTAAACACGCAAGGGTAATGAATGGTCTGTTGACATGTCACCTTAAGTCTCCAACTATCATCAAATAACATCGTACAGACTTTCTGTATATCATTGGCTGCATTGACACAAAATTGCATGCAATCAGCGACATGCAAAGTCGCGTGAATAACAGGAACAGCCATGCTATGGAAGCGTTACAAAGTACGTTAACGGATTAACTCAGGAGTCATGCAGGCCCATCAACACATTTTTTCGTCTTAGCCCTTTACATACTCGTCCTAACCCTTTACATACTTGTCTGAATATTTAACATACAGTATGTGTATTCTCCAGACTGTTCTCTACACATTTTCTTAGCTGCTTACAAGGAGAATTTGTCTATCAATCAACAGCGTCTTTAGTTGGTGATCATTTCCTTTATTCTCGTGACCTTGGTGTGTGATCGAGGAGTGATATTGTAGGAAGAAACTAGATGCTAATCACCATTAAGGATCAAAGGGTTAAATACTTTCGCTTGTCTTGCATGGAATATTCGCCCCCCCTCTAAACTTAAGAGTACCTTACGGACACAGTGCTGGCTTTCTGTTAATGAGCGTATTTTTGTGTTGAGACTACACGGGAGCTTCATGAGTCAATACATAGCTTTGCTCTGTATTTTAGGCGAAGCTGACCCTCGTTTAGATGATACTGACATACAAGTTACGGAAGCGGATTTCCGGAAAGCTTTGGACAGTCTCACACCATCTGTCTCCCAGCAAGAACTCAAACGTTACAAAGACATTCAGCAGCGGTTCGCAGTGGCCAACACCGTTACAAAGAGTCGATAATTCATGGTAAGTTCGGCCGCAAGTTACTAAAGCAATTTTCAATCGAATGTCAAATGAAATCTGGGATCGTGTTGGTTTTACCTTACTTTATTCAGTCATTTGTGTAGAAAAAATGGCGCTACCAACCTGGCAGACGTGAAACTAAACCCTGAATCGCGACGGGATCAGTCACGTTTTTTACTGAGGCTTAATGTGCTGTGAGTTTTGTCTTTCTCCTTTTCTGATCTGCCGTTTTGATTACTTGATTTTGATCAAATGATACTCGATGGAAACGCTTTCTGTTTTGGATTATCATAATAGTCGGCTTGTCAGGAAAACCATTGACGAAGGTTGCTCCGGGATTAACATTAAAGCCTTGCGTGAGGTTCTTGGTTCTTTCGCTCGTTAACGTCTATAGGAGTTTTCATTGATAAGAGTATAAGCGAGATGTCGACTTTTTCTTGAGATTCTCTTTACTTTACGCCAAAATGATATAAACTTCAATAAGAGACCACTCATTATTAATCGCGGGAAGTGGGGGAGGCTCAGATGATGTCCTGATAGGGTCAATTATTCATAATTAAAAAAAAAAAAGCTTAAGTTTTATTTAAAGAAGCTCAGAAGGTCACACAGAACATGCTCTTCTGCTTGATGTTTTGAAAACTCATATACTTCAAATTCTGTTGAACTCACATTTGTATTCGAGGCAATTGGTTACACATGTTTTTAACTTGATATTTTCACTTTTATTACCATAGAGGGGGTGGGGCGTTATTAGAATACCACAGAGACCTGTGGGGGGATTAGATAAATTCTATTGGGACACGACCAAAACCCCCGACCCTCCTTACCCCCCCTGGGCGAAAAATAGCGACCGTCTCTATGAACGGCAAAATGATTTTCAAACAATCATTACCTCGTGATGGTCTGTCTACTGTTAAAATTCAGGCAACATTTTGGAAGTTTTCCATCGCAGTTGCTCTTCACCTTTAACATTGTCTATATTTTTATGAGTTTATTCTTTCTCGTTCGATGTCTCTAGGCAATTAAACCACGTTAAGATAGTTTTCCTTGTCTTCACATTAAAAATTAAAAAAGATGGAAAAAAATTGCTTGCTATCCCGCGTGGCTGGTGGGTTACTTAGCGCTTTTTTGTAATCAAACGCGATAGAGGCCCTAAAACGAGCCGCAAGACCTCGAGGGCAAAACAAAATCGATCTAGCTAAGCAGACGTTCTCTGATACTGTTATGTTAGATGGTAATATTCATTGATTCACACCACGATATCTTAGAAAGTTCTAGACGGTAATTTCTCCCCGGCTAGTCGTCATTGATGTTTAATTAAGTTACAGTGTACAAATGTACTCAAAGAGACAAATCACCAGAGTAATTTCACGAAGTCCGCGTGGCAATTTTCCACCAAGTCATTACTGCGTCAGTAGTAGATGTAGATAGAAATTGCATTCAGAGGGAAAATTTGCATTTCGGCGATTCAAATCTTCGAATTTCATTTTCAGTAGCTTCAGCGTTTACCTTAAAGCTATTTGTTATTGCTCTGATGTTTATTTGGTAACGACTGCTTCACTCTTGGCTAAGTACAGTAGCTTCGAGAAACACTTCTTAATAATGACAGAGTTAAAATTCGTGATTGAGGAAATTGCCCCTTCGCCAAATTGAAAATAAATAGATTGCAGGGTGATTGATTTTGAATTCCGGACGTATGCGGACAAAAGTTCTAGAGTTTACTTTGATATCTGTTTGTTCGGAAACTCAATGAGCATGTTTATCTCGATCTGCGATCGTCATTTTCGCGAGTTGATAAAAATCTAATTTCTTCATTCCTCAAGGACAACACACTGATAAACTGATAAATTACGAGATTATAAAAATCGATCAGTTGTGGCCTGGCGCGCGATAAGATAATGTGTAGGCTTGCTTGTATCTTATTGGTAACCTGCCGTTAATAAGTTTGCCCTTTCAATCTAGAAAGATCAGAGCGACAAAAGCTCTTAACGCCATTAAGAGGATTCTTTGAAGAGAAAAGGTGGATTTCTAAGGCTATATAATGACACAAAAGCGTGCCTTCAGCGTAATATGCCCTCGATAATATTTATCTACAATAATGTACGTTCTCTATGAATGTAATATCCATGTAGAAGTTCATGTCGTGCACTATTGAAGAACATTCTGGCTTGTAATGGGTGTACTCTTCGATAACTTTGCTTTTGAAATCGTGCTGCGGAGTTTGTTTTGTCTTCTTTAAAAGGATACCACGCGGAGAGATAGCACTTGAAGCTAAGAAAAGCAGATAATTATTTGAGAGAATAGCTCTCCTGTTGGTTGCAATTAAGATATTGGTTTTTCCACTGGTCTATTAAGCTCGATTTTCCATCACCGCTTGGTCTAGTTTGGCATTTTATTACTTTACTAAAATTCAAGAAGGGACTAATTCACGTCTCCTTGGTGTGAATTGCCCTTTTTTGACAATCTGTTTTTAGCCTAACTCATAGTTCCTCAATTGTTCGCAATCAGCATAAACATGACAATATTTTTGTTGACTGTAAAGGAAACAGCTGTGAGAACTATTTTCATCAAAGGCACGTGGAGAATAGATCTGTTTCTCTGGAAAATTCGCTTTTCTTTATCAAGCCAATATTGAGATGAGTATATGTTGTGAAATCTGTTGCTGGGAGTAATTTCAATAAACAACATCCAATCTGCTTTCGTACACAGCTGTTTCCAGAATCAAACAAAATAGGCATTTTTTGCAGTGTCATAGTAAGGGGACATTTTAAGATACTGGCAGCCATTATTATTTTGCCCGCATTACGTTTAGGAGCTCGCCAGGAGACAATTACGTCTGGAATCCGCCTTGGTTAGGACAAAACTCCTTTTGATTTTTTATTGCAGCGGGCGATTGTGTGACCTTCAGTTTGCACCTAAAGGTCAGGCCATTTTTGATTGATTATTTTGGTTTCATTTTATTGAAATAAGCCGCTTGTTTGACTTGTTTATTTCGTTTTTCTCGTACCTCTTACTGTTCTTGTTTATATCAAAATAGCAAAGAAAGATGTCAACTTTTGTTATCAGTGTAAGACAAAGGAACAATTAGCGTCCCTCTCCGAGTATCGGTCCCTCAGACCGTTGGATTTCGCGCTTAGATCCACAGACAACTTTTTGATGCGAAAACTGTGCACAATTTAAAATACATTTCCTAGAAATCTTGATACTCATTGATTTGATGTAATCGAATGCCCTCAAGCAATAGAATCCCTTTTCCGTGTTCTTTTCCAAGCGTCATCGTAGCAGGAGAGGGGCTCGGATCATTCTAGAAAGTATGTAAATTGAAGACACAGTCGATGGTTTGCATAACTTTCGAGAATTGTCCCAACCACCCAAGTGTTTCAGTGAGGTTATGTAAACACGGAAGAAGTATTCAATTATTTTCACAAAACGGTGCTCACGCTCAAATCGAGAACTTCGCCGCACACAGTCATTTTCTAACACACCTATCGACCAATGAAAGCTCATTAATAATCTCTCAGTTATTTTTTAAAATGAGACATATTCACGGTGTAACTGTGTGTACTAAAAATTCCACGCGAGTAGAGATGCAGAAGAAATAAATTGAAAAATAATCAAGATGCTGAATGTTGAATCCAGTTTTGCCCCTAAATTTTACTCGGAGGTTTACATCACAGCCACAAAAACCGTAGACTCGCATTGTTTTGTTCTATTGTGTTCATCTCAGATTGAGGCGGTGGAAAATCAAGAGAAGCAATATTCGATTTCACTCTTACTAGTAATCGTCAAATGCTTGTGAGTGTGTTATTTCAAAGTTATCATTCCCCACTTACTTCCTTGCGATTCAAATAAAAATTATATTGAAAAAATCTTATCTCAAACGAAGCATGTATAGATACAAGACAGCTCCGCTGTACATCTTGTGCATCGACAAACCTTAGCTGTATTGGGTGCTCTTTTCGGGTTGAACACCTGGTAAGAAGGACAGGATATTTTTTCAGTGACCGGTAGACGACCCTGTCTTGGATTGACCTGTCCTCCAAAGGAATTGGTTTCCTGTTGCTGTCTTTAACTTGTGTCATTCTTTTGAGATGAAAGGTATCAGGAAGTGATAACAATTAGTGTAGCGCGGACAGAGAATTTCAGAAGTCGTAATTTATGACAGTGAAAATCGATCTTTGGTAGATTTTATTATAAATTCTTTCGAAGAATAGCGATAGATTTTGCCCTAAGAAAGTTCTAAGAATTCGGATTGATCTATCACCTTCGGTTTCGAATTTTTTTTTTTTTTAATTTAAATTTTGGCTCGTACGGACTTTGCATTGATTTGCACTGATATCGGTATAATTCTTTGGGTCAAAAGGAAAGAACATTCATGACTCGAAAGTCCTTTCGATAAAATTTTTTATCTCAAAGTAACCTTTAAGCTAGCAAAATGAAAAAGCCGTGAAGCATCAAAGAGAAAGCAACAAATCTAAGCAGAGCAGGGATAATTGTGAGATCAAAGAAGATTTTGAAAGACTTGAAACAGCATTATACAGAACAATCTTGTTGATGTTAGGATTTGATCTTTAGGGCGAATATGTAGATTTTTCTCCTGTATGTGTCGACTCTGGAATAAACATGCACACAGATGTTTTTATTATTTTTTCCCCTTTTCCTGTAAACATTGCTTTCGAAATTACTATCTATAACGATTTTGCGAGTCTGGTCACGCCTGGACTAAGCAGCCAACTAACTAGGAACCAGTGTTTCCGTTCTTATTGGATGAGGTATAGCAAAGGCTTTCCTGCTCGGTTCTGGTGACTTCTGAACACATGCACGCGGCACAGAGAGTGATTGATAGACAACATAACTGTATAGAATAGTTAAATTATGCAACTTGCACGTGAGCTCCCCTAACATAACAAACCCGAGGCAAGGTGCGCTAAGAGCTGCCAATTAAGACGTTTAAGAGATGCGCAGATGTCCTTCTAGAATTTTCTTTCTACTTCCTTTGTGGTATAATAGTGCTGATCGGGTTCATTCAGCAGATTTGCTTCTGATATCGTTGCGGTTTGGGTTGTGCATATTCTCCGAACATGAGTAAACGCGCGCTCCGCTCATAGCTTTAAGATTCAGAACCGCTGCAGTCGAGAAGTCATTTCGATAAAATGGCTACAGCTCCAGCTGATAGTGATGATAACTGCGAGGCGCTTCCATCTGTCTCAGGTTTGCTTTCAAGTTTTTGACGGACCTTTTCTCGGTGATATGTTTATTTATTTTTTATTTCTTTGCAATCATTACAATTGCTTCAATACAGCTTTTACACTTAAAAACTTTCAATCCTGCATGCAAACTTCTTCCAGTACATAAAGGAAATATCATTTTCGAATAATTCGTGGGCTAAAATTGAAATTGGATTTCTTTCGTGCAGACTTTGTAACAACCTCTAGAACAAAGTTCTGTTGTCGTATCTTCCTAAGCCTTGGCGGTCTCTTTTCAGTCCACGTTCGTTTCATCCTCGCGCTTCCTACTAAAAGAGTGTCAATAAATTGCAAACAACCTGAATTTATTTTGGAACTCACGCCCACGCCGAAGACAGTTTTAATGCCGTGTACTATTCTCGGTCGACTCTCAAACATGACCTTAATGCTACTGGCATTCGTGAGATGACTGCATTTTGTCTCTAGTTTGTGACAGAAGTTAAGTCGTTTGTGTAATCACGATTGGTTTAGCTACATTTAAGCACAGAGTCGAAAATATGAAATCTAAAAAAAAAAAAAAAAAAAAAACCGCTTCGTATTCAAACCAGACGAGCAGGTCACATATTCCGTCGTGCGAGACGACTTTGAAGAATTGGAATTTCGCAAAAACCACAAAGCATGTTTTAAAGAGCAACTAAGATTGGATTGATACCATAGTAAAGAATCAGAACGCGGGGCTTTGGCTGTCTAATTACGTATGTATGATCGGTTTATATAAAAAAAAAATGAATATTTATGATTTCTCTTTGGTTTTACATAAATCGTATATCTTAAGTTTCAATCATTGGACATTGCCTAGTGTGGCCTGTTTATACATACACAGTTTAAATTATTTTCCTCTTTATTTCAGATACAGTGATGAATCACATTAAGCGTGGAAGGTATGTTGTGATTTCAGATCTTTTCTTTGTTTTAATGATTTTCTTGTGTCCAACAGAAGATTAATTTCAGCAATAAGTTATTCAAAAGCACTTCATTTTCGTCAATGAGTGCCAAGAAACTAGAATGTTCATAAAAAGAATTCCGAGAATCTTTCACTTTGAATACCCTCTTCAAAAGCCGCATTTATATTTTTCTCTTTATATTCAGATATTCGGTGTTTGATTGTGTAATTTCAGCGATTTCAATGCATAAGTTTGGTTGGTGGAGAATATATAGAAGATTTTCATAGGTGACAACGTTCTGTCATGATTTCAAATTGTTTAGTTTATGTATATTAAACGATCATGTTTAATACATTTGCAACTTTTTATGACAGTAACGCATCGGAAAAATTGGTACTTCGTATTTTTCCGAACAGATACTTCTCTAAAATCATACAACAAGTCTACTGATGCTCATTTTAAAAAGCAGTGTTTAGGTGCTTTTGAAAACAAGCTGTTTTAGATTAAAATGTGAACCTCTTCAAATTGTTCTGTTGAAAGAGCGCACGTAATTCTTGAACCATAAGAGAACGTTCCTCGCGCGTGAAGCTTTTTTGAGTTTAATTTACGTTCGTTCAGCAGGGAATCAAATTAGCACGAATACCACTTAAGATAGAAATAGCGGAGGAAATTATGTCCAAATGGATTTCGTGTTTGTTACTCGCCTTTCTCGTTTAATTGGCAATAGTGGCTACCTTTAAGAGTTCCAGAATGTTCTCTGCATATCTGCGAGATCGTGAAAGCGATTCAACTTTTAGGTTTCCACAGCATGTGGTGCGGAAGTGATTCCTCTTTAACCAAAAGCCAATTTTTATTCTAAGCAGACAAGAAAACAAACGTGTACGTTGCAAATCTTTGCTTTCATATTTAGTTCAGTGCTTAAATATACTTTTAGTGGATTTTAATTCGTTTCCTTCCTCAAGTGACACTGATACCTATTTCTCAAATAGCGTACAAGTATGTTTTTCGACGAATAATATTAAAATAAGGACTTTGAGCACTTAGGCGATCGATTGTTTTTCTGGGTGAAATTTTTAGCCATAGAATCTCGCTTATGACCGATATTGCGTATTTTTGGCGGTTCAGAAATTGCTCATTTTCATATCAAGCGAGAAGATCTATGAAAAAAAGCAATTACTAAGCTGCTTTCGTCGCTATTATTACTATCATTGTAGGTGGTCATTATTATGCTAAAATCCACGAGTTGGAAACTTCTGGAACTTTATTTCGTGGGTCGAGGGATTTTCAACCTGTCAGCTAAGCAATAAGATTATATATTTAGCGACACTTAGCTTGTTTATATGATAAACAAAAATGTTCCTGCTGTCGGTTAACAGTTAAAACTCCTTCAACCTCGACCCAGCTGGTCTCGAAATATTGTCAATTATTATTTTAATTCAGATGGGCAAATTTTGTAGTGACAGCGGGTTGTTCAGGAAGACGCGTTATATAGCTGACAGATTAGTTTACGTCGTCGATCAAAGTCTCATTGCTGTGCTAAAAACCGCTTTGATTATCGTCCAGATTATCATAATTTCTCTTTTCATTGTTGTGTGAGTTTTATTAATTCTTTCTCGAACGATCTAACGATATAACATCACAGTTGGACCGCAAGATCTCAAATTGTATGGGTTTTATGAGTTTTAGATGGGTACTTCTTGTCCGCCATCTGGCCGCCTTCAACGCATATCGAATAAATTTGGTCGCCGTTATAAATAGAAAGTTATTTAATATGACCTTCTTTGCTTACTTCCATGATGGTTGTTGTGTTTTCGCCTCAAAAGATCGCGTTACTCTATAGTTGTTCTCCTGAAATCGTGTGTCGTTTCTTTATTGTGAACTGGTTTTGTTTCATATTGATGTTCCGACCGCATAAGCTCTCCGAAGTCGCACTTGGGATGACTGCGAAATAGCTTTTAACTACCAGTTCAGCTCGTCGACCTCGATCACTGATTCTGTCATCACAAGAATGCGAAACATCACGTTTCTTTTTCATTTTTTTTTTTTTTCGGTATCACGATATGTCTGAAGAAGCTAGAAAGATACAAAACATTACAGTTAGCATTAAGCGTGTGGGAAGTTACGAAATGTTGAAAGGTGTAGAATGAATTCCTTGAAAACCAAAATTACACGAGATGAAACATGAAAAGGAAACAAAAAGGAAACAAAATACTTACCATAAAGCAGGTTAATGCGGGTTGTAATATAATGTCGCTATTTTATTTTTTGTTTTCATGTTGCTTTGTTTTTGTAGTTCTTGGTATTTTTTTCAGTTCATTTCTCGACTGACAAGAGCGGTGTTTGTGTATTCCTCACTTAGACACGTGCAAAACACCAGCTTCATCCAAACTTACACACTCAGAAAATTTTCTCTTCAATTGGTGACTTCTTATAGTTTTCAGGTTGTGCATAAAGTTTCCAAATCATATTAATTCCAAAACTTAAAGTACGAGGACTGTACTCGTTCTCTTTCATTGGAAATGTAATTCATTTCACGTTGAGTCAAATTGCAAGCAGACCCTAAAACTAAGTTTTACGATGATTGGTTTTACGAAAGCATGCGAGTTCGCAGATACACCGAATTTGCCTTGGGACTGAAACAAGAAATCTTGGTTGCTTTGCTCTTGGCTTTTCCTCGAAAAGTTCTGTGCAACCAAAACTCGACAGCTTTCTTGTATTGAGAGAATTTTCAGACCTTCGTGTACTGGTAACGCAAGTGAGTGGCCGCGGTATGAAACACTTGATAAGTCGATCTTCATCTCGCACGGGTCGCGTGGGTTAAGTTTGTTATTCCTCTAATCTCTTTATTGTTTTCCAGTTGCAATCCTACTTTGTCTCCCGTTTGCGTCTAACAGTAGGATTCGTGCACGAAATCCTTTAAAATGTACTTATTTTCTATCCAGAACCTTCCATAAGGAATTGTTTCTTTGCTATTTTTTGTTCTAGTGCTTTCGACAACTTCTGTCCGGCTTTCCTGGAGTTCTTGTTTACCTCATGTAAATTAATAGGATCTAACTTTTGAGTTATGATCTTGTTGAGGTGTAAGTCGGTAATTTTTTCCTTAAATCTTCTAATGTACCATAATCCCCGAGCTCAATCGATTTAATCCATCTAGTGGTGATGATCGATTTTCAAGCCTCTTTGACGAAAGAAAAGCTCGCGATCTTGGAGTCGTTTGCGGTGACACTTACATAAGTCCTTTTGGCTCATCTTTGTAATTAAGTAGATACGCGATCCAAAAATTTGTACCCCTTTTTTTTTTTTACTTCTACAAAAATAGATGTCTGAATTTTTTTCTTTTTTTCTTTTCGAGTGACAGCTTATCACCATTTATATATGTGAGAGTTATTAGGTCAACAAAGCCGTGCATTCCCAACTTTTCGGCTTAAGAAAATTATTTTCTGTTTCGTCAGCTGAAACTCCAATACTAATGATAAAAGTATCGAACCATGTACAAATACGTTACTTTTCCTTGGAAACAAGAAGTGAGCATCTTGAAAACCAGACGGAATTTTCCTCAACTTTTTTTTTTATTTTTTATAACAGAGTGGAAGGCTCTAAAATAAATTTTCCCGATATGAAAATTAATCTTCCAAATAATCCCGGATAATTGCTCTAGAGACTTAAGGCTATTTCGAAAGCTGACCGTCTCCCCAATATTACCAGTGCATAATTTTGCGAAAAAAAATATGCTAATGAAATTAAGTTCCACATTTAATTTGTTTTTGTTCTCCCTCATTCAAGGGGATCGCGCTCGAATTTTTTTCTAATTTACCGCTGCGGTCTTAGTTTTCCTAAACACCTTTTTCGGTGTTAAGCTTTCTAATCAAATTTTTATTTTCGTGCAGGCGAAGTGTACTTGCCCCTAGCAATTGTTTGTCTTTATTTTCCGCTTCCAGAACATTCGCCTTTGCGTTTTGAGCTGTTTGCTGAAACATTAGACCTGTTTGATTTCTTATGCAAACAGCTTTGTGGAGACAGGTCGAATGCGAGATAACATATGCACTAAACCTTCGTTCGCGGGTCGTTGTTTTGGCGTGGAACTTTCTAGAACGCTTTTGGAACTGGCCGAAACGAGACATGACATACATCATGTATTTCATGTCAAATTGAATCTTCGCCTCTAATTCCGCCGCGAAAACCTTAGGGAGGGAAGATCTAGTTTTTTTCGCATAAACAAAACTTCATCTATAATTTTGGAACGGTTATATATGTGAAGAACTCACTGGTTTGAAAGTGTTTCACAGGGACAGTATTCAAAGACGATATTGTTGTGTTCTTTTGATAGCAAAGAACAATTTCGCTTTATTCAGCCGTGTGAAAACCTAGCGATGCACATCAAAACCAGATGTGCCACGAGAACGGTTTTGTGGTTTTCGTCGTGTGCATGACAAAGCAAACGATCTACCGTTTCGATACTGAAAAATTGGAATTTTTCAGTTTTCTTCATCAGCGATCGTCGATCTTACATTGAATTTCTGGAAATCGGGTCAAGAACGGAAGTACTATACTCAGTAAATTTTAAAAACTGTCTTGTCACAACAACCTCTTAACCTGGAAAGAAAACCATGGCTTCTAATACCAGGGATCACTTTGAAAGGCTTGGAGAAAGGTTTGCTTTCATTTCTCTTCCATTTCGTGTCAGTGCGTTCACGATTGAAGTAACGATTAGCCATAATCATCTATTTTATGGACTTCATTTGCGTACAATCGCTGTCCAAATTCTTTAAAAATACGTCGCGTTTCTGTGTGAAAATTACGGTGCAAATTTGTTTGTAAACAGGCGCTTACATAAAAATATAGTGTACCTTGGCGCACGTAGCCTTCGCACAAGCAATTGCTTTGTGAAATCGTTATTGTGTGTTTTAATTTACCTTACTAGTGGCAGCTTAATTTTTCTAGTATTCAGTAACAGCCATTACCTCCGTCATTATGTAATTTTACCAAAACAAAAATATACATTTTATATAACGAAATGGTTGTTGAAACCGTGAAAGATCAAACCTTGTGTCACTGCCAAAAAACCAGAACATTAGCGCGTTATCTCAAGAAATAGTTTTATCTTTTATCTTTTATGTAGCAAGGAGGCCTATTAAATATTATCTTAAAGTTTCAATTCTTACACTATACGATGCTCTTATAACTTTAACAAAAGAATGTAAAGCATCACGAAACCATAAGTTTAATTGACCCAAACCTTTATCCTTGTACAGTTAGCTAATTCCTCCTAACAAGGATTTAGATATCGTTAATTTTCTCACGAATGACTCGAAATAAACATTCTGCCAAGTTTAGTTCGAATTTTGAAATATTCTGCTCTTGCGACGGCAGTAATGGACGGCATCTGCATCCAATTAGAAAAGATCGTGGATCGATGTGAGAATTTACTATCTCTTGCTTTGATACCTGAACCAGTCAACCTGTTTTAAAGTTTGATTAATTGAGGGGTCGTTAGGGGGCACGTGTCTCTCTTGTTATCACGTTTTTGTCTACAGATAACCTGTCTTGTATGACTTTCTAGAAGTTTCACTGCATTCGACATGCGCGATGGACATATGTAGAGATTTTTGAATAGAGAGTCACTCCACGTGATGTTTTGGATAACGCCCCGCTGTTCGACACAATGTATATTGCGTAATGTATCGTCTAGTTTACTCCTTTGAATTGGTTTTTTTTGTTTCTTTTTCATTCTTCGATAACTACCGCTACGAGAGAGTTGGCAGGGGCTGCCATTACCTAACCAAAGATTGGCATGTTTATTTTGACCCCTGTCCTTCTTTATCGCGAAGTTTGTCTATCGTTTGTACAATTTTACATTTTTTTTTTTAAGCGGACAGCGCTGAACACGGCGGGAAGTGCCTAGATAACAATCACATTCGCTATTACTATTATTATTACTCAAGCCACGTATGCTTTGCATAAGCTTGCCAGCTTTAATTAAAACATGTCAGAAGTAGAGAAAGATGTTTTTCGTCTTATTACGAGCGTGAGACAGAAAAAATTCTGAGTCCCCATGAGGAATCGAACCTCAGACCTTCGGATTTCCGCGCTCCGATGCTTTACCACAGAGCCCCAGAGACTCTACGATGGAGCTAGGTCTATTACGAAGTTCATATGATAAGCGTCCTGCGTATTACTAAGATCAGCTGCGTCGATGTCAGAAGTAATGAGCAACACAAAATTAGAGCCATAAATACTTTTGAAATCTGATCTTATCCTTCCAGGTTCTCTTCAGAACGTAATTTTTAGAGATTGGTTGATTTTATAAATTATCATTTAGGGTGTTGTCTTTATTAGAACGCTTCAAATTCTGCGCAAACGAGACCTATTTTCACGGTAAATCAAGATCGGTTTTGAGATGAAGAAAGTTTTGAATAGATATGACTTGCTAATTATTATTGTGATAATAAGACAAAGATATTCAAAGCTCAATGCAACTTCTAGATTCTTCGCTTTTTTTCTGCTTCGATTCACCTGAAGTACCTCCTTATCTTTTATTGATAACTTCATCGGAGGTTGAGATATTCAGAGTTGTTCTGCCTTAGACGCAATAACTATAGTTTTTACCGAATGTTTACACTTGGTTTACACTTTAAAATTAGCTGAGTTGCAGTCTGTAATTTTTTTTCCTAATCCGGCGAGGTAAGGGGGTAAGTTTCTAAAGAAACTGTGGTGCTGCGTCGGTGGAAGAGAAGAACAAGGTAACTCGGCATAGCAAACTGAGTTGATAACGCAAATTGACTGCCGTAAAGAGTTTCAAAGCTGACGTTTCGAGCGTTAGCCCTTCGTCAGAGCGAAAACAATTGGGTTTTTTCCTTTTTCGGTATCTAATCAGTTGAGAGAGTGACACGGGTCTGCAGTAGCCTGCGGCAACACAGCATTCAAATGTATCCGCATGCGCAAGCGTTGTAAAGCCCAGGTCGTCTGCTTTTGATAGGCTGTCAAAACCAATTAGTGTAACTGGAGATATAAACTACACGACCCAGTCAATTACGGTTAAAACGTTCATCTTCTTCCGATAGAGTTGAAAACGAAATTGTAAATCAACAGATTACCCGTGATTAGATGAGCTTTGTGTTTGAAAAGACTCGAATTCTTTTCCCTCCTTTTTTTTCTTCTTCTGATTCTTTAAACGTTTCATTCCTTTTTTTTTTTTGTTCCCCATGCGTTCATTACAAAATATTTTAGGCTGTCATCCATTGGTGATGCTAACTAAGAGATAGCTTCGAGTCTATCGTAGGTTAATTTGCTAGACTAATCACAGAACAATGTAAAGCAAAAACTGACGCCATTGTGACTTCCCAGGTCATCTAAGATTGTTGGAGTCACGAAATTTTTGATACTCTTTCTCAAGCAGCTTACTGACTCGTTTGTTCTTTATCACAGCCTTTCCAGTGACAGCAAAAGAATCCTATCTGATCTTCTCAAGTCGCCTGGCTTTTCCTCGGAATTCTTTTCAGTGGGAGAAGAAAGCACTGAAACACCTGGAGAAACTGTCCGTCTTGCGTGTTTTGACATAGGGGTCTACCGCCCGGAGAACATAACATGGAAGGTCGAAGGAGAGCACGTGTTACTCCAAGGAAAGCGGTCTCAGAGAAACGGCAAGGGTGCAGAGGGTGCGAAATTCTCAAGAGCTATTCCCATTCCCCAAGGGGTGGACCCTAAACGGATTACGACACGTTACAGTGATATAGATGGACAATATATCGTTGAAGGAGTGAAAGGAAAAGCGAAGCCGCGTCCAAGAAGGACTAATAGTGTATATTTTGACGAGACTAAGGTCTCATTGTCGGTTGAGTTAGGAAGTTCGAAAGCACAAGGACTCGCGAAAGCGGCCACGGCCAGTAACCCGCGAATGAGTCGTTTAGAAAGATCAGCGAGTTGCAGTCCTGCTTTCTTTACGCCAACTGATAAAATTGAAATTTAGAGAGCCCGTATCTTGTGACGATAGTTTGCTTTATACGTCGAGCGTTCTTTACTTTGAGTTGAAATACTCCACGGCGCAAGCAGAGTGGATGGTTAAACCTTGTGAGGTGAATTGATCGGGCCACTACAGTTTACCATTGTCATATTTTGTCCAAAAGTCGCTTCGCTTAATTTTTAATTCTAGACAGTGTGTATATAGTGACGTATTGCGTCGCAAGTTATTGATCATTTTATCTCAAGCTCTTTTTTTCCGGTGTCCTGGTCTTGTTTTTCAAGGAGGTGCCATAATTTCAACAGCCAATCAGAACAAACGAAATATTGCAGGGAGCCAATGATAACGAATGGAAAACAAGTGAACTGTAGAAAGTGCGGGAAAATATGAGTGGCAAAGACGCCTTTGTTAAATTTACATTTGATTTAGGTAAGAGGGTGGTACGAGTTTTCTAGGCAAGTTAGATTGAAGTCGAAAAAGAAAATTCAAATTCATGCGTTTGAAAAAGAATCTACGCGATCTTTTGTTTAGTTATGTTTTGCGGCGATATTTTTGTTTATTCATTGAACATGTTAGTCTAGGTAGCTTGGAAAGGAGATGCATTTTTAGTACTACATCGCCGTAAACATATTTCAAGATATTTTAACCTTAATGCCGAAAGCCCGGGAACATGTCGTGATTGGTTTTTGTGTTGCATCTGTTTTGTTGACAAAGAGGCACGAATTTTCAGGACCAATTTCGGAGCAAAGTAAAGCAAACCAATCCATCCCTTATTACGTTCGACAGTCAACCGAAAACTTCTCAAATTGGAACAAATGATGGTAAATATCGCATGTAGCGTAAGAAACGCGTGAGTTTGTATTTATTGTTAGAGAAAATTTTGCTTGTTTATCACTTTTTTAGCTTCTTTACACTTAATTATAATGTGGCCCGAAGTGTGTTTAGCTTGGGGATTTCCTCAAGGGTTCAAAAATGCTTTGGAAATTTGAGGATTGAGCAGCTTAAAATTGCGGACTGTTTGCAGTAGAAATTAACGTCTAAAGGTAAGGAAGCGTGGATCCCACGCAAGTGCCTAAACACGCTCGCAAAAGGGTTCCTCGCGTGTGACACCATTAAGTTATTGCATTCAACTTTCGTACATTGTGACATGGGAATAGAAAACGTTTAAGTTAAGTAATTTAAGATAATATAAGGTATGTTTTCCCAAGCAGATAAAATTGAGAATGTTATTAAACACAATTAGCTCCAAAATGATTTGTCTTTACCGCTCTTAATCATAAAGCCCCTAGCCTACGTGTAGCAGTACCCTCCCAAAGCTCCCAAGTATATTTAACAAATATATGCGTTATTAAGAAAGCGTGATGTCAAGATGGCTGGATATTGGCCGAATTCTTTTTCTCGCGCAGCCGCGAAAATGAGCGCTAAAGAATTGGAAAGGGAAATAAGTGGGAGAAATTTCCTGTGTAGGACATGTCTTCCACTACGGCAGGGAGATTCTCCTTCCGATATTTTTGAGGGAAATAAGCGGTCGTCTGGAAGCCGCGGGAGAAACCGCCAGAAAATTCCTCCGATATTTTTGAGGGAAATAAGCGGTCGTCTAGAAGCTGCAGGAGAAACCACCGGAAAATTCCCATCGGCTGGTGGCGTTTATCAAGAAACGGCATCGGATTAGCTTCATTCTTAACGAAATAATCTTCCTCGAGGTAATCAAACGATTTTGCGATCATCAAACATGTACAAGTTGAAAATGGAAGACTCTTACGCGTTTTGAGTATTTTAACAGTGAATTCTTGCGCCTACTGAGTTCTCGCGCACAGAATGGTCGAACAATTATTTCTGTAGAGCTAACTTCGCTGTTAGATTGGAGAAAGAATTCGAGAAAGAGGGGTAGAACTCTCAGAACACGGAAGCTTGGGAGTAGTGAGGTCTAAATCTAGGCGTGGAAGGTCTACGACTGTCGAAAATAGATAAATAATTAGTTAAATTAGAGGGATTAATGTTGTTTGCAAATGCAAGTGCCATTCCTAATTCGAACCCCGTGTTCATTAGCAGGCGAACAGATGTCACGTACTAAGAAACTCTCCTGAGTTTCACTTTCCTGTTCGTTATCTTTATTCCGCTTATAATCTTATTTTTTTACATCCATAATCTGTGTGCATTAAATAGCAATTGAAATTTTTACAATGCTCTACCATACATTTACATTTACGGCTCATTTGGCTTCATCATTAAGATGGCAATTTCACGAAGATTCCTATATTCAACACAAAAATGAACAAAATTGGCTTCTTCATAAAAAGCAAATGTACAAATTCTTTTCTCCGGAATCTTTCATTAAAAAAAAAAAAAAATTCACAGTCAAAATTCTACCACACATCAATAGTGCAATTCCTTCTTTTCCTTCCTCAGAAAAGTGAACTTACTTATTCAAAACAATTTCGTTGCCAACCGCAATCCTCCATAATATCAACAACAGACTGACAATGGCGTAGCCCGAACGTTCACAAACTTTCAACTCCTTTTTTTTCCAGGCGGGATCGAGTGCTCTACTTCATTTCCCAGTATTTTATCTCATGACCCAGTCACGAAGTGTCCTCGTCCTCCTCGTCAGATTCCGCCGGTGGAACTGGGAACTGGCTTCTGTGTTCCACTGCCCAAGAATTCCGGCGAGCCTTGATTTTAAACTCTCTCCATTTTTGGCCTGAGGCTAACCAAGAAAAAAAAAGGGAAAACATCTTTTGAGCTCAAAAGACAAAAACCAACAATGAAATGATGTACCAGAGGATAAAATCGTCGACAACGGCGACACGAGATGAATTCCAAGTTTTCTCAAAGGTTTCCACCATATAAGTTTTCCTTACCCAGGCTAGACGTTTCCACCATTGAAATCTTCCTCTCTTGGAAAGACTAGAAACAAAGGTGCACTGATTAATAAAAGGCCCTTCCGTTTGATATTGAAATGAGAAGCATCGTTCGTTAGAAACAAAGATAAATGAGCTCAATTTAGGCGTCATTCAGACGCCAACGGCAGGTCAGGAGATGGGAATTTTGTCATCAGCTTTGGAACTCAGAACAGGAGCAATAAGTGTTACATGTCTGTGTTTTAACGATTGATGCACTCACCTGATTAGGGTCCCGTTGAGCTGCGACACACATGATGGATAAGGCCTGCTCCATCGCTGAACATTGAAAAAGAGACATGATTAGCAAGATTAGAATTGTAATGGTGATAAAAATAGAGATAGCAATCTTACTCACTGCATATGCCTTAAGGGATAATTAATGAAATGGCGTAGCCAAGACTCAGAAGGATTTTGTCGCTATGCTATGACGAAGGATCCGGTGGAAACAAGTAAAATGCACACGTCACACAAGCCCGAACAAAAATAGTAGATTTGTCTTTGTTTAGGCCGACAAAAAGATAGCAAATCATACTTACTGCGAAGGCGAAGCTCAACCTTTCGCAAGTTTCGAAATATCCCAGCTATCTCCTGTTAGAAAAAACAAAAATAAACAGTTTTGCATCGTTTGCTTTGGCAGGTATTCTCACGACCTGGCGCAAACGAGAGCGTGATCCAACAAAAGATACACTAGGTAAAATAATAGCTCTGCACGTGCGGTTTGAAAATTTGTAGATTTCCTTGTTGTCCTCTGCTTAACAGCAACGTGAAACCCAATTTTTTTCGTTCGAAAACCAGTTCGGTTTGGTCTGCTGTTGAGCTGCAATTGTGTTTGTAAGTAGAGTTCGACGACACCTCCATATGTTATCCCGACGAAGAGGTCTGAAGCCTTTAAAGACGGCTCTGGCATGGAAACACCCGCGAAACTCTGAACAAAATAATGTGATTTCATTTAATGTTTTCCTCGGCGTTGTCGTATTTACAGCGTTAGGTCCCTATTATCGGAGGCCAAACACTACCCTCAAGCCACGCTATGATGTGCTACACTCAGTTTCCTTGCCTTAGTTATTCACTTACCGCGTGAGAGCTCTTCCAATCTGGAATGGCACTCTTGGATTCCTGTTTTGCGTCAGAATCCGTCCTTGACCTTGCAGTGCCGTTTAGCTCCTCGCTTCCATCGTACAGAGTTCTGAAACGCCACCATTCAGTTAGCATTCGTTTCGTGTGCTATTTTACTCCAAGGCTGTAACCTTGATTTCTCGAAATCGTTATTTGCAGTCTCTTCTTATATCTGCCATCTTTTACTAAGCTCCTTCTTGTTTTCCCATCCGAGAAAAAAACACTTCGGGTTCTTATTATATTCAAAGTTAAATATAAAATTAAATTATCGTAATGTCGGTGCTTTAAGTTCGTGTGTTCTAGAAACGCAGAGAGGATTTTTTCTGACCGATGAAGACAGATATTTTACATACTTCACTTTGCCCAGCACGGACTCCGAAGCTAGCCGTAATTCTACGGAGAATGCGTGAATTGAGGACAACATCAGATCCTCAACAGGCTGAAAACACAATGATAGAAAGTGTTTTTGAATAAAATCGTTCAGATTTCTTATACAGTTGAGTTAGCGTAGATTGTGTCTCTCTTCATGAGATTCAAAGGAAAAATAGCAAGCTCAGGGGTAGGAAAGGCAAAAATGCCTTGAACAATTTGTATCATAGCCTAATCCAATTTGTTATACCGGTTATTTTCATTAATTTTACCTTGTACCAAATTGAAATCATGCAGAAAGCAAAACTGGGTTCAGCTGGGGAACTTCTTATTATGATTCCAATAAGCTGAGCTGTTTTAGTTTGCAGAATCAATTAAAGTTTGTTTACATGAGAAGGCGGGTTGGAGTGGTTACTGAGATCTTGGTAATCGGTTTAGAAAACCTCGACGGAACCTCAAAGGTTACGCATTGTTTTTCTCGTTGGCCGAGAGAAATTTTCCCGTCTATATGGACAACAATCGGGTTTAAATCTTCGCTAAGAAACTGAGAAGGAAGCTGATAAGGAAAATAAAGGCAAAAAGTGTTTTCGAAATAGCCCAGATGCCGGGTGTCAGGAGACCCTACGCAAGTCAACAAGAGTCAGACAAACGAAGCCTTACCTTATCAGTGACACCCCACTGCCTCCTGCTTTGCGAAGATGTTGCTCCCCCCTTAAAATCAAATGTTTTCTTTGCTGCAGAGTTCGGAGTCAAAGGTGGCGAGGGGGAGGCAGCAGGTGCGGTCGAAACCGCTGACTCCGGCGAAATAGGCCTACTCTCTGCTGTAGAACAACGAGACCTCCCGGATGTGTCGTCGGCTGAATCACTGGGAGGTTCAAAAGGAAGATCAGACACGGGGGGTGTGTATGACTGGTTTTCCAAGAAGGGTGCAAATGGTATAAGCTTACTACGCAAGCTGATTCCTTTAGTGTTGGTTGTTTCAAGTTTTATCTCCGTTGGTTCTTCACGAGACGGAGACATCGGTGCAGTGTTTTTCGTGACGACGCCATTACACTCAAGAACGTTTTCACCACTGGCTGCTTCGCCGACCCATGCTTGTATGGACGTGTCTTCGGGAGATGAAACAGAATTGTCCTCATTACCGTCATCTGATTAAGAAAAAACCAAAGTTTGGTGCAAAAATAAATAAACAGCTGGCAGAACCTCTCATAAAGATTGAAATTAAAGGAAATGAAAGGAGATTTCAGCTCAAATTGATTGCGCCAATCAAAGTTTGCAACCAAATTAAGCAAATATCGCAGTGACTCAAAATTAAGCGAGAATTCATCGCTCAATTTGCATAATCGACACTGGTAAGAATGGTTGCACTGTAACTACAAACAAACAACTGGGCTGAATTGCTAAAGAAAAATTACAGAAACACGCAGGTTTCCATAGGACAATATTACTTATTAGTTGGCCTAGAGATCTGTAGCCTTCTTTAGCTCTGGACAGACTTTATATTAATAGGTGAAGTACTAGAATGAAAAATTGGTGAGAAATGGTTCATTCGTCCCCGTGTCTAATTAATAACTTGTAATAACTTTTACAACAGTTGCCAAGCACGGCTTCTCGATGATGTGATTTTCGAAGGAGTACAAAATGGGAAACGCAATTTCGAAAGGCAACATCAAGGTACATTTCTGGCCAATAAGCTAACAGCGTTAAAACGAGAAAAGTTAAAATAAGCCGAATTCAAAACGCGAGTGTCATGAATTAATTGAGCAACCCCTTACCGAGCACAAAAGTCTTGTTAACATTATCATCCCGCTTCATTATAAGCGACTCTGGAAGTTGCTGGACTGAGCCTGAAGAAAAAACCTGGTCTATCGCCTCCTGTGTGACGTCATCGCTTGCTGGCGAGCTACAATTGGTACCATTCTCCTCTTCCTCTCGGATACTATCGCCCGAAGAAGACTTTGTTGATCTTTTCACACTTGGACTCCACACTCTCGCAGACGGCGAAGATTCACTTGAATTTCCATTGTTCGGCGATGAGCTCTTAGCAGTCCTCGCTTTCGCCGATACTGCAGTCTTGCTCTTAACCCCACTATTCTTTACAGCTTCTCGGCTGTTGTACGCTCTCAGCATAGCTGTCTTGTTGGGACGGGGGGCCGACAGCAGTCGCTTCCCCTCCTTTTCAGGAATAAGCTGAACTCCCTTCTTATCGGACTCGTCGCTCTTCCTTCGCGATTCTTTAGTCTGTCTCGTCTGGGAAGCGTCGCTTGATTCCACATCGCTATCATCTGAAGTACTGCTTATCACAGCCCTTCCCCTAGCGTTGTCAACTGGTTTCTTCTCTAATTCGTTGGCAGTAGTCGGGTACGACCGCCGAACGACAGCAGACATGGTCTTGCTCCGCGCCACTCTCGGGGAGGACGCAGACTTCGGAGAGGAGGACATATTAGCAGCAGACATGCTTTGGCTTCGTAATACACCAGGCTGCAAAGATTAAAAGAGATAGTCATATTAAAATGGTTTGCTATTGGTTCCTCAGCGCTTTTTGATTTCCTTTAAAAATTGCTTACTTAAAAAATGGACTTTTTCTCCTTTCCATGCACCCAATGAATGTTTGCTGTAGCATTCGTGCTTCCTGAAGTTACCAGATAATTTGGTTTTATCACCCGAATTGATAATGTAAATTGGCCATCGTATAGAGTTTCTAAAGCTGACGTTTGGAGCCTCAGCCCTTCGTCAAAACAAATGTCAGAAGTAAGTTGTCAAAAATTAGTTGCTGTTCTGCCTAATTCAAATTTCAAACTGTTGAGTAAATGGCGTCACTTCCTCTCTCGCTCCAGTTCTCAACTGACAAATAATCATGTAATGGCGAACGGTTTAAGCGAAAAACCGTCGTAAAGAAAAAAAACAAACAAACAAACAAATTGAGGCGTAATAACCGACCTAATGCCGAGGTTGAGAAAAAAATTATTTTCACCATGGAGGAACTTTCACGAGGGAATGCAAGATAAGATACATCATGTAACAGAGCTTGATGTTTTAAGCACGAGGTCTAAGGAGGGGGAGGGTGGGGATTTTTCAATGAGTGGGAAACACATGAAGTCATAGTATGATGAGCATGTGACCTGACTATTTTGATGAGAACATAATTTTTACTGTTGGGGGAAGGGAGGGAAGGAGTCCGTTTTAGGAGATTTTTTTGCTTTTTTATTTGCAAAAGTTCACTGGAAGAGTGTTGCATCCAATATCTTGTCGACAGGCTCTTCTTAATCTCTGATAATGTGCAATTATGCGAGACAAATTAGAATATCCGGAATGTTAGAATCTGAGAAAGCAGTTAATTTGTATTTCCCTAGTGCTGGAACAATTTTATGTCAGGGGTATCTCACATAATAGATGGAGCATTATGTAAAAATTATCACGAACAGGAATTTATCGTTGATCTTTTAATGTCCTTACCGATCCCGTTCTCGATGTTGCCGACCTTGGTCTGCTTAGACTCGATGACGAAATGCTCTTGATGGGTTTGGACTTGTCTTCTGTAAAACATGGAGCTAAAAGATGTGAGTGAATCAATTAAGACATACATCCCCCCATAACTATTTAAAAAAGGCATTCGTTGTTTTGTTTCGTTTTTCTTCGGATACTCGTATAGTCGTGGATCAAAGAATAAATCTGAATGCCCATGAGGAAATAAACCCAAAACCTTTGAAGTGCCGTGCTTCGATGCTCGACCACTAAGCTACAGAGAACTCTACGGAGAGCAAAGCTATTACTAGGTAACAGCCTAGCTCCGTGGTAGAGCATGAAAGCAAACAAATCCGAAGGTCTGAGGGTTGATTTCTCACGGTTACTCAGATTTTCTCTATGTCCCCTCGCCAGTGACAAGATACAAAAAAAACATGTATCTTTATTTCATTAGGTAGCTGAACTTTTCCATTAATCATATGCTATATATATGCATGCGTGATGTTGCAAATCCTTAGGTACAAGTGGTGGGTAGAACTCCTACTCCTCCCCCCCCCCCCCTTCTATAGCGTGACATAACATTCTTCGATCCTCTAGCCATGGATTCTTTCTCAAATGCAGTCTGTTTCTAAAATTTAATTGACAGAGGATAGCTCTTTCGGTTTAAATTTGTAAAAAAAAAAGTAATAATAAAATGAAAATAAAGAAAAACACAAATTGAATCATTCTTTACGGAATACATCTTTGGACTAAAGCGTTGCGTGACCAACGAAGCTCGTCAGAACAGGCTCAGAAGAGCCTTTTTTCATCACTAACATAATTTTATCATGAGACCCTTCTTGGAGTGAAAACATCTTAATTATTTCGACGCTTTCGACGGACAGTGCAGCGCTGTTTCGTTGGAATAACAAAACTGACCACAAGCATCTATTTTTCCTCACACAGTATTTCACCATTTCAATATCTTTTTTTTTTAAAAAAAGGAAAAAAAAAAAAAGAAAGAAAGAACAACGCAAATCATCTCCCGGGGAGAGGTATTAAAAATAACTTCAATCTTTGTACTCTTCCACCGAACATCTTCTACACATTTCAAGAGCGAGCCATTGGCGTCTTAAATCATTCATTCGACCACAGCAAAAGAAAAAAAAACTCAATCCTTGCGTTTTTCTGACGGAAAAAAATTAGCGAGGAACGAATTTTTGAAATCAAATAAATGAACACAAAGCAGAGAAGACCAGACAACAGGAATATTAAAATCATTACTTGATCAAGAACACACCGAACTAATCTACACATATATGTTACAATAGCTTTAGTTTAGCAGACAAGTAATAATCCTCAAACTTGATCATGTGAAAAACAAACTTAGGGATTTATAATTAATACCTCTGCAGCAGATCTATGCATAAAGTTTACAATTCCTGGAAAAAAGGGTCCCCGATGCATAGATTCACTAAACAAGCAACACGTTACGAATCTATTGTGTTTACAGACAGAATATTTACACTCACCAGAATTTTCAGATTCTATAGGAACTGGAATGTGACTCGAAGAAGACATGGCACTGCTTCCCGCAGACTCTTCAGCCGTACTAGATGAATCGATGACCTCAACTGGATAAACCGAAGCGTTCTCTGCGAAAACAATGACACTCGTTGTGACAAGCGACATGTTCAAGAAAGCTTAATCAACATTAGTAGATCATTAACTACAAACCAAAAGTTATTGATACGATAATAACTGCGAAAACACATTGGGTTTCACTTCTATTGCCAACAAAAGCTTTCTTGTGGTTGAGGCATTAATTAGACAGTTCAATAAAGCCGTGTAATGATGATCATCCTTCAATTCAAATACTTTATTATAACACTTGTAATAGCTCTGTTTGCGTTATTTCCCCTGAGAACCAAACGTACAGGCAGTTATACAATAGCAAGGATGAATGGGAAAATTGAAGCGATGAAGATGTTATTTCAGTGTGTCATTTCATCTAAGAGTGTAATTCGTCCAACAATTTTTTTTTCGAAAAATGATCAACTTTAACATAACTTACCACGATCGTTTGTAGAATTCGTCCACTGTTTTACCCAACTTGGAAGGGGGGCTGGCGATAGTGCCTATCAAGTTTAAACAGAATTATGTTCAACTTAAATCCATTAACAAAATCATTATTATCTGTATAATAATTGACCGCAGAATGTCCAGGATAGTGGTGAGAAATATTTGGAGTCATACGTCCAAGGCCACAATTATATTTTCGTTTTACGCCGGAAAAAACATCAATTTTACTAAGGAACAAATTTCCTAAAGAAGTCGAGCAGTTAGGGTAAAAATAATAAGAAAAAAATATATAAACAGCACGACAGAAGAAAGAGAACCATTGACTTTCAATTATCAAATTTCGTTCTCTTTACTTCTGCACAATACTGTGGTTAAAAAAAGAGAAAAAGATATATAAACGTCATGACAAGTCGTGGAGCTTCTAAGCCCTAAGTCGAACTAGTCTGTAGGCTACACAGCGGTCAAACGTCAAGCATGCGCAGGTGATACAATTTGGCCAGCCGCGCATAATTTCAAGGGGAGAACATAAGAACGACCGCTGTCACGCAAAATGTGCGCTGTAATCCTGATCATTGGCGCTGCCACACTAACGGCGAAGCCCGCATGCTTCATGGCAGTGGCGATGAGAGCTGCGAGGGGTTTGCGAGAGGTCTGGCATGGAAATGAGACCTCTCTTAGAGCTCTAGCTTCGGTTCCCGACTCAATTCTCGCAGGATTTGCCGGTCGTGCCTGAACTCTAATGAGAGTTTGCTCTCAAGCTAGCAACAAACTAACCTCTTGTCTATCGGATTCACCGAGAGTCACCTCCGTCAGACCAAACACACCAATGGAGGAAAGGGAAGCGACAGCTGCTAATCCCGATCGACGTGAAGGGTGTGAGGTCGGCTCATACTCAGACTCACTGGTATCACTTGAATGTTTTCGAGAGCCTGTTCAGAACAGAAAAAGTAATTATTACCCTTCCACAATCAATCTTTAAACCTCTTCTCCCTCTTCCTCTTTCTGTACAACCCTCACCCCTTTAGAAGTGTACTTCTGTTCAAAGGTACACTGAAAAGTTCTTATTCTGAAGTTAATTCTGTTCCACCTTTACATCAGTGTGCATATTCTCCTTAATGTTCTCTAGATATTTCCTCCTAAGGTGCTGACAAGAAGATATATTCCCATATTCACTTGACCTTTATGTTTGAATCAGGGATGACACTGTAAGAAGTCAAAACGTTAATTCCAAAAAGTTGAAATAAATTTTCATTTTTTTACCGCAGAACGGCACAAGTGAGAAAAGCAAAAAGTTCTAACATGGAATAATATGTTAGTTCTAAGAGAGGGAAGAAATGTTTTATGCGTGAAAAATATGGAATTCAGCATGATAACTGATTTGGGCGTTAGGTTATGGCCACTGTCATACAAACGTCTGTAAGTACGAAAATGTAATAGCGCATTTCTGGTCTTTGCGCGATGATGTGAGATGTATTCAGTTAAAATTTTCTGAAGATGTATCTACTGTTTAGAGAGTGTACTTTCTTTCTGAGAGGATTAATTTTTTCCAATTTAAGAGAGGAGTCGAAAACGTTGTGAAAACCTCTCCTGGTTCTTAGGAGGGAGGTGGGGGAAGGTGTGAGAATCTCCCACCCAACCCTTTTTCCTCTCCCACCTCCCGTTCTTTATAGCAAAGCATTAAAGATAAATAAACACGCCCAGCCACACCCGCCTTCTTAGCAACCCTCGCCCTTCCTCGCCCTTCCTCGCCCTTCCTCGCCCTTCCTCACCTTCCTAAACTCTCTGGAAAAAAACGAAAAGGAAGAGAATCTATACAAACATAGAAACACTAATTTACCTGACAATGCTTTTCCATTCTTTGCCGGGACATCAGTGGAAACAATTTTCTTTTTAACTTTATTGGTAGGTTTTTTCCTTGCAATTCTCTCTTGCTTCTCTGATGAACCCTTCCGTGAAGCATCCTGGGATGCTATTTTACCTTTATCGCTTTTCAGACTTACAGGCCTTTCTGGAAGTTCATCATAGTCCGGTATGTAAGGAACTTCGTAAGAAGACCCGAGTCTAGGGTGCACTTCGCTTCCGTCACCCGAAGAATTCTCCACCGAAGACGTCGAATCAAGCTCTCCCGGCTCGTGAAGCGCATTTGGTAATTGCCAGTCTCTACTGGTAGAATTTTCAAACACGGGAGATAACTGCTCGTTATGACCCGGCCCTGGTAGAGAAGACCTCTTCTGAAAGACAACAAATTCCTCTCGTTGCTTCATCGCCTTGTCCAGCTCGGGGTTTTTAGAAGTCCTTGTTGTGACAATCCGTGCTCTGGACTCAGACAACACCGATACGGTCCCAATGCTGTGCCTCCTCTGCGCCATTTCCAGCGCGTCTTTCTTAGAGAGTTTCTTCTTTCTCAGAGCAAGAGGCTGTTGATCGTCGCCGCTCTCCAGAATTGTGGCAGTGTTTGGATAATTGTAGATCTCGTCGTCTGATGAGCCCCAGCCCCACCACGGAGGCTGTCCATACAAGGGACTGCCCTTCACTAGCATGTCATGTTTCTCAGCAGGGACTGTGTAACAAAAGGGAAAATAGTGAGGAGAGAGCTCCTTCAAGTTTGAAGCATTAGCCGGCAAGAGGTCTAGCGCCAATAATTATTAGCGCCAGACCTCAATGCCTCAATCTTTCTAGCATGCGAAGAAAGGCTCGCGCCAGAAACACCAACAATGAGGCCTGTCCGCAGGCTAACACATCCCCGGCTAAGATTACAAACGCAGAAATAGATGAAAACGCAGAAATAGATGAAAAATGGAACAACCTGATATTCCATTGTACAAAATTCATTACAAAAAAATCTATAGCGCAGTGATAGGGAACCCGAAATCGGGCCATATGTTATCAGCACACGATTATTACAGATTCTTGCAGCTACAGATATCGAATCCAATGTCGTCAAAGATGATCACAGCCAGAAAAAGAAATCAAAACAATTGTCTACTCACCAGATAAGGGCCTTTGTATTCTCGGTCTGACAAGAAAAAAAAAACGCATTTTCATTACTATCATAAACAATATAAAAAAAATAAATAAACAAAGCAATTAATGCAGCTACGTAGGGCTACAAGGATCAATTTCTTCTCTCACAATTAAATTAACAAAACTAAGTACATGTGCAGAAAGTCATATTAAGTGTACAGTTAGAACTTTAAAAAATAATATGTGAATCACATAACATATGACCTGTGGATAATAAGTAGTAGCCTGCGTGTGGCCATACCCACCCCCCCCCCAGGTGAAACGGAAGGGAGGAGGGGGGAGGGTAGCGTAGGCTAAGTAAGTAGCAAGCTGTTCCGACTAGTAACGCATTTCCAGGAAGTGTATCCTAAGAAAATAATTCACTTCTCTACGCAGGCCTTCGAGCACAACTCTTTCAAAGTCGCCATCTTGCGACCTAAAATCATAAAAGTGTTATCGGTTATGAAAACCTGGTCGTCGGACAAAAACAAAAAGTTCATGCAAATATTTGAGGCTGAATTTTCGGACAACCAGTAGCATTTTTTAAATAAGAGAACGAAGGAGCATCATAACAGTCTTGGATTTAAACCCAATTAAAACCAAGAGCGACCAGCATCTTATTTCTCCTTACAGTAATACTTCTGTATCATTTATTAAGATCATGATAATAAAGGAAATGATCGCCAACCTAAGAGGCTTTGGTTGTTAAAAGGAATTCTCCTTGTCATTACCGAGGGAAATATATAGGAACTGGCTGGAGAATATGGAGCGGATACTAGGATATAAAGGGATACCTTTCGAAAAAAAAATTAAAAAATTAAAAAAAAAACCCATACAGCTCGCTATATGACCGTTGTACACAGATGGCCACATTCACGACTTTCGCTGCGAATTAAGTTGCCAGAATTTGTTTCTACCCGCCATCTCGACAAATAAGGGTCGCAAGTTAGAACGCTGGGCTAAGAGGCCTGATATCCCCCCTCTCAGATACAGCTTATATTAAAAAGGCCCTTAACCTGAAGCAAGGCAAATATTCTAATGGCTTGAGAAAGATGTTTCTCATCTTGTCACAAGCGTGGTACAAAGAAAAAATTCTGAGTTCCCATGAGGAATCGAACTTCAGACCTTCGGATTCCGTGCTCTGATGCTCTACCACTGAGCCACAGAGACTCTATGATGAGTAAGGCCCATTACGAAGTTCATATATGACACGCGTCCTGTATACTGCTAGGATCAGCAATGTCGATAGCATCATATTTTGTATATAGATTAGGAAAAATGGTTAGTTTTAAGCACGGAAAGGAATTAGAGAAAGATTTTCTAGTGGCTTTTCACTAAAATAGCTTGCTATGTTTTCAAAACTGACCTGACTTGAAATCCTGTTATTGCTGCCGGCCCGTGGGCCCAGTTTGTATGTGACCCCATCTGATGATGAACAAACCTTCCCATAGGGGCACCACCATGGGGGGAGTGGACTGGTGACCTATGTCCAGCGCATGACGGGCAATGACACATCACAGGGAGTGGGTGGTGATACATTGGCGTCATGTAAGGATAGTGGGGGTAGGGAGGGTGGTATTGAGAGTGAGGAGAGTGGGGCGAGTGAGGCGAAGGAACACCCTGCGGAAAAAAAAACAACTGTTAAAACAACAAAAATTAAGAGAACATCTGCTATGAGATTGATAGTCAACTGTTTATACAAAGATGGTGTGTAATTGTTAAGTTTCCCAAATCAACCACTGATTTGCATGGCTTAGAAAAAGAAATCAGACCTACTGGTAATTATCACTTTTTAGGATTGCTGATAAGTCAGCAAGCATTTTCTATGCAAAGCAAGTATCACTAACAATAGAAGTGCTAACATATCATGAAATAACATTTAAGTAATTGATAGGACACAATAGAAACTCCACAACCACAAATAAAAGACAGCCATCCATCATCATTGCAGAAAAACAAGGGTAAAACAATGTTGGGCTTTGCCAAGTACAAAAGTAAACGAGGAGTAGTTTGCCAGAAAGGGAAACACTCTTACCTATACCCCAGAACACCAAACATGTTTCTTTGTCTGGTTGTTGGCATGTAAAACCCTACATCATTACCCTATACCCTCCAATTCATCCCATTGTTGAGCACCCTGTCCTATAATATTCCAAGAGTTTCTAACCATAATTATTATCATAAGGTAAACAGAATTAATCAATAAAATAAATCAATACAATTTTAACTTACATGGTACACAAGAACATCTTGGTCTGGGGTTCCAGAACGACAACCATCCTCATCTGAATTAGTTTGCTGAGCAGCCGATTGGATAGAGAGTTTCCTCTCGGAAGGGGGCTGGAAAAAAAAGAAACACATTTCAATTAATTTCAATGGCCAGCCCTACTGGTCATATTGAAAGAAAAAAAAAAAGGTAGACCATGCCATTAGAGATTTATTTTTAATAAATCAAAGTTTTTTTCCACCTCCCATACTGTTTCCATTGAATGTTCATTTTCATCAAGGCGCTGTTTCTCATAATGTTTGTCATCACTGAGAACTGAGTGCCCGTTTCTGTAAAGAAGTGGCTCCACACGAAAGGTATTTGAGTGTGTATATGGTTAAGGAAAATATTTTAGGATTATTTCAAAGGCAACCACAGTGAAAATTCTGCTCAACAGATAAATAATAATTTGGATTTTAGTGACAGGACTCCAATGAACACAAATTATGAGACATGAGGACCATGACACTGTAATAAGCAGTTACTGAATAAGGTTGAGCATGACATCATGAGTTATTGATGCTGAGATCTGAGTTATCTGCCTAAACAGAAAGCTGAGACAAATAACACAAGCACTAGATTTGTTAATTCATATCATACAAAAAACTGAATTCACCAATTTTTTTATTGTACATTTTTTAAACAATCTGCAAAAGAAGCCTTTTCTTTCTGAGTTCACAAAAGTGTTGTGTAATATTTTTTAAACTTAAATGTATCAAAGATATTATATATTTCCCAGAAGCTAAAAATAAAACAACTAATTACAAAGTCTTTTTGAATTCATGGAAGGTGAAAATAGGAAAATTTAAAAACTGAATAATTTGATAGCAAATGGATTACATGCTGGCCTAAAGACATTTATCCCAGCCCAGACAACTCTTGGACATAAATTTGTTTACATTCAATTTAAAATCTTGGCCAATATATCACTGTATTTAATGGTAATCCTGCTCCATGAAGCTTTTCAACCTTTGCCTTTGAAGTTATATATATTGAAATATGACTTAACAATTTCACATCCTGTTGTTCTTTCTTTCGAGAACATAGCATGACCTTTAACTGCATTGGCAATCCACACAAATGTACTTTGAGTAAATGCATTACTACACTCTGACACTTGAGTTACTAGGAAACAGCATGACAAATTGTCAAGCAGCTAGCTACAAAAGCTGAAAACTCAATCTTCCACAACATGACTTCACATCTAAACAAGAAAATTTACATCTTCTGTCAACTGTGAAAAATTATTCGGCTTGCACAAGAATTAAAATTCTATTATCATAATAGCATCTGAACATATGGATCACATCTAAAGTGAATCTCTAATTTTCATATCACTGGAAAAAAAGCCTACAATTTATACCACTAAAGACCTATCAGATCACCTAGCTCTGTGCCTGTGAAATCAACACAAGATAGGGTTCATCGCTTACCACACCAGCAACTCCTTCAGGTTTCAACAGAAAGCTTACAATCTTCTTGTCATTTTTATCCAAAATCACCACTGGAAGACCCAGCTTCACAAAAGAAAGATCCCTCAAAGACTTCTCACTGGCCACCACAACTTTGAGTTTCCTTGAAACATATTTATCTCCTGTAGCACAACGTAAAACATCACAGAGTGTGCTTGTCTCCTCAATTGAGATCCATTTAGGTCCATAAAGAATCTTCTCTTGGCATGATACTCTCACACAGAACAAAAACATCACATCCAGATCACTCAGTACATGAGTTTTCCTCTCTAAGCAACCAAGTACATTCAGAAAAAAATCCTGAATTCAATTTTAAAGTACTGAATCCCTTTGTAGAGATCAGTAAAAAACAGCATTACAAATGGAGGCTGGTAGCTACTTCATTATAATTTAATACCATTTGTAAGGCAGTGATCAAGCAAGAAAATTTTAGTGAAGTCAAATCAAAATAAACAAGACATTTTCTGGATGTGTATTGATGTTTCTCTATCTTTGAAAGGCAAAAAAAATTACATGATTTTTTCTACAGATTGGTAGAAAAAGTACATGTCAAAATCTATACCAAATTTACATATCAGCTGATCTTTGAATGAATTAGAATTTGTCTTAGACAAATGAATCAGGAAATTTGAATTTCATCAATGTTTTGCACGTGAAATTGCTGATCAAAATTAGAAGCTTGTGGGAAAAAATCTTTTAACCACAAAGTAAGACATGCAGTAGCCTAATATTATGGTAGAATCTTTTTTTCCACCCTAAAATGTCACCAAACCATGCTCTCAGATGAGACTTTTGGCCTCTAAGCAAACAATAGCTTTACTTTAAGCCTTTCATATGCTAATTACCCATTTCTGACCCATAGCATTTCTCTATTGGTCCAACAGGGCATAAAGACTAGATCAGAGCATAAAAAAATACTCAAGAATGATAGATATGGCTTTAATTTGACCAAAATAAAACAGAATTTAGTTCCATGAAAGAGAGAGTGGCAAGAAATAATTTAATTCTTTATTCAGACTTGCTCTATAGAAGCTTTGATTCTTTCTGACTGTGAACACCAGTGACACCTGCATGTCTTACCATAACACCTGCTAGGGGAGCCAAGCCCTTGTCTTAAGTAAACAAATCCCACAATTCACTACAGGTGGCTAAACCACAATTAAGCTACTAAATATATTTTTGTTATCCTCTCAGTCTGTATTCTTAATGAATATAGGCTTTCATGCTGAAATAATTTAAATTCTCATGAAATTCAAATCTCAGGAAAAATGCAGTGAAAGGGGAAATGATACAGTCATTTCTGGTGTCAGTTTATTTACATTTAATAAATGAGGAGCAACCAACAAGATTAAGTGTGTCTGCTGTATCCTGCTACACACAAGTTGATTTACTGCTGTACAATCATATAAAATGTCATTATCTGCATTATCTGGAGAGACATTAAAAAAAATACAAAGAAAGAATTTGTTTCTCAATCACTTAGGAACATAAAATTGACAGAAATAAATGGCCACAGACTCTTCTTTGGTCACAAAATTAAAATCATACACTGTATGATCAAGAAACATTTCAAAAGTCCAGTTGTCAAGAGACTAAATATTGTTCAACAATACAAACTTTCAGCAGAAATCATACAAAGAAAAGTGTTCATCATCACATGCAGAATATTAACACCACTTTTAAGCTCCAAGTGTTAACTTACATATGACAGGAACAAAAAATTTGCATAAGATATATTCAATGTTTTGAACCAAAACATCAACACTTTAAGCATTTTAGCCTCAAAAAATAAAACAAAAATTAAAACAGTCTATCATTCAGCAAAAGTTGCACAGCTCTGTTCCAAAACATTACAATTACTAAGGAAAAACCTGGATTTAAAATCAATAGAAGAAAACATTCAATCATGATTGCTGAGACAAGAAAATTTGCCAGGCAGTGCTTCTGCACTAAGATGGAATTGAGTTAAGTTTGTTGGCAGATGAACATTTACAGTGTGTATTAAGTGATAATTTTTTTTACCTGACGCTGTACAACTGGATAACAGCAGGGGCAGAATATTGCTGCACATGAATAGGGACAGATGTACGGTACATTTTGTTCTCCATAATTTACTGTTGTGCTGGAAATGGTGTCTGAAAAACACACCAAATAAATCTTCTCTTCCTCAAACCTCTGCATAGTGCAGTGAATTCAACCTTCATTTCAGAGAAACTTTCCGACTAGAAAGGCAGATGGCAAGTTCAATAAAAAATTTGCAATAAAATTTCACAACAAAGCAACCGAAATTCTACCAGATCTGGCAGCAATTTGCATATTAATGTACTGGAAGTAATTTCTGTGTAATACAGGTCAGGTATACAGCCAATCATCTTGTTTCATTTTTAATGAATTATTCAATGTATAGCTTTAACCACAAAAAGTTTTGTGAATAAAATTAAATGTGAATCGGATGAATATATTAGTCTGGTTCTTAAAAGCTCAATTACCAGGGAGAAATTTCCTTTTTTTCCTTTTCTAAACCATTTAGTTGTGGTTTTATGGAAAGTGGTCTTCTTCTTTGAATATTGTTGGCTCAATAAAAACCAAATTTAAAATGAAGTTTGGTTTTATGTTAAGAAGAAGCACTTCTTTAATGAAACAATCCATGTAAGGTACATATTTGTTAATCTTAAAATATCAAAATCATCTCTTCTGCACAGAATTTTTTAGGTTACTTTCATGAAACACAAACGAACTTTTTAATGGTTCCAAAAACAATTTTAAATCAGTTATGGCAACTACGGATTATTTGTACAAGAAACACAAATTGACCAACTTCGAAACTTCTGAAATCCAAAAAAATTTGTGACATCATTCAATAACTTTCAAACACCATTTCTTGTGTATTAGGAGGAGCATGCAAGTGTATGAAAAAAAACTGCTATCAATAATAACAAACTTAAAAATCTTGATGTGCAAGGTTTATAGTGGTCAGAACACCTTTTAAAAAGAATTTGGAAAGAGACAAAGCAAGAGAGTACATTTGCACTCTATTGTGAATCAAATATCAGTGATGATGTGACTACATTACTTACAATGCGGCAATATTTAGAAATTATATTGTGTAGTAATTTATTACAGATTAATGACATACATCCAAAGCATTGCACCCAATTGGGAATTTCAAATTAGAACCCAAATGCAAAGTATGATTTATGAGGTCTGACCATGAAACTGGTGAGAATTAAGAAATGACTTATAACCAAATTTTAACTGATCCTGGATAATTCTCCTACAGTAATAACATTTCAAAGACTATCATAATATAGGAATTAATGTAGGATTCAAGTTACTTGCTGGTAACCCCACCATCCTAAACCCAATCTAATGGAGTCACATACCAAATAACAGAATACAATGACCAGGGGAAATTTATAAAACTATTTTGATTCTAACTACCCAGTCCAGACTACTAAAATAAGATGATATATGCATCTCCCACACTGCTTGGGCACTATATCAGTTCATAAAGTGAAAAATGGCTGGCTTTTTTTCTCCAATTAATTTTGGGGCATATTTAAAGAATGGTTAATATTCAGAGGTTTAATTTCCTTCGAAAGGTAATTGTATGGCAAGGTTTAATTGTGATTTGTACTGCTATTGTAGTTGTAAAGGATATCATATCCAAAACGAATGTTGTCTCTTAGCTTCAAGTCAACTGGATGCTGTTTTACTCTTGAATCATTTACAAACGTCTGTAAGGAAAACAAGTGCAGGGAACTTTTACAGTAACTGTTCTTTGTGTAGAAAGGCATTTTGTTTATTACCAAGCAGACAAGTGATAGAATTAAGAAAAATAGCAATTATGAGATTATTCATTGATCCAATACCAAATTCCCTGCACTAACACTTAAGAATTATATGTCACACAGTAAAGAGAATTACTAAATGAGATCTTGGGTTGGAAGGGTAAATAATTTATGGGTGAGGGGTGGATGCTTACTCAAGGTAAAATGGCCACTTAATGGAACAAATATTAATAAGAAGCATTTAGGACCTCATATACTTACACCATTCAAAGTTCCAAGATCATGTAACTTGTACTCTTTGTTCTGTGTATTCACTGTGATCACAGCATGTTGCTTATCCACACTTCTTGACTGAAACAAAAATGTTTGGTGTTACCAACAAAAATTACATTATTAGACAAATATAATCAGAACCTAAAGCAAGAAAAGGAATGCCATGGAAACCTCTTCACTGTCAGAAAGATCTTTGAAACTTGATCAGTAAAAACTAAACCCACCATCTTCAGTTAAAGTTATAGAATAATTATTATCATAACTAAGGAAAGGAAGAGAAATTCAGTCAGCATAATGGAATAATCTACTTTTGATTACAACAACTGACATTCCATTTGAATATGTTTGCAGTATAATTTGATGAGATTCAGAATCCATCAAAATACATACTGAACTTTTCTCAAATTTTTCATGAAACTTTGCAGAGCGATATAACAAGCAGTTTTGTAGCTAAGGAAGTAGTCTGCCACTTAAGCCATTATTACCCTATAATATCTGAGAGTGACTAGCATTCAATTTCTCCTTTCAATATCATCCCTGAATCAAGCATTAGGAGCATGAGAATAAAGGAAATGATGATCAACTGAACAAATTCTTGATTGTTGAACAAATTCTCCTTGCCAGCACATTAGGAAATGTATAGAGAACAGTATAGAGAATATGCATGTTGATGTTAGGGTGTAAAGGGTTAACTCCCTCTAATATTCATACATTGTCCAGCAAACTGGTAATGAGAGTACTCAAACTTATCAGGTTGAAGTTATCTTGATTGAAATACAAATTCTCATAACTACTTTATAAGGAAATGTGAAGCAGTTAGAGGAGAGAAATAATAATCAGATCTTGGGAGTTAAAGAATAGAAAAGAGCTGGCCTAATAAGAGACCTGGTAACAAAATTTTGCTCCCAATCTTTTGCAATTCCTTCTCAGTAAGGCTTCGAAGCTTCGTGTTTGCATGATGGTGACTGCAGTATAGAAAGAAGACACCACAAAATAGTATGGTTTGCCAGTTGTAACCTGCAAAAATCTAGCTGCAATCACGAATTTCTCAGCTGGCACTTTCAGCCAGCAGCCAGCGCTTAGCAACAACCCTGAACATGCAAAATGGGGGGTTACCGAGCTCATTTCTGTAGAACAACACAGATTAATATCTTGGATTCTCAACTGGAAAACCTCTTTCACACCCACTTCTGAAATGTTCCGCATTAGTAACAATCGTTTAAATTAAATCTCAAGGGGCTTAAAACATCTCAAGTTTTCACACCTTCAAAGAGCGTTAATCAATCAAAATCTTTGAAAGCACGGAACTTGCTCAGATATTTAATGTATGACAAGAATAACATAAAATATTATTTGCGCTCAGTTTTCAGCGAATAATAGGTGAAATACTGCAAATAAATAGCATATCAACATACGAAACAAAAAATTATATGGATTTCAATTCAGCGCAAATTAAACGACTGATATTTTCCAGCGTTCTCAATCAACGCAGTTGAAAACTGACAACTTATGAGGTATGATTTTATTTCACGGATGAAAGAAAAGTAATCTCACCTTCAGCGTCAAATCCATCTGATCATCCCTTCCCACAAAAAAATTTGGCTCACATAGCTTGTGCAGAGTGCCATCAGGACTCAGAAGGCCCCACTCACCAGCTGTCTTCATCGTTAGCAACAAAAAAAGCTAAACTAGCTGATATCAGCGAAAAGAGACTCACGGGTTCATGTGAAAGAAATTCCTCTAGCGGTAAGCAGAGGGCTCCGCTTTAAGTGCATTTTGGTTTTTAGCATTTGAATTTACTTCTCCTCAGGTAGTCTTTTGAGTGAAGAATACAAAAAAACTTCATTTAAAACCGAGTATTCCGCATAGGTCAATCGAAGGGTCGATATCGGGTCGATCAGTATGTTTTACCTCAAAACGCAAAACCGCTGGCAAAGGTAATTGCTGACGGTTTCTTGATGGACGCTTCGGGGAGGGGAGGGGGAGGAGCAATTTAAAAGACGAAGGAGCCGTCCTTCGCCATTCTTTCCTTCGTTTTGATTTCGACGATTTCCCACAATGAGCACTTCAAACATCGCAGATGAAGAAGAATATTGATTAAATGTTCCCCCGCCATTAATTTACCCTTAATAGAAACTGTACAATAATTTTGCCTTTCAGAAATGGTTTGATGCTACTCTGGTTTACAGATTTAATGAATGTAACCGAAGAAGTTACAATTCATAGACCCAACGTTTCGACGCCCCTGTCTAGTGCCTTCATCAGGGGTGATCTAAACGCTACAACAAGAGGTCTTTCAATATGATCACTAATCAGCAGCCTTTTTTCTGACGAGGTGTAAATAGGCGTCAGGAAGCAAGCCGCCATCGTCACGATTTAAAGGAGCGTGGGCGGAGTTCATATGCCAAGCCTCCAAACAAAGGCGCTAGTGGTAACGCCGATTAGTGATGATAATTTTAGAATTGTCCCACCCAATTGTATGGTTGGTTAGGCATGTGTGCTCCGACAAAGCTGAATTTTCCTTTTTGCAAAATAAAACCGCTTTTTGATGCTATTTCAAACGTGTACCAAACTGACGTTTGGTCTGTCCGATGTACTCTTTGTCACAGTCATTGCAAGGAATAGAATAAATGGCGTCCGTTCGTTGTTCTTTCGTGACAGGATCCTTAGGTTGGCCGAAAATATGCCCAAAAGTCTGAAAAGGTTTTTGAGCAACTTTAACGTTGTGGCTAAAATTCTCGTGATGGGTTCCGTAACACCCTGAACAGACTGCTGAAGGTAAGGAATAAAAGCAAAACCAGTCGCTTGTTCCCTTTCATGAAGAGAGTTATTAGTTGTAACTGGTTTTTGGCAGTTACGGAGAAAGGTTTTTGTATAGCCATTTGCCTTTAGGACATTAGAAACATATTTCCTCTCCTCAGCCTTCGAATCGAGTGAAGATGGTAGACAGCCAGCCGGCTCCTGAGTAAAGTTTTGGCCACAGACTTTTTATGGCAAATAGGGTGGTGAGAATCGGAAGCGAGGTATTTATCGGTGTGGGTAGGTTTACGGTAGACAATTGTCTCTAAATTACCCCGAACCCCTCAGGACATATTTAAATCAAGAAAGGGCAAATGTGAGCGAGATCAACATTGTCGCTTTTGTTAATTCTCCGCGATCAAGCGTTTACACACGTGCAAACGTCTTCATGACTCGGTGGCGTACTTTCGGGCTTTCAGAACCAATCAACAAACAATCAACCACACAAGCCACTACGTCACGCGTATGGTGCTTTAAAATTGTCTAACTTTTTGATAAAAACAGAAGGGTAAACCAACTGTAGGATACCCGTACTTGAAAAAGCGTTGTGTTCGAAAAGTCTCGTGTTTTCCCTTAATTTTCCATCTGTTCTTTAGCTTTTTTGCTGTACAGCAGTTGTGTCCTCTGTTTTCCTTTTTTTGTAGTTTTGAGTGGGAAACTAGCGCACTGCCGCCTACTATTGACCCCTCGCACGTGCTTTACGTTTGACCGCTGTGTTGTCTTAGAGTAAAGAATATAGCATCCTAACCTTTACGTTTATACGTTTTGGATTCCGTAATTGATAATTGTGAATTATGATGATAAATAAATTGCAACAAGGGATAATTGCATACTCACGAGCACCACACTTTATGACGTAAAATGCCAGCATTTGCTTTGAGATACCAATAGACAATTAAAAAGGCTTGTTATGAATCATACTGTCTGAGTACAGGTGTTTTTAATCCATACACAAGTTTAAATATTAAATCAATCTCTAATTAAGTTGAGATTCGACGCGAGTAGTGCAAGAATTGGTAATTATGGAAATGTAATATTTTGTTCGGGTAAGTTTCATTTCATGAAACGTTTCCAGTTACCAAGGACTCGTGTAGAACTATAAAAATCATTCAATTGCAATTCAGTTGATGAACTGTATATGTGGAGATGTAATATTAACGGCTATCTTACCATAATAATGTTATTATATAAGACTGCTGTTGGCACTGGCATTTCAAAGTGTGTTTTGATTTATCATACTTTTGCTGTAACGATCAATCATTGCCAAAATCTAATAAATTTACAGTGAAATTATATGATACCAATGCGAAAGAAAGAAAGCGATGAGTATAATGTTTAACATACACGCAATCAATTAAAATCTCTTCTTATTGCCAGTATAAAGATGGCACTTGTAATATGACATTTTAAATCGATCTGGACGGTGAAATACAATAGAGTCTAATTATCTACATCTGTCTTAATTCTGTTAGTTCATACTGAATGGAAATAATTCTGGCGAACTCTTGGATACTTTTTTCTGGTCTATTGATTTTTTTGACCCTCTCTGAAAAGTCAATTACTTTTTTTTTCTCAGATATAGAGGCTATAAAAATAACCAAGCTCAAGCAAATGAAATCTAAATCAGTACATAGTGATTAAGTTTTCAAAGGGGAGGAAATCAATCGAGAGGACAGAGTTTATCTTACTGTGAAGTAAAATTTAAAAATTTTTTTTTTTTTCGCCAGTCTCATTTTGCCTATATTTTCTCACACACTGCTGAAGAAGAGAACCGGGCACACTTTCGATAATAAGCTGTTCATTGTTAAGAACTTTGTATGAACTGATTCGTTGTTAAATATCATCTCACATAAAAAAAATCTGAGAGCTCTGGGACAGAGTAACTGATGTAATTCAACAACTGCTGTGGATGATGCTCGATCAAATGAAAGATCCTCTGTCACACTACATAGGAGTCACTACGAAAGGAATTTTTGCCGTAATGATTTCAAAAACTGGGGTATGAAAGTGCCTTTTTGAAACAGTTGGTCCTCCATTTTATAGAAGGAACGCCGTTTGACTGTGCTGGTTATGAAAGTAGTTTCTTAACTATTGATTGGGCAGATCCAGTAGTGAATAACACACTGCATGCTATTAGCACCAATAAACAGATCTGATTTTCCTCTACAATGACAATTGTACACAATGGTTCCTGTGCTGGGGTCAGTTTTTGCATCACCAAAGACGTACTCTGCAGCATTGTGCGTTGAACAGGTAGCTGCAACAATCTTCATTCCCTGAGACAAAAAATTGTTTAGAAAATAAGTACGTTTCGTCCTGAACAAAGAAATAATGATTTAGTTTGTACTAAAAATTTATGATTTAAGTTCAAGATTCGGTACGAAACTCAAATCTAGAATTTCAGTAAGAATGCTCGTACAAATTCAGGGATCAGCTTTACAATCTTCAAAATAATTGACTTTTATTACCCACGGTATTTTTAAAAACACGTTGAGGCATGGAAAATCAAGTAATGTGTAAACATAATATTCAATGATATCCTTAAAAAAATGAAGGCAACTGTTAAAACGCTTATTTCAAATTCTATCTCATACCGGATGTTCATCTTCTCGCAGAATAACTTTTGAATTAGCTGAATTCCCGGCTGTCTGGGCGACTTCTTTCTTATTCTTGTACTGACAGAGGCTCATATTTCCAGGCCCAGGAATTCCCTGTGGACCAGGAGGACCCGGTGGTCCGGCGATACCTCCTCCTCCAGTTTGCGTCGCGTTGACACCGGGAGGGCCTCTGGGGCCTTCCAAACCTGTTGGCCCAGGTAAACCTGAGAGCCGTTAAAGCCCATGGGCCCCATTGGCCCTTGAGGACCTGGTGGGCCCTGTTTGCCTTCAACACCTGGAGGTCCAATTGGTCCTTGAGTCCCATTATAACCCCTGGGCCCTGGAGCACCCATTGGGCCAGGGGCACCAATTCCTGGTGGTCCTCGGGGCCCTTGTACCCCAGTATCGCCTTTTCCGCCTTGCGGGCCAGGCTCTCCTGGAGGTCCGGGTGGTCCAGGGGGACCGGGAGGTCCGGGTGGCCCGGTTTCCGGAGGCTTTTCTATTCCGGTGTTATCCTCCTAAAGTAAATTACAACACCCATGTTTTGATCTTGTTGCTATTTTTCTTTTGATCAGTTTGTTAAAATTTAGTAGGTCGCCAATTTGACCTTTTCATGAAGGATCGCACGCAACAAATAGATCGATAATTCCTAATTCTCTTCTTTGCTCAGGTAAATTGCAAGAGAGGATAAGGACACCGTTATGCCAATAGGATAAAGTCCATATTTTTTTTTTCAGTTTTTAACATCCCATTTGGACATGACCTTCCTCAGACTGTCGAATTTTCAAGTCTTAGCTTGTTCTAAGTCTTAGGGACACGTTTTGTTTTCCAGCATAAGTATCCATTAGGGATAAAACAAACAAATAAGTAAACACACTTTCAACGTGATGAGGAAAAAAAATGACTTTGAGTTAAAGACATCTTACCTCGTTGGTGGTGTTTCGGTTGTTGCCTTCGCCTTTTAATTTTTCTGGACCTTGAAATTAAAAGAATGAAGCAGATTAGATCATAGACAGGGTTCAACAGATTACGTTTATTCACGAATGGAAAGGAGATGTACCTTGCTAAGCCATGTCACAGATTTATGGGGCGCGACAGGACTAATTTTACGGTCTTCGCTTTTTATTTTTTTGTAACAATGGACTTGGCGTTTCACGCCCTTTTTAGTGTCCTTGTATTGGAAATTCATAAGTCTCCGTTGTCTTGAGCTTTCAAATAAGGTGCGGGCCGGCGTTTTTCAAACTTATTTGATATTATGGTCAATACTACAATCGAGGTCAATCAAGTAAAGTCTCCGTGAACAAGTAAGTTATAATTTTCACTTCTTTATTCAAAGAAGGCTCTACTTGCTAGATTGTCGTAGAGAGACACGAATTCTCTTCTTTCGCAATCTAGTGGTTAGCGGTTTTAAAGCAGCGAATAAGCTTATATGCATTAAGTGACAACCTTGGCGCGCCATCATAGTGAAATTTAACCCTCTATTAATTACTAATTGTCTTACAAAATGAATTTCTGACCTCCTTTTGGAAAAGGATGTTTTGGCCAGCTTTACTGATTTTATTTTGTCAAAGGAAGTTTTAACTTTTTTAATCAGTAGTATTCCATTTTTTTTGGTTTTAAACTACTTGAAACAAAAGTGGCGATTCTTCAAATGCCAAGATCAACTCAGATCCCATGCAAAGCATATTTTTTTTATGACTTTTTGTTTGACGAGAGGACGATCCATGTCTTCTCATAGGCAATATCTAGAATAAAATAAGGCCAGAAAAGTGTGCAAAGCTCACTCGATTTCACCTAATTTCAAAAGTAAAAGATTAGTTTTGTCTGACGATACAGAGAACGGTCTGATAAATTTTGGGTTTTTTCTGTCACATCTTGTTTCATTCTAGAGATTCTGTGTTTTGTTTAGTCGTCATTGTCTTACTTAAATTTCAAACATTAGAAAATTTAGTAGCCGGCCATAGGAAACCGAGGGTGTTATGTGCCCAAGGACAGGGCTGTTTTTTAGATTACAGTTTTTATTCAAACAATGACAAAGCCGCCGCTATTCTGCCCCCCCCTACGAGCCTGCCTCCTTTGCGTGTTGAGCGTGATAATGCCCGCGTGAATTGCTGTCTTGGTTCTTTTCACTCTTTCGTTGACAAACAATTTTTGCACAGCGTTTTTAAGAGGGTACAAACCAACCAAAGCATGTTTCTGTAAGTTCTGAATCGAAATCATGACAGCTTCTACTTTATTTCAAAATGCTTTTCATGATAAATCTACAGCCACGTTAATACTTAACAATTCCAATGAGGGAACCTAGAAGAATTTATCATCCTTTGGTGGACTTTTCATCGAAATCATTTGAACTTGTGGTTCTCAGCTTTGAAAAAAAACCAACATTTTTTAATATTCTGTTGTCTGCAAGATGCGTAACATCACAGTAATTCTGATGAAAGAGCACTGAGAAACGCCTAGCTTGTTAGGACACTTTGGTGAGATTTCATTTCAATCAAAATTAACTGAACTAAATTCCTTTCCTTGCGTCTTATACTTTTTCATCACGCGAAAAAAAAAATCATTATATACTTAGGTACGCTTGGTACTAATGTTCAATTTTAATCCTAGCATGAACGCATTTCGGGATGGTGGGATAAACTTCTATTCGAATCGGAATTACTGATTTCAATCTAGTAAATTCCATTACGTTTAAAATGATTTGGCATGCCTGGAACTGTAGCTGTGATGTTCAAATCTCATAATAAAAAAGAAAAACTGCATTTTAGGTTACCTTCATGAACTCTCATTCTACTAGAAAGTATCAAAACAACATTCCATTTCTGTTGAGCAAGGCTATTTCTGCCCAAATGTTTAAGATGTTTATGTATGCATAAAAATTTTCCAATATTGATCAGAGCAACCGAACTCATGACAGAATCTTTCAGCGAACTCTTAAATAAAGTAATGTAGGCTAAACTACATTTCGGTCTTCGCTATTTTTCTGAGAATTTTCTTTTTTCCACATGCATTTCGACAGCAGGAAACGTCCATGTTTAGATCTGCATAACGCCGTTTCGTACGTGATCCAATCTCAGCTAACAAACTAACGTGTGTTGGAGGTGGCAGTTCAAGTGTATTCCATTGTCCGTCAAAAGCAATTTTTAAAAATCTTGATGCTCTCATTGGGTTACTTGGCTTATTTATATTTTCTTACAATCAGTCAAAGGCAATTTTGACTTTTTTTAGAGCAAGCATTGCTTGAAATTGGGCACAGGCAGACTCTTGTCACTTTTTCCTCTATTTTCAATGACTTGGCAAATGCCTGCGGTAGTACTTGCTGATAGTTTATATTTTGATAATATCTAAAGTAGCAATATGAGTGCATGTATTCTCACACCCACTGGAAGAATACTCTTTGCTGCTCTAAGGCTCTTTGTTTTTCATATGCACAAATCAAACAAGATCTATATTCTTGTGCAGGAACTGGACCATTTGTTGCCTCTGTCTTATTTTGATAATTTTCTGTACTTTAACTGCTTTACATTACCACATTTGCTAAGTCATTGAAAAGGGAAGCTTTACTCACAAGTGTCTCTTGGGTGTAATTTCTTGCAATGCTTGCACTGTTAAGAAGTATACTGATTTAGGGAAGAGATCTATTTTAGGAAATGGTTGAATTAATGTTAAATATGTATGTATGTTATATTCTTTCACATGATGTTTCAAAGTTTGTCTGTTTTATACCACAATTAAGATTCTTAATAACTGTAAAATCAGGTAGCATAAAAGGTTTTTACATAAACAATATCTAGAACCTAATAAATGAGTGTTTGAAAGATTATGTTGTATTTTCATTATTTGAATGTAAGGGGGAAAATCAGCATGGAGAGGAAAGAGCCCTCTACTTCTGAAGTGGCCCCATTGTGGCCCACATTGGAGCTGAATTGGCTCTTTTTTAAAGGGGCCATTTGTGAGAGGGCTGAAATTTGGGGCTGTTTTGGCCCTATCATTCCATACATGTGCACAGAAAGATACAAAACAGCCAAAAACAAATTTCAATATTGACCCTAACGAGTGCCAAACTGGAAGTTTTTATCCCCATTTTGTGTACATGTACAGGTTACAAGTTGGATCCCCATTATTAATTACAGGTTACAAGTTGGACTAAACTCCTTATCTGCCAACTAAGGCCTTCAAAGGTCGAGTCTTTATCAGAATGGTGGCCTTGCTAACCAGTTAGCAAGAGGAAAGCATTTGTGTGCTATTTTCTGTGGGCAACTGAGTCTGATTTGGTTTGCGAAAATAGCGTGCCTCTCTCATCCCGCATAAAGAAGTATGTTTGCATAAGTTGTGTTTTTTGGTTGTTACGTCAAGAGTTAACATCTCTGCATTGGTCTGAATTTTCGAAAAACTATCCTAGATGAAAAGCTGAATAACAGAGGGAAAGTGTACTTACTCTGCACTCTAAAGGTTACGAAATGCCGGACCATTAAGCTGTGTAAGATGAAGCCCCTAATAAGTGGTTCATTTTACTCGAAATTGAAGAAAGAAAGGAATAAAAAAGTGAGAATTCGAAGAACCGTGAGCGTGTGATACTAAAAAACCTTCTACTGTTGGGCACAATTATTTTAAATCAAGATTCTGCATGTCTGACACAAAAAGTCTTTTTTTTACTTTGAAGTTGACCGAGTTGACCGAGGTTGGGCTTTTTTTCACAACACGTAGGTTGAAAAAATAAAACTAAGTTGATCGAGCTTTAATATCATTTAAAGCTGAAACTTTGGGAATGAATGGTTAGTTGTAAAAATCGATTGTGCGCAATTTCCGCGATAGTAACCGTAAAGAAGACCTCGGTTTATTTCGAGTAAAATAAAAACCCGCAAATGATTGAGAGGAAAATTTGATTTAGTGGTTGATAAGTCTGTTATTACAGGTTTATCGCTCTTAAACATAATGAAACAATCAATTTGGTTGAGAAAATTGGTGAGGCCGGGGATAATCTATCGCCACTGGAACACTGCCATGAATACCGAAATGTAATGAGATTTGATATTTTCAGTAACGAGTTTTGACCAGAAGAAAACAAAACTAACAATTTTACTTATTGGCTTGCACAGCATGAGGAACAAGATAAATTATTCGAGAACAATGGAATTATACTGCCGTGCGTTAAGTAGCTCAGGAATTGCGTGCACCGCCCCTGGAAGTGTTTGGATAAAAAACAATATTGTCTTTTAATAACTCGAGGGCTTAATTATTTTTTTCATGATAACGTCTGTCACAGGCCTAAAAGGTTAACTAAATGTTAACTACTCAAAGATTTCCTAAGCTAATTTATAATTCTTACCACTAAACTCCTTGGCACTGTCTT